ACACTGTTTCGTCACATATTGTTAGAATTGACTGTTATATAAGACACTATGCTTGTAGGTCACAGAGAACACTTTTTCGTCACATATTGTTAGTATTGACTGTTATATAAGACACTATGCTTAAGGATCCTTCACTGGTAGATATGTTGACATTTGGAAGGAATCGCTTCAAGTCATATTGTTTCATTTGAGATAAAAAAAATACTATTGAAAAATTAGAAACATGGACAAATAAACAAATATATCATTTTATGATCCCCAGACATGAGAACATCTGTCTAATACGGACCTTTTAAACTCCGGATGTATGTTATGTGACTGAAGATGTACTTGCTTTGATTGGTGCTCCCTAAAAGCGGGTTGCATAGTCGAGTGAGTCGACGCTTTTAACAGTATTCAAGTTATATCATGGCGTGTAGGCTTAATGTTGGAGGAAAGCCCGAAGTGATGCCGGCCTCAGACGTTTACCACTTCGGTGAAACCAACGAGCACGGGTATGGTGCTGACAAACCTAGAAACACCATATCCAACATAGATTTCTGGCGTGCCCAAGGGACGCAATTCTGCACAGCGAATCTCGGCACCTTAGGCGATTGGGCCACCCGTGCCCCCGGTGTTCGAGACAAGCAGAGAGCCGGTAGGGATTCTGCCGTGCTTTAAAGTAACAACTGGGCCGACCGTGTCCCCGTTGCATGGTTGACAAAATAATTGGTGACAACGATAAATTATATGGTCTGACAAATGTATAAAGATACTGTAACTGTTAATTGTATGGCGACTGCAGGGTTCACATCCAGTGTTTCTTCGTTGTCCCTCCTATTGCTTGTCTAACCAAGGGTGATGTTGGGGTAGCCTGGTGCTTATAGCGTTTGCTCGTCACGCCGAAGACCCGGGTTCGATTCCCCACATGGTTACAATGTGTGAAGCCCATTTCTGGTGTCCCCCGCCATGGAAAATTGGTGGAATATTGCTAAAAGCGGCATAAAACCAAACACACTCACTCTAATCAAGGACTTCTAAGGTTAAGCAATGGAGACTTTCCCGCACATGGTGGACTCTTGAAGCCACAAGTGCAGTACTTGACAAGCTCATGAATTATAATCTTAAGTGTTGTCCACTTTAATTCGACTGTCATCTTCCTACTTGACCATTTCAAGTAATATAAAAACCGCCTGAATGATCACAAGATAATAGACATTTCTCACAGAAATGTCCATACATCTGGGAATCCAATGACAACCAGGACTTTTGAATGCACGTTCAAAGGTTGGGTACAATCTGCTCACACACCTTGGTTAGGATTGAAATAAACTGAAAGGGATTAAAAAGCATTTTATATACCAAACAACTGAACGCGTGTTTTTTGCCCATGCATGAGCAAGAACGATATGGATATATTGTATATGTTTCCTTAGTACATAACACTATTGCTTTGAATGCCTCTATTTATCTGTCTATGCCTTCATTCAATAGGCGTTCGTCTTTGAATTATGTCGATATGGAATTTTACGACGTATTCAGTGGAATATTTATAGCAGGTCAAACCGACCTAACCCGATCTTTAATAAAAGTAATAATCAGCATTATCACCAGGATTATGTCCCTGATTCGAACCCGTGAATTCCCGTGATATGTGAACGCACGCACCAGCTAACGTATCTCAACAAATGTGTTAAAACTCGTAACATACATCATCATAGCAATTATTGTATGAACGTTTACCGTCAGTGGTGCTAGTTGTAGGTCTTCCTGATACTGGACCACCATCCAGGCTGTCACTTCCCCTCTTGAATTCTGCTGCCCACATTTTACTGTGGCAAAGGAAGGTGCATCATACCCCAACACTGACACCATGTCCTCATGGATGGCTGTTCGAATAAGCCCCATCAGTTTGAGATTCTTGATGATAGCGCGATGACCAATTTTGTTCATTTTCATCACAGAGAATACCTAATCACTTCGATGCCTGCAGAAATATTCTGCTTGATTCAAATGCAGGCTGTACTTAATGCATGCAACCTGTTGAGGGTGAACTACACATCCCTCGTATTTAGGCTCAAAACATTACAACAACCCCTCGCAATGAACCAAAGAAACGTTACTGGGCTATGCGAACCACAATGAAGCTCCATGTGCAGTCAAATAGAGAAAACTGATCCATTATCTAAACCTTCAGATTCAACAAATACAAAACATGGGTTCATTGTGTAAAATACAAGACAAGTCATGACTGAACGTGTTCTCTAAAATACACAGTACTAATATATAACTGACCACATGTACGAGATAGAGTTTTATGTTTTTGTCATTTCCTGTACATCACCGGTTAGTGGTAATTTCATTGACAACCGAAAAACTCTTCAGACTTCTGTTTCAGTTATTAGAGACGGGTGCTCTGCACGAGAACATTTTATGATATATTATTTAGAGAACATTTTATTTGATATTTTTCATTTCTGTAGTCAACATTTTGAACAGACACTTCATTCCTATTCATAAAGAGGGGCTGTGCTCCACCATCTGGAGTCAAAAAGGTAATGATGGCGTAACTAAGCCCAGAGTGGAACTGCCTACATATTGTTAGGTGTGATCAAGGGAATCATTACACTGAGATACATGTAAAAAAATAGTGGGGTTGAGGTGACTTGAGTGAATTTTGATATGATTGCCAAATCATACCCACCGGTCTGAAACAGACGTGCGCTGTAATAGCTAACGACGGAGATCACTACAGGGGTGAGTGTGAGCTCCTTTGTTGAGCAGCTGTGTGGGGGTGTCGGTGCAATGCAGGGTCAAGGGAACTTAATGGCCCTAGACTACGGCACTGTCATTTAGGAGTTCTAGACAGGCAATAGGTAAAATAACTTAATTGTGAATCATCGACGATATATATGGCCACGTGTATATATATTTAAGGCCACGCAATCACGTGAGTGTGTGACGATACAAATACCCCAGCACCCATGATGGAGAGACGGAAAAACAACAGGAAAACCTCAGCTTCTTCAAAAACATGTTATCCAACAAATTCATATCTGTTTAACAAGTCCAGATTTACAATTTAATAGTGCATGTTTTCATTTCATATGCTGATTTTATAAATCTGCTGCACAGAAAGCAGAAGGCCCGGGGACCTGCGTGAAGGTATCAAGTACCATCATGTCGACCTGATTTGTGTATGTCCTGGACTTCAACAATGTTGTTATCTTTCAATATAATCACGAGAAGCTAAATATAGAACAATAGTTCCTGCCCTAGCCACACTGATCGTTGTAACAAGTGACCAACAACATTCGCCACAATACACTTTCACTCATTACGGAAACGTCCGGTGTGACAGGAAACGTCAGTCTTTGCACATCGTCGATGAAGGCGTTGTTTTTGTTAGTTTGTCGCTTCCGTTAAACTGCGCGTGACCGAGGATGACTATAGATCCGTTGTTGATGCGGTGGTTTGTGTAGGTGGTTGAAACTGCGAGGTTTGTATTAACCGTACCTTACTCAGGTACACCTAAACACAAACATATGCTGGAAGCATCAGTGTCTATCCTTAAACAAATGAAATGTCACATAATCGAAACGATACAGATGAGATTTTTGTGTGTTTGAGGAGATTATCTATGTGCATGTTGCTTTTGCTAGTTTTATATTTATATATCTACCAAATCATAGCCGGTTTAGTGTCTACTTACAACTCGCCGTTCAATGGATAATAGTTTGGTTCTGACATCCATTGCGGTGGCATTGAACAACGATTTGTGATAAACAACCAAAAGCATCAGCAACATGAAATATAACACGAACTCTGTAGAGTACATTTTAAGACTAAACTTAACTTATCAACAGAAGGCATTTCTACATAGCTCAGTGTTGCCACTGGCAGTTACGATCGTCTTATCGCTAAATCACTTGCAAACCGCTGACTGAATACATGAACAACGCCATTGGAGTGACGCGCCATCACAGTCTGATCACGCCATCCTAAGAACCACTCACGACCAACAGTGAGGTGTTGGGGACCATGGAGCCACTCACGACCAGTAGATGGAACCACTCACGACCAGAAGATGGGGCCACTCTCGACAGCAGTGGGGTGCCGCGGACCCTGGAGCCACTCACGACCAGAAGATGGAGTGACTCACAACCAGCAGTGAGGTGCTGGGGACCATGGAGCCACTCACGACCAGAAGATGGAACCACTCGCGACCAGAAGATGGTGCCACTCACGACCAGAAGATGGAGGGAGCCACTCACGACGGGAAACATGGAGCCAGTGAACAGCAGTGGGGAATCGGGAACCATAGAGCCACTCACGACCAGAAGATGGATCCACTCACGACCAGCAATGAGGTGTTGGGGTCCATGGAACCACTCACGAAAAGCAGTGGGGTGTCGGGGACCATGGAGCAACTCACGACCAGAAGATGGAGCCACTCACGACCAGCAGTGAGGTGTTGGGGTCCATGGAACCACTCACGAACAGCAGTAAGGTGCTGGGACCATGGAGCCACTCACGAAAAGCAGATGGGTGTCGGGGACCATGGAGCCACTCAGGACCAGAAGATGGAGCCACTCACGACCAGAAGATGGAGCCACTCACGACCAGAAGATGGAGCCTCTCACGACGAGCAGTGAAGTGCTGGGGACCATGGAGCCACTCAAGACCAGAAGATGGAGCCTCTCACGACCAGAAGATGGAACCACTCAAGACCAGAAGATGGAGCCACTCACGACCAGAAGATGGAACCACCCAAGACCAGAAGATGGAGCCACTCACGACCAGTGGTAGGGTGCTGGGGACCATGGAGCCTCTCACAACCAGCAGTGAGTCAATGGGAACCATGGAACCACTCACGAACAGCAGTTGGGTGCCGGGTCCATGGAGCCACTGACGACCAGCAGTGGGATGCTTAGGATAATGGAGCAACTCATGAACAGCAATTGGAGCCACTCACGACCAAAAGAGATGGAACCACTCATGACCAGAAGCTGGAGCCAATCATGCCCAGCGGTGAGGTGTTTGGGGACCATGGAACCACTCAAGACCAGAAGATGGAGCCACTGACGACCAGCAGTGAGGTGCTGAGGACCATGGAGCCACTGACGACCAGCAGTGAGGTGCCTAGGACCATGGAGCCACTCACGACTAGCAGTGAGGTGCCTAGGACCATGGAGCCACTCACGACCAGCAGTGAGGAGTTGGGGACCATGGAGCCACTCACGACTAGCAGTGAGGTGCCTAGGACCATGGAGCCACTCACGACTAGCAGTGAGGTGCCTAGGACCATGGAGCCACTCACGACTAGCAGTGAGGAGTTGGGGACCATGGAGCCACTCACGACTAGCAGTGAGGTGCCTAGGACCATGGAGCCACTCACGACTAGCAGTGAGGTGCCTAGGACCATGGAGCCACTCACGACCAGCATTGAGGAGTTGGGGACCATGGAGCCACTCACGACCAGCAGTGAGGTGCCTAGGACCATGGAGCCACTCACGACTAGCAGTGAGGTGCCTAGGACCATGGAGCCACTCACGACTAGCAGTGAGGTGCCTAGGACCATGGAGCCACTCACGACTAGCAGTGAGGTGCTGAGGACCATGGAGCCACTCACGACTAGCAGTGAGGTGCTGAGGACCATGGAGCCACTCACGACCAGCAGTGAGGTGCTGGGGACCATGGAGCCACTCACGACTAGCAGTGAGTTGCTGAGGACCATGGAGCCACTCACGACCAGCAGTGAGGTGCCTAGGACCATGGAGCCACTCACGACTAGCAGTGAGGTGCTGGGGACCATGGAGCCACTCACGACTAGCAGTGAGGTGCTGAGGACCATGGAGCCACTCACGACCAGCAGTGAGGTGCCTAGGACCATGGAGCCACTCACGACTAGCCTTGAGGTGCTGGGGACCATGGAGCCACTCACGACTAGCCTTGAGGAGTTGGGGACCATGGAGCCACTCACGACCAGCAGTGAGGTGCCTAGGACCATGGAGCCACTCACGACTAGCAGTGAGGTGCTGGGGACCATGGAGCCACTCACGACCAGCAGTGAGGCGCCTAGGACCATGGAGCCACTCACGACTAGCAGTGAGGTGCTGGGGACCATGGAGCCACTCACGACTAGCAGTGAGGTGCTGAGGACCATGGAGCCACTCACGACCAGCAGTGAGGTGCCTAGGACCATGGAGCCACTCACGACCAGCAGTGAGGCGCCTAGGACCATGGAGCCACTCAGGACCAGCAGTGAGGTGCCTAGGACCATGGAGCCACTCACGACTAGCCTTGAGGTGCTGGGGACCATGGAGCCACTCACGACTAGCCTTGAGGAGTTGGGGACCATGGAGCCACTCACGACCAGCAGTGAGGTGCCTAGGACCATGGAGCCACTCACGACTAGCCTTGAGGTGCTGGGGACCATGGAGCCACTCAGGACCAGCAGTGAGGTGCCTAGGACCATGGAGCCACTCACGACTAGCAGTGAGGTGCTGGGGACCATGGAGCCACTCACGACCAGCAGTGAGGCGCCTAGGACCATGGAGCCACTCACGACTAGCAGTGAGGCGCCTAGGACCATGGAGCCACTCACGACTAGCCTTGAGGTGCTGGGGACCATGGAGCCACTCACGACTAGCCTTGAGGAGTTGGGGACCATGGAGCCACTGACGACCAGCAGTGAGGAGTTGGGGACCATGGAGCCACTGACGACCAGCAGTGAGGTGCTGAGGACCAAGGAGACACTCACGACTAGCAGTGAGGTGCTGAGGACCATGGATCCACTCACGACCAGAAGTGAGATGCCTAGGACCATGGGGCCACTCACGACTAGCAGTGAGGTGCTGAGGACCATGGAGCCACTCATGACTAGACCATGGAGCCACTCACGGCCAGCAGTGGGGTGCCGGGGACCAAGGAGCCACTCACGACCAGAAGATGGAACCACTCAGACTGGCAGTGGGGTGCTGGGGACCACGATAATACCTGGTCAGTCCATAGTTAAAGGAAATGTTGTTTGCAGGGTAGCGACCCTTCGTTCGCAGGATAAGCTGAGGGGACAGACAATATACATTTGTTTTCAGGGTCAACTGATGGGACAGTCAATATGGTTTGCAGCACGAGTTGACGAGACAACATTAGTTCCCATTAGTTTCAGGATGAGCTGACGGGACAGCATTAGTTCCCATTGGTTTGCAGCATGAGCTGACGGGACAGCATCAGTTCCCATTGGTTTGCAGCATGAGCTGACGGGACAGCATTAATTCCCATTGGTTTGCAGCATGAGCTGACGGGACAGCATCAATTCCCATTGGTTTGCAGCATGAGCTGACGGGACAGCATCAATTCCCATTGGTTTGCAGCATGAGCTGACGGGACAGCATCAATTCCCATTGGTTTGCAGCATGAGCTGACGGGACAGCATCAGTTCCCATTGGTTTGCAGTATGAACTGACGGGTATTGTCTATTGACTTACAGATAAGCGATGATGGTGTGAATCTACGGTACTTGTTTAGTAGCATACCGTAGAAAAAAGGGTTGTATAAATTCGCATTGACACTGTTCAGCACTATTGTAGCGATATTTAGTCAGGGAACGTATGAATTTGTCTCACATTATGTATCCATATCAAGAGTCGAATCTAAGTCCTCCGCGTGACGAGCTACCAACTTCATTATGCTAACGACTTACGCACATATGCAGATGACTATGCGTTGTAATGTTTAATATGTTGCCATAATGTTGTTTTATGAAAAGACGACCTAAGTGTGTGTTGTGCACTTCTCACTTCTCAGTGAACCGACGCGAATGGGAATGGAACCTGGTCTTTGGTCGTGAAGGATGTCCCCGCTGGGCCACCTCTTTATCAGTCGTGGGGGGAAGGGAAATAGGGTGACATGTTCGTGCGTGTCGGGATTGAGTGACAAGCGGTGGGAATGACTGCATTTGCTGTTGTATCCAGACATGTTTGGCGTTCTGAATTCTGCGAACGTTGTGTCGGTGGTATACATGTAGAGACAGAAATGGTGTAACACAACAGGGTGGACCTGTATTAATAACATTGGATATATCCGGATGTTTTATTGTCTGAATTGTAAAGGCGTGAATGGGATGTTTTTAATCACAACAAACAGTGGCGACAGAACCCCAGTACACTAATACATTTCTTTTCTTTTTACATACTCGTTAGTGCGTTCTTTCATTGTTAGCTCACCTGACTGAAAGTTAAGCTTTGATGGTATAGATGCCAAAAGTTTCAGTTTCCACATCTCCACTGTTTCCTTGTCAGCAACATAACGAACATACTAGGTGTCGTCTATTAAGGTAAGACTATTCATCATGTCATTATAACGGAAGCAACGATTGATACTTTCTGTGGGTATACACATTAATGAACACTTAAAAAACATAAAAAATAGTTGATAGAGGTGAAATGGGGTTTAACGTCACGTTCAAGATTTTTTAAACTGATATAGCGGTGTACATGCACGTGTGTGTGAGGCTACTTGTGCTAGTCCGGTCATTCGGATTTATAGTGTTAGCACACTGATGTACAATACAGCAGTTTTAACATGGATGCCCAATTCAAGACAAGTATAATGATTACGTGCTGAGCACCAGGCAGGGTAACAACAAGTACCATCCTTTAACGTCTTTTGGTATGACGCTGTGAGGGGATCGAACCACCGATCTTCCGCTCTATAGGCAGACGCTCTATCCGCCACACAACGGAGGTTTAAAAACCAAGGGTTGCCTCTAGTTCAAGTTACACCTGTCCAATACATTTGAAAAATACAGTTTTATGTATAATTAATTATATTACGTATTTTTAAATATTCAACTTTTAGTGACATTGAAAATGGCAACTTTATCAGCCTCGAGATGAGAGAAACCAATCCCACAGCAACAGGAATTACGTTCTCTGCATTGAACCGCTCCCTAACATCTACATACCTCTGACTGGTGTAGCCGCTCTTTCCTTGTAACTTGTCATGTTCCCATGGATGTCTTCAGTTCTCACTATTTCGATTAAACCTTATACATATGATATCTCAGGGCAACCTTATACATATGATATCTCAGGGAAACCTTATACATATGATATCTCAGGGAAACCTTATACATATGATATCTCAGGGAAACCTTATACATATATCTCAGGGAAACCTTATACATATGATATCTCAGGGAAACCTTATACATATGATATCTCAGGGCAACAAATTTCCATGAGTATAAATAGTGACCTGTCTTTCGAATAATGCAAATTCATTAACTTGTTGAATTTTTTTTATTGATTTTTGTATTTATATTATTAATGAAAGACAAAACTCTTATGTAAATGTGCCGTGTATATATTTTATTGAGAAGTTTTCTCCTGGTCTATTTGACTAATGTGCCACGAAAGATGTTAATTTTGCTTCAACTGATTGTTTGATTTCACTGAGGTTTGATTAAGGAGTTTTGACTTTATAAGATTTGATCATTTAGGATAACGTATTACGAGTATGTATAGTAGTATACTATTGGATTCAGCTGCATGCATTTCCATTATCCAGTGTGCTAATAGGGTCGAAGTATTCACCTTACGCGACAAGTCATATCTCCTTATGTCTGTGCCAACACATCCAAAACGTGAACGCGAGGAACACCGAATACATGTAGGTCCTTGGTTAATTTCAGAGAAGCCAGACATGAGTTTCGAATGAGTTTAAAGGAGTACGTTTTTAAAAGTATTTCGGGTATATATACTTCAGAAAATAACGTTCATAGTTTCGTTAAAGGTGTGTAAATATGTTTAAACAATATTACTGATGGTGGGCTAATGACTTGGACCAAGCTTACGTCATGCTAACATTCAGGTAAACAACAGCTGCAAGGAGGTGATGGTTTAAGCTTAAGATGCGGAAGAATATTCAGGCTGGCTTATGAATGGAATTAACTAATTTGGTTCCATTTACAAAATTACCCGGTAGTCGGAGGCAATACAAGGACTGTCACCTGTCTGGCGATGTAAATTAAATAAACATATCTGTGACAGGTGGATTATTTGATCAGAAATATTGTTCTGTCGCTGAAGGATAAAAGTAGTTCATTGTTTTGGTAAAAAATACCCAAACATAATTTTACATCGAAATATGTATATAATCACGGAGGTTTGCAAATACTGGAAATATGGCTTTACAACTTGTCTTTATTGCTAATTCAATGACTTCAATAAAAAGATTGTGCAATCGGATAGGTAATGGTAGTTGGTATATTCTAACAGGAGTGTATAATCGCATAGGTGATAAGAATATGTCAGTTTTGACTTTCACTTGACTAAGAAAACTTGAATAAATAACTGTAATAAGTATGTGTCAACATAATTATTTTATATGCATTCTGTGTTTGTCAATAAGAATATCATGTGTCAATATGTCAGTTATGTTGTCGTGTCCCCGAACACTAGGAATACAATCTATTCGATCGTCAGCATTTACCATCTGCTTACGAAAGCCTAATAGTGCATAATTTTATTTCAAATCGATTTTTTAAAATTTCAATTATTTGTTTATTTTTCCAAATTTCGAGGTTTTTTTCTTACTTGGATTATTGTCTCGTAATATCGATTACAAGTATTTCCTATTATTTCAAGTATATTTTTAAAAAATCGCCATTTCGATTTTATTGTTGCTTCGATTATTTTTCATTTCAATTATTTTCTCGAAAATCCTAGTTTCTTTCTCGTAATTTTGATTGTTTTTCTTGTTATTTCAAGTTTATCTCCAAGAATCGAAAGTACGAATTTCTTTTCGTTATTTCAATTATTTTTCGAAATTTCGATTTTTTTTCCTCGTTGCTTTAATTATATTCTCATTGGTTTGAGTTTTTTCCTCTCTCCAAAACTTTAATTAAACTTGAAATAACGAGAAAATAATCGAAATTACGAGGAAATAATGGAAGTAACGAGAAAAATATCGAAGCAAAGAGAAAATAATCGAAATTTCGAGAAAATAATCGAAGAAACGAGAAATAAAATCGAAATTTCGAGAAGATAAGAGAAATAACGAGATAAAATTTGAAATTTCGATTTTTTTAAATAAACTTGAAATAACGAGAAAATAATCAAAGTAACAAGAGCAAAAACTCGAAGTAATGAGAAAGAACTCGAAATTTCGAGAAAATAAGAGAAATAACGAGATAAAATTTGAAATCTCGAGTTTTTGAAATAAACTTGAAATAACGAGAAAATAATCAAAGAAACGAGAGAAAAACTCGAAGTAAAGAGAAAGAACACGAAATTTCGAGAAAATAACTGAAATAACGAGAAATTCCGATTTAGAACAATAATAATTATTCTACAAAATTAGCACCGTTAGGTTTTCGTACTTATGTACAGCGTCTATGCCTCATCTCCAACATAACGTGTTGATATAGTCTACCCACCTGCTGGTGCTGTAATATATATAGAGAGAGAGAGAGTGGTCAGGGGACACATGCGTCCCTAATTCTATGTGCTGGTTGACGCCCATGGCTACAATATGGGCATCTTATTCAAGACATGTGCGAAATCAATACTATGTGAATATGTATCTGTTGATCGATACTGCATAGGCGAGTTATTCGATAAAGTTACGGCATAGAAAGCAACAGCTTAAACAGGTCACGACGGCCTCGTTGAGCCCAAACTGGAGGACTCTGACCAGTCACCACTATTACTGATATCGACCTACGTCATCAGGCTTAACAAATTTATTATGATACAAATGTAAATATGTTGTTGTTTTTGTAAATAAATAACATTTCGTTCTTCTGTTTGATTCTGATTCACTATACTATCAGTATTTGAATCAAAATGCAAAAACACAACAAAATCCTTCAACACACATTAGTCCTAAATATATCATTTGAACCCCAGCACTAAACCAGCAGTGATAGTCACCTCAAGCGCTGGTATAAAACTACAACTACCTGAAGTATTTCGTATTCCCTTGAATAGCTATTTCCAGGAAAATGACACAGTGTGTACAACAGCCGTGACCTAGATCCTGCATGTTGTAATGGTGTATTCAAATATGCCCGTAAACCCGTCACTCGTGCCAATAGAAATCAATACTGCTTTCATTCCACATACAAATAATCTAATCATTCACAACCAACAAGGTATGGACGTTTCATCGACTGTATTGCTTACAGAGGCTGTTTTGTAGGCAGCACGCTACTAATAATGCACATGCTTTATGCAAATGATAATCTGATTTCCTTACATTGAATTTGTCTGTTTTCAAAAGAATAATACATGAATGTTTTCACGTTGGTGAATATATTTTTTAGAATTTTGGTTTGCTTTGAAATGATAATACTAAACATATTAGTCATATATTCTGGACAATGTATTGACATATCGTCAACTGAACACTGAATTTAACATAGGGTGTGATAGGCATCGACATGTCAGTGGCCAGGATACTCACGAATACTTAACATCTCGACCTGGAACGTTAATGTACACCAAGACATTAAAGATTCATCAACACCTTAAATGTAGTTTGAGAAGAAGAAATATATAATCAATGAACCACACTGACATAGAAAAACGGCGCTAGGTCATTGTGACCTGGTCGGCGCAAGGTCAAGGTGACCTTGTTGTTGGTTACTGCTTAATCCTTGAAACGAGGACTAGCCAAAAGGCGTACGATCAAGAAAACAATCAAGTGACATTTGTTCAGAGGGGTGAAGATGTGCTTGCGAACACCTGGGATCATCACCACTTGATAGTGATTCATAAACAGAGGCTTATAATATATAGTCGGAATTGTACAATGGGCTCTGGTTTTAATAGAGATTATTTCATTTTTGTCTCTTTTAATTAATAAATTTTATTATGCTTTTATTCAATGCATTTATTGATGGCTTTGACTTGAAGGGATTTCATACATTTAATGAAAAATATCGAATTACTGCCTCTGTTACTGACTCATGGCTTTTCCGCTCCTTGGCTGTCCTTCAAGAAACCGCCATAGGAACGTGAAAACATCCATGTTCAATCATATAGAAGTGGAAGCACCTCACTTTGTTTCTCTATGAACTATAGACATGTGTCCACTCTGCTTTTGTACATTTATTAATCTATATTTCTTATGATAATAATGAATATACACTCAAAAGATGGACGCGTCAAATGAATAGCAGGTAATCATGAGTGAGTGAGTGAACGACTTCGGTTTAAAGTAGCTTTGAACGGTATTCCAGTTATATCACGGCTAGTCAGATTCGTGTGTGAGGAAAACTGGTGATGCGGGTTTCAGACGTTAACCACTTTTGTGAAACCCACGAGCACGGGTATAGTGCTGACAAACCTTGAAACATTATCAGGATATTCGAACCCTCGATCATAGGTTTCTGGCCGGCAATAGGGAGGTAAGTATATCTTCAGAAGGAACACATTCACACGCAGAACCACAGGGAACCAACAATGACCGCCTCCGTGGTCTTAGAGGTAAAGCGGAATGTCGGGGGTTCGCGTCATACCAAAAGCCGTTACAATATGGTACTTGTTGTTACCCTGCATGGCGCTCGGCATTAAGGGGCTAAAACAAGGACTTGTCGGCTCGGAGTCAGTATACTGTGTTTAAGTTGGGTATTCATCTTAAACTGCGGCATGGTATCTCAGTGGGTTAGCACTATAAAATCGGCATTAGTCCGCACTAGTACAAGCACACACGCACGCACGCGCGCGCACACACGCGCACACACGCACACACACAATCTTAAACGCGACGTTAAACCCCATTTTTCCTCACCTCCAAGAAACAAAGAATTTTTTACAGATTGCACACATACAGAGGCTCGAACCCTGGTCAGCGGTGTGAGGAACGAAGGGCTTAAAACACCAGACTAGATCACCCCCCTCCATCCCATCAAACCCCCCCATCCCATCAAACCCCCCCCCCCCCCCCCCGCGAATGTCGGGGGTGTCAGTTGTGCTCTAAGGTTAATCTGGATATATTTCAACCACAGAAAACTTGTAATATAAACCGACTGACGTCCAGGACAAAGGTGGAGCCAGTAACTCACATTCTTTGCATTACATTTAATTTCCAACATTATCTTGCAAACTTAAAACATGATCTCTGTGTAGCAGAAATATTAACCGGTGTTTAGGGTGTGTGCTAGCGTACCTGGTAACGAAGAATTGTTATCTAAGGTTTTAGTTTGAAGAGCGTTAGCTTCCAAATATTCTGTAGATTGACCGATCATAGCAATGCTCTCTAGCCTGATACATCTGATTTTTGAACAGTCGATGAAACTACTTGGGTACAGAAGCTTACCTTATTACTCAATTGAATATACAAGGTCTAACGCACGTTTTAATTATAGTGTAAGAGGCTAATATATTATTTCTATTTACAAAATATATTCGCAGGGCTATGTAACTCACCTGATGTTTTTAAAAGAAATAATGTAAGACACTTCACCCATATTTGATTCAAACACCTCCAGAAAGTTGAAGAAAAGACTGGCACAAAAGATTCCATGAAAAGGTAACAGGGATAATGAGTGATGTCTTGGACTTTCTTTTTGTCTTATTGTTTAAGAAAAAGATTTTAAAACTGTTTGTAAAATGAGATTAGTAAACTGTTTTTAACAAATAGAAGATATGTAAATGCAGGGTAAACGCGCCAAGGGTGTTCAAATGCAAAGGCAGGTGTCCCGTTTACTAGAGTCACAGGGTCGTAAACCTCTAAAAAGCCCATCCCAAGAAACAGACCCCTCCCTTGACCACAGAAGCAATGGCAGTTTAGACTTTGACCAGCCAGGGAGTAACTGACACAATTGCAAATTGGCCAAAAACGCTGGCCCACCCTGCATGGAAAGTTTGAGCCTGTTTGAACTTGTTTTCCTATTTTCTCCTATATCAAAAGGTGTAGGTGACATCTCTTTAAAGACTATATATTGGTGTGTGTGTGTGTGTGTGTGTGTGTGTGTGTGTGTGTGTGTGTGTGTGTGTGTGGAGACACATACGCACACACAGGCAAGAAACATCTATTGTTTGAATTGTAGGTACCCACTCCTACTGTTGGTGGTATATTGTAATTATTCTTACTGATGCCCTAAGAAATGTTTCAAATCTCTGTTCAACTGTGCCAGGCTACTAGCGTTCAGTTTACTGACCAGGCGATTAGAAATCTTAAGCTGTAATCTGCATGCTCGGGGACCAGTGTTGTACCACGTTAACAAGTCGACATATTGTAGCCATATGCCAATGGTGTTTAAAGTGTACAAACTATGCCGATAGTCTCGTGTAATGTTTTTAGATGAGTCCAGATACATTCTTGACTTTCAGGATAGGCGTGGACGTGTCTGGGGGCGTCTTTTAAATTAAACCAAGAAAATATAATCAACCCATATGTAATTTGATCAATCATCCAATTTGGTACACTAAGTCACATAATAGTTTCAGTATGTTGGTACAGAAACACCAATCCTCGTCAACAGTGAGTGAGTCTGGAAGGTTTGAACAGTATTTCAGTTATATCACAGTGTGTCCACTTCCTGTGGCAGGAGGATCATGGTCCACCAACACATCCTAATATTCCATAACAAGAGGCACAGGAGGACAAATCTATTGATTTAATTCGAAATGGTCCGATAAAGTGGTCATGAAAGATCACCGGATGATGCACAAATATGATTCATGAGGTCAATGCTACTCACATGACAGAGTCAGTACAATGGTCATGTTCTACAGACAAAGCATTATAAAAAAAACACCTTTAGGAAAGTAGTTCATATTACACATCCATGAAAATATATACCAATATGTGAATTAATTATGAAATACTAAATCTGGTGCTGAGCTTCCTTGCTTTTGCTTTTGCGGTTAAAAAACAAGACAGATACCTAACGTTTGTAAAACTGGCAAAATTGTAGACACGCTGGATAAACATCTTTATCATAAATACAGGAATAAAATTGGGGTAAAAAACATGCCATTATTCCCATCAGCATTAGTTACAGTACTGAGATTCCTGGTGATAACAGTATTGCCTTTGTAGGGCTTTTGGTGTCCATGCTCCCTGTCATAATCCAGTGACAATCCCTCACCTACAACAACCTTCACTTTTCTTCTTTTAATTCCTGTGAAACCTTTCCAATTACACTGACACAAAAAGTCCATATAATACTAAACGTTTATTTTTGTATTCAGAAACCTGTGTTTACTCTATTTGAACATTAAGCACTATACAGTAGAGTCTTGTAGTGTGTCCATCGTGCACAAAGGAGCCACACTGTTAGCACTGTGGAATGGTCTCTGAACTCAGTCCTCAAATGTCTGTGTCTGTTGAAGTGAGCTGCCCATTGTATGAGAACGTCTCCAGCTGACAACTGTGGCAGAGTCCCTGTCTACCACACCTCAGGCTCGTCAAACATCTTCTTGGCCTTCTTGTCGGAGCAGGAATCTGCAGCAGCACAACACACAAAGCTACATGCCCTGCATCAACATTCAAGCTTGCTGATGGTTTCTGTTCACAAACAGATCATGCAAAACTATAAACAAAGTACTTGCCAATCACACATCTTTATCACAGCTTTAACTAGTTGTCAAGCATTCATATTAAAATTTGTTTTGAAAATTTTGAGTGACATGCCACTCCATATTGACATGTTAAAACACAGGGTATATTTGTTTGGCCAAGGAATAGCAATGCGTTTCATCACCATCCTCAGTTAAAGGGTGGTGGTGGTAGCATCGTGGATCAAGGGGTCACTCATTATGCCAAAGGACAGGATTCCCCACATAGGTACAATGAGTTAAGTCTTCACTGGTGTCCCCGGCCCGATATTGCTGAATAATGGTAAAAGCCATGTGAACCATACTCACTCATCAGTATAACTAAATGAAAGTACTGATATCCAAGTGCCATCCTCCAAGCTTACTAAGTCTTCACTAAGCTCCATGGTTACCTGGTGACTCGCATCCAAGGTTGGTCTCCATCTTCTCCTTCCCAGCATCCTCCTCCCTCACTTCACACTCCTCCGGTCCTGTCGTCGACCTGGAAACAGTTGTCATCATCCGTCTGTCACTGTACGTCCTACTTTTGGTTCCTGTTTGTCATGAGGCTCAGTCATGCTCCTCTACTCAGGAGTACTTTTATCATAATGGTAAAACACTGTAGATATAATCTGCACAACAGACTGTCTACACAAGAAAACTCCTAATTGAATGTTGAATAAATTACACATTGAAACATAATGAATACACAACAAATGAGCCAAACAGTCAAGAAAATGGCCAGAAACATGACTGGTACATGTATATTGTCTTTTGTTCTTTTTGAGTCCATGGAAGGCAAGTGGTATGGGTGGCCATTCGGTCCAAAAATACAAATTTGAAAAAAAGGAAAAAGTACGCAATTAAGGTCAAATATTACGAATAAAGAACTAAATGAAAAGACGTCATAAGAAAAGAAAGAAAAATGTGTACGAAAGAACGTCAGTGAGCACGAAAGGGCGTTTTCAATAAAGAATGTCAGTGAGCATGAAAGGACGTTGACAATAAAGAACGCCAGATGGCGCTGCAATTTGTAAAACATTCCGAGTTTAATCGGCTTGTTCCGCCGTGTATATGCTAACTGCATGCCGAGGTGCACAATGTATTACGTCATTCCTCATGCACTCACTGTCTGACGTCACACATATATATACATGTATTTATAATGTATAATGAACACATTGTGTATAAACATGTTGCGTTAAGCTTTTTCACCGCTAAAGGGCCTTGTCATAAATACAGTATACTGTGAAATCCAACATCTGCCTAACATTGGTACATGTATTTTGTATACAACCTTAAAAAAAACACTCACTTAACTCTAAACTAGGATTCATCTACAGTGATCCAAAAACTGTTCATGCTTGGTGCAACACGAGGGTGCTATGATGCCGAGTTTTGTTTCAGACGCACTTTTTCATCTGAAAAGTGAATGTTGTGCGAGAGTTTGTTTTCTTTAACAGCTTTTCAGAAACTGTGTGCGAACAAAATGCTGCCTAATATCTGAACAACAAATATATATACCAAATAGATTTGCATGCATATGTATAACTTACACATTCGTTAGGAAAAATAGCGCGCCATAAATAAAGAAAATCGAGTTGCATCTATGACGCCAGCGTTCGTTTTCAAACCATATTTATTTCGCTTGTTTACATCCACATTTATATGTGTGACGTCAGACGGTGAGTGCACGAGGATGACGTAATACATTGTGCACCTCGGCATGCAGTTATCATATACACAGCAGAACAAGCCGATTAAACTCGGAATGTTTTACAAATTGCAGCGCCATCTGGCATTCTTTATTGTCAACGTCCTTTCGTGCTCACTGACGTTCTTTATTGAAAACGTCCTTTCATGCTCACTGACGTTCTTTATTGAAAACGTCCTTTCGTGCTCACTGACGTTCTTTCGCACACATTTTTCTTTCTTTTCTTATGACGTCTTTTCGTAACATTTGACTATTAATATTGTATTTTGACCTTTAGTAGTAACATTTAGTTCTTTATTCGTAATATTTGACCTTAATTGCGTACTTTTGTCCTTTTTTTCAACTTTCAATGGCCGCCCATACAAGTGGTTTAAAATCCCTTTTAACAGTATATTTGAGTTGTACAACAGCATGTCAGCTTCACGTGGTAGGAAACCCACACTGTCAAAGGTTGTTGACATTTTCTGCTTTGAAGAAGTCCATGTTTCATAATGGAGACAAATCTGGGATATAAACCTGAGACCAGCAGATGCTAAGGGAGGCAACTCTACACAACCCGGTGGGGAGCCAAGAGCTGGACCACTGGGCTATCCTTTGGAATATTAAGCTTGAAAAGTTCATTAAAAATCCATAAAAAATATTTGCTTGACCACAGATAGATCTCCTAAATGAGTCAAGTTTCCCAAAGTGTAACAATGTGTTTCTTATCAATATCTTTTAAACACCAAAGCATAAAATGTACGTTTGAGGTTTGCAATGTTTAGCAGAAAACAGATTTTTCCAACTCATGTTTACTTCTTTATACGAACGAAGAGATAAATGTCTTAGTGTCTCTAAGGATATTTGTATAGAACAGAAAACGCAAGCACAACGAGCAACTGTAATGTCATTGCTGGTTTGATAACACTGCCATCCTTTGGTACGATATTAATCTCAAACATGAATTTGGTTTATAATCTTCAGATTAATATTTTGCCACTTAACTCATGCAACATTTATTTTTCTTCACATTTTTTCCTTTTATCACAGACATAAAATTGACAATTTGAATAGGACACTTTTTCTTTCCTGAATTTCTTTTGTCAAATTCAAGACAAATCCACGTTATTCTCAGCTATCAATGCGTCAAACTTCAAAATCAGTACTGATTATTGGAAACCAGACAATGAGGTCAATTTGAGGTTTAGGCACATATATTACAAGAAATGTGTATTGTATGAAAGACAAACAACATTTCTTGCTTTTATTTCCAAAATAGGATGATGTTCTTATATCAAATAATGTGTCGTTGTAAAATCCAACATATGTTGATTGAGAACCTCAACATCTAAAGACAAGATGCATTTATCATTATGATCCTCCACCTCGTCCATACATGTTCAACATGCAATGTTAGGCAGAACAGAGTGTTGTATACATTACAACATATTATCAACTCCCACATTGAAATACTCTATGTCTTGCCAGCAGAAGCAAACATATGATTGATAGCTGTGATGGAGGTTGGACAAAATACGTAAGTCAGGTCCGCTATCTGTCCAACTCACCAAACAGTGAGCACCGGATCCACACTTTCATCACCTAGAACCCTTAAGACAATCAGATCTTTTACTGTCATACGATATCTCTCTGCATGAAGCAGTGACAACTCCTATATATATGAGGTTGTGTCAGGTGAACTACAAATCAGTGTCGAATCTTCTAAATTCTCTGTACAAGTAAGCAAAATATTCAGATCAGCATAACTGATTTGTATGTCTTGTAAACAAACCTATATGGACAGTTGTAAATAATAATAAAAGCTGCATTATATTGTTTTTATTTGGTATTAACCTCAACCTTTCTGAGCATCCCAGGATCTGTATCCTAAAGGGAATATTTGTGTGTCGGTTTTCTTTTGCTAAAATGAAATTCATCTGATTGGTTAAAGAATGCATGCATCCTTCAATTAAAGTTCACTCAGGCTTCACCTGATGAGACATGCAATGGGAGAGTTGTCAAATGTTCCGACAAAATATTTGATTTGAATGAGAATTTCCCACAGTGGACTTACCAGTATTTCTTTTCAATGTTTATGATGCAGGAATAACTTTTGTCACTTTACAAAAGGTAGTCATTTTCATTTTCAATGGTATTTTTTCCTGTTATCACTTTTTTCCCCTCCAAAAATGACTGAATGTAGATTCAACTATTTCAAATACACCCACGGTGACATACTTACTCTGCAACTGGAGATATCCTTGGTTTCTTTGAATTTTCTGCATCATCGGAAGTATGTTTGCGTTTCCGTGGCAACAGAGAAGATTGTGATGGTGCTGCTTGTTTCTTAAAGTCCTCGTATGTGATTACCTTCACAGAGTCATCTCCCTTGACCAGACCTTTGATAGCTGACATGTAAAAAAGATGACAGCCATCAGATCAATGGACTTTTCCATAGAGTGAGTGAGTGAGTATTGTTTTATGCCGCTTTAAGCAATATTCCAGCAATATCACGGCAGGGGACACCAGAAATGGGCTTCACACATTGTACCCATGTCAGGAATCGAACCCGGGTCTTCGTCATGACAAGCGAACGCTTTAACCACTAGGCTACCCGACCGCCCCTTTTTCCAAAGAGAGGGATGACGGTAGTGTTAAGTGTTTTATACTACTGTCTCAAAACATTCCATTCCTTCTGATGAGCATATGTCCAAATCTTTAAATCTTTCAAAAACAAATTCATGATGTCATTTAGAAAAATAATCATCTGAAGAACAAAGACTAAATTTTGAGTAGCGTGTCAGCTGATTAATTGGGATGAGAAGAAAATGCCAATACAAATGACACTACACATTAGATCTGGCAGTTAGTGACAATATCACATGGGACGAGATGGACACATCAATATTACCCATGGTGAGTGAGTTTTGTTTTACGCCACTTTTAGCAATATTCCAGCAATGTTGTAGCAGAGACACCAGAAATGGGCTTCACACATTGTACCCATGTGGGGAATCAAACCCAGGCTTTCGGTGTGATGAGCGAATGCTTTAACCACTAGGCTACCCCACTGCCTCCATGGAGAACTGACATCGGGACAGTCATATGGTAGACCTCACTGGCAAATAATTCAGGCTAAGCCCATAAAAGGTTAATATTTTCTGCAAAATGGCTATTAGTAAATAATAACAGGATGTCCATTGTAGATGATGGTTTAAGAAAAGAGCTGATTTCTCGCTATGCGATCAGCAACCAGCATCTTCCCCTCATTTCGTACACAAAAAGACCATGGGGAACATGTGGACGACTATTCTCAACTCAGTATCCATGATCAACACTTCACTGGAGAGTATGCACTGTGTTCCTCTATCACACGCGAAAACATGAAGTACGGTTATAACAAACTCAAAGGGATCACATACTCATGTACAGTAAAGTATTGTTATAACAAACTCAAGGGATCACATACTCATGTACAGTAAAGTATGGTTATAACAAACTTAAAGGGGTCACATACTCATGTACAGTAAAGTACGGTTATAACAAACTCAAAGGGACCACATACTCATAGTAAAGTATGGTTATAACAAACTCAAAGGGACCACATACTCATGTACAGTAAAGTATTGTTATAACAAACTCAAAGGGAACACATACTCATGTACAGTAAAGTACGGTTATAACAAACTCAAAGGGATCACATACTCATATACAGTAAAGTACGGTTATAACAAACTCAAAGGGACCACATACTCATGTACAGTAAAGTACGGTTATAACAAACTCAAAGGGACCACTAATGTAACTGTGGTATAACTAATATAACCATAGCTTGTTGTAAGTATTTCGACTGCCAGACATCCCATAAATGACATAAAATACATAACATAAGTAACTGCATATTATAAATGAATTATTGACAGTTTCATTGACATACAGACACTACAGTCAATTGTTAGTAGAGGGTGCAAATTGAAGGCAAGGTGCCAGTACTTAATCCAGTTCATCACCAGCGTTCAATTCTTTATTGCTGCTTTGAACAGCCACGCGTGGTTATAAACATGAAGATTGTCATTCACACAGTACACATGGGACCCCAAAGTGAGTTAACTATATCCGTTACAAGCATGTACGTTATATCCATCAATTTGATATGATAAAAAATATACAACATATGATTTGGACCAAAAAAACACTCCGTTATATCTGTCGGTTTGTCATAAGCGTGTTCGTTATAAACGTAGTGTACTATACATCAAATGAGCCTACCCCATGCAGGAAGATTGTGCAAACCTTCCATGCCCGGACAGCAGCAAGGCGCACATATTGCACACATTGTCAAGCAAGAAACAATCTAAGCCTGGTGTCACCGCTCCCTGGTTATCCTCTCGCTGGAGCCAGGGCTACGCTTCTGTCATTGGTTACATATAGCAGCCACACAGCAAAGTGACCCTGTGCAGTCACAGGTGATATGAGGGACATAGTGTAATACGAGACCTCGAAGAACTGAGAATGCTTAAAAACATGAAATATTTGTCCCTTGGGAACTAATAAGGCACATGATTTATTTTTAATTCAGTCAGGGCTTAAAATTAATTCCTATTGGTTAGATCCCCAGGCTTTGTAGCAGCTAGTAAGTTATTGTCTAAAACACTGTTAACCAACCTGCAGGAGCATTTTCTTTCCTGAACAGGGCGGCCAAGGCTGATGTTTCGTTGATCCACGACAGGGACACACCACCTACAATGTACACAGATGATGTGATGAAGATATAGACACACATAACATGCACTCTCTGTGATGAAGTCAGCTTCCGCAGCAAGTGAAGGAATGTAGTTTTTCACTACAATCAGGAGTGTTACAGCTCTATCTGCCTGTAGTAGTGTGATGTCAAGGATTATTATTATCATGATGATGATGATGATGATGATGATGATGTTCAAACTTTGACATACTTCCATATACCCTGGTATGATATATCTGTGCATTGTGTTGTAATATTACAACATAAGGTGTAGCAGTATCATTCAGGGTACATGGGGTTTAATGCCTCCTCGTAAGGTTTATACCATGAGCAGAAGGCAAGAGGTATTGAGCTGAGGTTAACTTTTGCTATGTCTCGTGACGATCATTGACTCAGAAAAAGCGTGCAGCTTTTTGCTTTGATGCGGGTTATAAGGGATTTATTCTCCTGCTCAGAAATCCACATACAGCATGTCCTCTTCATGGTGGGGTATAAGAGATTTATAAATGTATTTCCATCCCAGGTGGGATACACAGTATTTTATCAAGATTAAGGTGGCCCTAGCACCTCAGGTTCAGTTTAAAAGTGTGGGAATCACATGACAGTTACTCTGACAGTGACAGGTCCAGAACACTCACCATATGGAGCAAAGAGGTGGACGATATCATGTGACTTCCACTCCTTAGGGAAGGTGACATGGAACACATGCTCCCTAGGCGGGATCACTGCAAGAAAGTGGGGAATCTGTCAAACAACGTTTATAATCTGTGATGACCTCATTAAGTATTGAGACCAGCATACAGCCAGTTATAGATAATAGTGCTACATCCAGTCACATGGGATGGAGTTAATGAGGTGGTAGGTAACACTGTCTTGAGTGATAAATCCAGTTATGTGGGGTATAGGTAACTAGAAAGTGTTTTTACTCGTAAAAACATATGTCTCCCCCCACTCCCCTAAGCCCCATTCATTCGTTTACTTCACGTTAAACCCCATCTCTTCATTCCCACCCTCCATTACTAAATAACAGAGACAAAAATAGAACTCCTAGAAATTTCAAACAACTAATGGGCACCACTTCAGTGCTGGGTTAATGTGTATACAAAGTTTCGCGAAAAAATATTAAACAGTTTCTGAGTTATGGTCCGGAAACCAAGCTTACCCCCATTCAGAGTCTATGTTCAAGTTAACTCCATGGAAACGAGAAAAAATTAAAATGTCAAAAATCTCTAAATAGCAAAAGGCACCACTTCAGTGCTGGGTTAATGTGTATACAAAGTTTCGCGAAAAAATATTAAACGGTTTCTGAGTTATGGTCAGGAAACAAAGCTTACCCCCATTCAGAGCCTATGTTCAACTTATCTCCATGGAAACGAGAAAAAATAAAAATGTCAAAAATCTCTAAATAGCAAAAGGCACCACTTCAGTGCTGGGTTAATGTGTATACAAAGTTTCGCGAAAAAATATTAAACGGTTTCCGAGTTATGGTCCGGAAACCAAGCTTACCCCCATTCAGAGTCTATGTTCAAGTTATCTCCATGGAAACGAGAAAAAATTAAAATGTCAAAAATCTCTAAATAGCAAAAGGCACCACTTCAGTGCTGGGTTAATGTGTATACAAAGTTTCGCGAAAAAATATTAAACGGTTTCCCAGTTATGGTCCGGAAACCAAGCTTACCCCCATTCAGAGTCTATGTTCAAGTTATCTCCATGGAAACGAGAAGAAATAAAAATGTCAAAAATCTCTAAATAGCAAAAGGTACCACTTCAGTGCTGGGTTAATGTGTATTCAAAGTTTCGCGAAAAAATATTAAACGGTTTCTGAGTTATGGTCCGGAAACGGTGGGAATGCCGACGCCGACGCCGACGCCGACGGGAACCGTGCCAAAAACAATATGTCTCCCTCCATTCTGGGGGAGACATAATGAGGTGGTAGGTTACACTATCTAGGGTGATATATCCAGTTGTGTAGGGTGGTGTTAATGAGTTGGTAGGTGACACTGTCTTGAGTGATAAATCCAGTTATGTGGGGTATAGGTAATGAGGTGGTAGGTAATACTGTCTAGGGTGATATATCCAGCTGTGTGGGGTGGTGTTAATGAGGTGGTAGGTAACACTGTCTAGGGTGATATATCCAGCTGTGTGGGGTGGTGTTAATGAGTTGGTAGGTGACACTGTCTTGAGTGATATATCCAGCTGTGTGGGGTGGTGTTAATGAGTTGGTAGGTGACACTGTCTTGAGTGATATATCCAGCTGTGTGGGGTGGTGTTAATGAGTTGGTAGGTGACACTGTCTTGAGTGATATATCCAGCTGTGTGGGGTGGTGTTAATGAGGTGGTAGGTAACACTGTCTTGAGTGATATATCCAGTCGGTGGGGTGGTGTTAATGAGGTGGTAGGTAACACTGTCTTGAGTGATATATCCAGCTGTGTGGGGTGGTGTTAATGAGGTGGTAGGTAACACTGTCTTGAGTGATATATCCAGCTGTGTGGGGTGGTGTTAATGAGGTGGTAGGTAACACTGTCTTGAGTGATATATCCAGCTGTGTGGGGTGGTGTTAATGAGTTGGTAGGTGACACTGTCTTGAGTGATATATCCAGCTGTGTGGGGTGGTGTTAATGAGTTGGTAGGTGACACTGTCTTGAGTGATATATCCAGCTGTGTGGGGTGGTGTTAATGAGGTGGTAGGTAACACTGTCTTGAGTGATATATCCAGCTGTGTGGGGTGGTGTTAATGAGGTGGTAGGTAACACTGTCTTGAGTGATATATCCAGCTGTGTGGGGTGGTGTTAATGAGGTGGTAGGTAACACTGTCTTGAGTGATATATCCAGCTGTGTGGGGTGGTGTTAATGAGGTGGTAGGTAACACTGTCTTGAGTGATATATCCAGCTGTGTGGGGTGGTGTTAATGAGGTGGTAGGTAACACTGTCTTGAGTGATATATCCAGCTGTGTGGGGTGGTGTTAATGAGGTGGTAGGTAACACTGTCTTGAGTGATATATCCAGCTGTGTGGGGTGGTGTTAATGAGGTGGTAGGTAACACTGTCTTGAGTGATATATCCAGCTGTGTGGGGTGGTGTTAATGAGGTGGTAGGTAACACTGTCTTGAGTGATATATCCAGCTGTGTGGGGTGGTGTTGATGAGGTGGTAGGTAACACTGTCTTGAGTGATATATCCAGCTGTGTGGGGTGGTGTTAATGAGGTGGTAGGTTACACTGTCTTGAGTGATATATCCAGCTGTGTGGGGTGGTGTTAATGAGGTGGTAGGTAACACTGTCTTGAGTGATATATCCAGCTGTGTGGGGTGGTGTTGATGAGGTGGTAGGTAACACTGTCTTGAGTGATATATCCAGCTGTGTGGGGTGGTGTTAATGAGGTGGTAGGTAACACTGTCTTGAGTGATATATCCAGCTGTGTGGGGTGGTGTTAATGAGGTGGTAGGTAACACTGTCTTGAGTGATATATCCAGCTGTGTGGGGTGGTGTTAATGAGGTGGTAGGTAACACTGTCTTGAGTGATATATCCAGCTGTGTGGGGTGGTGTTAATGAGGTGGTAGGTAACACTGTCTTGAGTGATATATCCAGCTGTGTGGGGTGGTGTTAATGAGGTGGTAGGTAACACTGTCTTGAGTGATATATCCAGCTGTGTGGGGTGGTGTTAATGAGGTGGTAGGTAACACTGTCTTGAGTGATATATCCAGCTGTGTGGGGTGGTGTTAATGAGGTGGTAGGTAACACTGTCTTGAGTGATATATCCAGCTGTGTGGGGTGGTGTTAATGAGGTGGTAGGTAACACTGTCTTGAGTGATATATCCAGCTGTGTGGGGTGGTGTTAATGAGGTGGTAGGTAACACTGTCTTGAGTGATATATCCAGCTGTGTGGGGTGGTGTTAATGAGGTGGTAGGTAACACTGTCTTGAGTGATATATCCAGCTGTGTGGGGTGGTGTTAATGAGGTGGTAGGTAACACTGTCTTGAGTGATATATCCAGCTGTGTGGGGTGGTGTTAATGAGGTGGTAGGTAACACTGTCTTGAGTGATATATCCAGCTGTGTGGGGTGGAGGTAAAGAGGGTGCAGAGTGTACTCACTTGATGGAAGTACTTACCATCGGGTCCAGTCAGATTGAGATAGGGGATGTCATAGACCCTCATCATGAACAATCTATAACACAATATCACATGGCAGTTATGCTCAAGGAATGAATCATAAAAAGAAAAGAAAAAAAATGTTTTCAGGATGGTCCCAATTTCCTGTAAGAACCTAAATGGTGTCTGTGAGGTGGTGAAAGCTTGATATATGAAACCTGTGTAGATCAGGCTGTCCACTGGGGAGAACCTTTCCAAGTAGGGATTATCTCCTTACAGTAAGCACATGTGTTATCACAGCTGAGCATAAACAATCATGAGGTTTCATATTAACAGAATGCTGTAGATTACTGTCTATAAATTATAGGGCAAGTAAAGTGAAAAGCATTATTGGAATTTGTTGCGATTATCAGTTTTCCTAGATACATTGCCATTTTCTGAGAGAAAACAATTCATAACATTCGTAGAGAGTCTTTAAATGTCCAAGAGAAAGTGCTGAAATCATACGCTCCGTAATTGGCTTAAAGAAAAAACAATTTTTAAAACTTATTTAGGGGCGTGGTTCTAAAGAACCACCACAATCAAATATCAGATAAAAGGTGTAAATGGGTGGCTATTTCTGTTAATCCTACACAAATATTGCATACATTCTTGAGCGTGTGAAACAACGATTCATCCTGACATTGTGAAAATCAAAATAACAATGTCTGAAACTAGCTTTTCATGCCTAACATCCTGTTTGGATAAACCAAGTTACACAATGAATGGCTGTCAGGGACTAATCCCCTGGGTAGACCACTGAAGGCATCACTGTTGTTATAGATCTAAGCATAAATTGACATAAGTTGTGGACACGGTAACTGAACAGTTGAGCAGAAGAAGAACCCTGTAATGCGATTCAAAAATCTGAGAAATAAGTGGCAGTTACCTTGTCCAGTAATTGACACCATGAGCATCGATATTATGACATGCAATCAACCAATTTACTCAGCCTCAACATCCAATCCATTTTGTTACCTCTTAAGACAAGCATGATTGCTGGGGACCTAGGTCCTGACCTCAAATCCCCATAGGATGGAGGGTTTATGAAAGTGGGTCTACTCACTTGTTGACAAAAGGCTCGATGAGAGGAGACTCTGGAGAGATCCAGTCTTTTGGAGGCTGCTGATATGTACCTGGTGAAAACAGGAATTGCTTTAATACATAAGACCTATATTTACCTGAAAAAGTTTACACCTATTTTATTACAACTCCTACCTTAGATCTTATAACTAAATTTAAATGGGTTTAAATAAAAGTGACGACTTTTATCAAATTTACATAACATACACATCAAACATGTCAGGGAAAAGAACTAATTTATGAAATCTAAACCACATGAAAAAATAATTCCTAACAAAAGTTACACAGATGGGATACAACCAGTAGTACTGTATATCACCACAACAGCATCAACTACAATGAATAATAAATATTCTCTTGCGTGATTTCACAACCAAGTGTTTGTCCAAGTTCTCTTTGTATCATTATCTCTCGCTCCTGATCTGCCCTGTCTCAGAGGCACTTTGTCTAATATTGTTGACATCTACTCATAAACACTCACTGTCCACAACATGGTGGGTGGGTTAGGTACAGCAACTTATGTGGATTAGAAAAGAAACATCCTCTTAATTTCCTGGATGCATGCACTGTCCTGCTATTATATGATTGTGATATTGTCCAAGTTAATGAATATAGTTGGTCCTCACCAAGAAAGTTGGCCATGCCTATGAATGCAACCCCTGTGATGTATGCATCGTAGCCTGCCTCATGCAGAAACTCTGTCGATGTACCATAGCTGGAATACTCCTCAGGGAGATCTGGAATACACACAGTAACCATGGCAACCACATCACTATGTTCATTTCTAATTTCTGAAATGAAGTATATGATATGACATGAGTGAGTGAGTGAGTGAGTGAGTGAGTGAGTGAGTGAGTGAGTGAGTGAGTTGCGTTTAATGACACTTGGAACAGTATTCCAGTTATATCACGGCGTGTCAGCTTAGTGTGGGTGGAAAGACTGGAGTAATGAAGATCTCAGATCTTTACCACTTTGGTGAAGCCACGAGCACGGGTATGGTGCTGATAAACCTAGAAACATAATCGGGGCGAACCGGGATTCGAACCAGGATCATAAGTTTCTGGCATGCAAAAGGGATGCAACTCTGCACAGCACACTACAGGGGCTTAGACACCTGGGCCACCTGGGCCCCTCTTCCCTGATGAACAGGGGAAACCTAACAATAAGGCTGCACTGAGTTTGTATCAAAATCATTAACTCTTCCTATTTCTGATTACTGTATTCGACGTAATAAGCGCCCCGCTCTTATACGCGCCCACGGTGATATTTGCCAATATATTGGCAAGTGAACAATCCCAATTAGCACCCCTTCCGATTGATCAATGTACACAAGACTTATTTATTCGTGTATAATACGCACTCGTGTGTTATATGCACCTTAATTATGGGCAATTAATTTTGGGATAAATATATCTGTCGTGTATAATACACACAGACTTTTATTTTGTATCATTTCAGGTTGTCAGCATAAACCACAAAATTTTCAATCTTTCAACTCTGGTGTTTTTTCTCAAAAACTTTATTCTAATAAGAGCCCCCTATTTCAAAATTTGAGAGCGCCCTGAGCGCTTTTTACATCGAATACGGATATTATATTTATCAATGCCACAAGAAGAATTGGTTTCTTATTCATCACCAGGAGTAATTCTGTGGGAAAAAAGGTTAATTTGAGCCAGATAAAAAATACATAACAAACAAACAATAGCAAATGTGTCATGGCCTAATTAACATGATTACAATTTGATTACAATTTGATTCATGATAAAGAAACTGATTTTATTTTAATTAAGTTGAAGAAAGGAGAGAGAGAGAAAAAAATCTTGATGAATTCATGTGTATTCATGAACTGTCCTTTCTTTGTCTACGCAAGACCAATGCACATCCACTACTTTGTACCTTTCAAGTTTCTCAAAATGACTTAATTCAACAATCATGGGCAATACTATAATGTCTTCAACAAAGGCACCTCAGTCCATACACCCATGCTATGATACAACTGTTCAAAGTAGCATTAAACCCATTCACTCACTCACTCTGCCCAGCACTAGTATACCTCGACATCAGCATCTGATACACTGACTGCAGCATCCTCCCAGCTGTTACCATGGTTATAGGTTTACCTACCAACCTGGGGCTTTACAAAAGGTTTAGCTTCAACAGTCCTGCGTAAATCTCCTAATGTTGTGTTGATGATGAGGTCCTGGGGGGAGAGAAAGTAGTTAGAAATAAACATCCATATAAACTGTCATTCGTCCATAGTTGATGAAACAATCAAAGTAAAGAATGCAAATCCTGTTAATTAAACTGTCTGCTGAGCGAGTGAAGTTGAACCAGTATAGCAGTATAGAATGTACATGTTGATTCAGTCACAGTGTTCAGGTTTGGGGACTGAGTCATAGATAAAAAAAACGTGGGCTGTATTCATAGTATCTAATTTTGCCAAAATTGAATATTTTTAAACTCCTTATACTTCTGATCTTAACATTATTAACCTGGTGACAAGGGAGTTATATCAGTATATCACATCATTAGAACACACCGATTTACATAGTACAGTTACGTAGTGAACATAAATCATCGGAGAGTTGAAGAATAATATAATCCATGTCATATTTACCTTGAATGGAGCAGTGCTAGCCATCAGTTTTGTATCCAGCAATCTGAAGAAGAACATACCAACACAATTTTTAATACAGGTTTCACAGTAGAGACAAATACGAGGGGTGTTCATTAAAGATTTCCCCTGACCCTCTTAGGGATATCATATTTGGTTGAAATTTCACATGTGTAATGATACATGTATCTATGGGTTATGTCTGAATTTGCAGCACCGAACTATTAATCTTACCACTTTTACAGGTGTTATGATCGAGTAGGGTGTGACAATGGAGCCAGTAGAATACCGAGCAGTGATAAGGTTTTTATATTTGAAAGGTCGCACACCAAGAGAAACTTTCGATGAAATGAAAGCAACTTATGGGGAAGATGCCCCATCATATGACGTTGTTAAACACTGGCATCGCCAGTTTAAGTGTGGTCGGACATCTGTGGAAACAGCTGCCATTCCTGGTCGCCCCCATTCAGCCATTGATGAGGACACTATCCATCAAGTTGAGACCGCCATTTTGGCAGACCGACGTATATATATCTCATGTTGCCCAGACAGAAGCGCGGTCCTGTGCCTATGAAATCCTTCCACATCCTCCTTACTCTCCTGACCTTGCACCATCTGACTTCCACCTCTTTCCAACCATGAAGTATTTTTTGGAGGGAAAACGTTTCACTGATGATGTAACACTGATTTCTGAAGACAAGTCCTGGTTTGAGACGCAAAATGAGGGCTTTTACAAGCGAGGTCTCCATAGTTGCATAAAATGATGGGAGAAGTGTGTAACTCTTGGTGGTTCCTATGTGGAGAAAGACTAATACCTATGCCAAGTTTCATTCCACTAGGTCCATTGGAAGTGGGTCAGGGGAAATCTTTAACGAACACCCCTCGTACCTTCTGGAGCCAGATCTTTTTTTTGTTCTGCTTTTATTGACTTTGATAATGAAAAAGGTCGGTAGAAGGTCCAAACAAACATAACATACATTGGATTGTTTTTAATCACCTCAAACTTTCATATGGATTGGTAGCTGACAATTCTTTTCACAAATCTTGTCCTGGTTTGGGTATATGGATGGATGGATGGATGGATGGATGGATGGATATCATTATATATTTCAAAGCAATGGTATAAATAAAACCACCTTAATCTAAATTGGATCCTTAAACCAAGCCAAAACAAAAAACGTAAAAAACTCCAAAGGCTGGAAATTGGCATTATCATTCATTATCCATTCAACTTCATAAAATACTTTTGAGATGATCTGGAGTTGGACCTAGGTGGAGCTGACTGTACTATGTATACTCAGCCGCCATTGTAACAACCTAATACCCACTTCGTAGGGCCCTGGCACTGCATTATGGGCCAAGCCTGTCCCTGAATTAACACATGTAGGATTACTTAGTGGATAAACAGAGAAACATGCAAAGTCACTTAAAAGAGTATGACATCACATACACAACATGCTTAAGGGCTCAAGCAAATAATATATCACTTCCTTTGAAAACAATATGAACCTAATACTAAGGATCATGAACTGCTGTGATAGTTGTTTGAGAAATGCACGTAGTGGAAGTAACACTATTCCATCACTGACCGGGGAAGGCAACACTTCACCATTGCCTTGAAATCTTCATATTCCTGAAAGAGAAATCACCAAACACTGATAACACAAAGACACAACTTGTTCATGTTTACAGCTATCTGTATCATCTATATTACAACAGTTTGTTTGTTTATTGTTTTACGCAACACTCAGCAATATTCCAGCTATATGACAGCGGTCTGTAAATAATCGAGGCTGGACCAGATGATCCTGTGATTGACATCACATGCATTGATCCACACAGTTGGGATCGATGACATGCATCTACCAAGTCAGTGAGTCTGACCACCCGATCCCGTTAGTCGCCTCTTTCGACATGCATTGTCGCCTGTTATGGCAAGCATGGGTTGCTGAAGACCTATTCTACCCCGGATCTTCACGGGTCCTATTACAACAAACTGCTAAAAGCAACTGTACAACAATCACTTGGTGTGTCTTGGTCCTGGATTGTATTGTGTGTCAACTCTGTAGTTTTCTGTCATGGAATTGAAGTTCTGTGTAACCAAAACCTCCATTACACCATATCCTACCATGATTTAAAAAAGTCAATCCTGATTGGTCAATCAGGGGTTATAAATTACAATAACCACCTCTGAATGAAACAGCTGATTTAATGGCTGCATCACCGTAGAAGCTAATATTTACAGAAAACTACTTCAATCTCATTAAGAATTTTGAAGTAATGATGTATGATATTAGATCGCAAAATGCAGAGTTGCAGTAAACATGATGCAAATGGAATAAGAGTGTATTTCAATTTTTTTGAAGAACAGCAAGCCTAAAATTGAGTGCTATTCTATCTGACCATGGTGTCATACTTTTTGCATCACGATGGCTTCATAACACCTGATGAAGGAGTAAGCATATACACCGAAATATGTGTTCCTCATAATAAAGAAGTTGTCATCCACAAATCCTCTCTCTTATGCGTATCACTTCTAAATTCCATTAATTGATTTGACTTCATACAGTTTTATTCAGTGTAGAAGTAAACTTTGCAAGGCAGGCTTAATTATCTTGAGGAGTGCTGACTTCTTGCTGGCTGACGAAGTAGCTCTGCTACACTTCCTGTGTAGGATGACGTGAAGAACAATGCTAGACAATATACAGCACCATACTGGCTACATGCTATAATCAGGCTTTCCTGAACTCAGATGGACTCCCACTCAAAACAGGGGTTGGTTGGTTTGTTGTTTAACGCCGCACTCAGCAATATTCCAGCTATATGACGACGGTCTGTAAATAATCGAGTCTGGACCAGACAATCCAGTGATTAATATCATGAGCATCGATCCATGCATTTGGGATACGATGACATGCATCAACCAAGTCAGCGAGCCAGACCACCCGATCCCGTTAGTCGCCTCTTACGACAAGCACACTCGCCTTTTACGGCAAGCATGGGTTGCTGAAGACCTATTCTACCCCGGAATCTTCATGGGTCCTCAAAACAGGGGACTTCACTCAATATTTTCACAAAGGACAATGATTCCTGTTTAGTGTTGTCATGGTTGAATGGAGATAAGCATACCGGGGGTACTGTGTTTTCAAGGTAGAGCTTGGTTACCTGTAGACTTAACCATGCTAAAGTAAACATTTGAAACCTAATGCTGGTTCTACATTCAATTCGCCGAGGACAAGTCTACAGATAGTGAGTATTGTTTTACGCCACTTTTAGCAATATTCCAGCAATATCACGGTGGGGGACACCAGAAATGGGCTTCACACATTGTACCCACGTGGGGAATCGAACCCGGGTCGTCAGCATGACAAGCGAACCACTAGGCTGCCCCACCACCCCAGTCTACGGATAACCAAGCTCTACATTGAAAACACAGTACGTTTATCTTCTAGTGTGATACTCATATGCATATATCACTGACAGATTTTGTTAGATTTTGGTGACATTGTGACTTTCAACCACCTGTTTCCTACTTGGTGTATGCTATGGTAAGGTTACTACCTCAGGCAGGGGGAAGTTGAACTGGTTGATGACATGGATGAGATCCAACAGCATGTTGTGCCCCACGACCAGCTTGCCCTGCAGACAGTCAGACAGTCAGACAGTCAGACACCAATATTACACTGTAACAATGGGGGTCTACAAAGGCGGCCCTGATGAAGAGGCAAGAAGTTGCCCTGAAACATTGTTACAAACATTAAAGAAGTTGTTATTCATAAAAGTATCATGTCTTCATACAAAGTTAGGCAAGCCAGCGACTAACAGTGGCACATTGCATGCTCAAAGCACTACACTATTTTTACTCCAGTCACTGGATCGGTGTGCACTCGATTTCATTCTCAGTTCCCTGGGGAGTATACCATGCAAGCTGCCCATGAGGCTCTAGAAGGTTAGGTCACATTACCATCTCATCCTACTGGGTACCCATTCACAGCTGGGTGAACAGAGGCATGTCTCGAACAGTCACAAGACACCACATGTGCTACATATGTTTCAGACATTATTTTACAAAACATTGAAAAAAGTAAAGAGCAAAACCATATACATCATAATTTGTGACAGTGGTCTTGTGGAAAATATAGGCTACCTCTACCTACAATGTATTCTTTTCAATATAATTGCATCTGAATGTCAGAAAACAGATTACTCACAGACTGTGACAGCATCTGTGTGACTTTACAGAAACCAACAGCTTCGTCCACCTCGGCCTGGAAACAAAGATCATTATTCCTCTACATCATTTACAAGAAATCACTCACAGGCCAGTTTGTACCTGGTCATGTGATCTTCAGCGTATTCAGAGCTGATTGATCAGTCTGGATATCCCACTACACTAATATTAAACAAAATATGGTCAATATCTACAAATAGTCGCGTTGGTCTGGGACTGACTGAGTTGAAGTGTTAAGTAGCTTTACCATCTCAGCATCCATCTTGGCCTTCTCTCTGGCCTTCAGGTCCTCCTCACTCTGCACAGCCGACACCACGATGTAGCGCTCCTTCTTCTCCCCGATCTTTGTCTCCAGGTGGATGTTGGAGTACCTGACAGAGAGCAGCACAAGTCACTGGCTAGGTGATCTATAAACATCCATTGAACACAGGGGGTGAATGAGTGGATGTTGGAGTACCTGACAGAGAGCAGCACAAGTCACTGGCTAGGTGATCTATACACATCCATTGAACACGGGGGGTGAATGAGTGGATGTTGGAGTACCTGACAGAGAGCAGCACAAGTCACTGGCTAGGTGATCTATAAACATCCATTGAACACAGGGGGTGAATGAGTGGGTGTTGGGAGTACCTGACAGAGAGCAGCACAAGTCACTGGCTAGGTGATCTATACACATCCATTGAACACAGGGGGTGAATGAGTGGATGTTGGGAGTACCTGACAGAGAGCAGCACAAGTCACTGGCTAGGTGATCTATAAACATCCATTGAACACAGGGGGTGAATGAGTGGGTGTTGGGAGTACCTGACAGAGAGCAGCACAAGTCACTGGCTAGGTGATCTATAAACATCCATTGAACACAGGGGGTGAATGAGTGGATGTTGGAGTACCTGACAGAGAGCAGCGCAAGTCACTGGCTAGGTGATCTATACACATCCATTGAACACAGGGGGTGAATGAGTGGATGTTGGGAGTACCTGACAGAGAGCAGCACAAGTCACTGGCTAGGTGATCTATACACATCCACTGAACACGGGGGGTGAATGAGTGGATGTTGGGAGTACCTGACAGAGAGCAGCACAAGTCACTGGCTAGGTGATCTATAAACATCCATTGAACACAGGGGGTGAATGTTATTTTGAGCCAGAGTCAACAATATTACAGCTACACCATGGCAGACTGTAAGTAATTCAGCGTGGTGATATCATGTGCAACAATCCTAGTAAAATCTAATATTTGTTACTTTATATCCTGCATTACTCTTCAATGCCATTGGGGTACAATGAATGCATGAGGGATTCTATTCTAGCACTATACACCCAGAATGGTCACTGCAGATGAACCAAAGTGGATATCAAACCTTGGCCTTCAGTGTGGACAAGACAACACTTTCATCACATGGCAAACCTGGGGCCAATGAAACACAATCAGCCAGGTCACACATTCTTACACACCTATCCACTTGTACAAAATTCTGAGGTGCCTGTGTTCGTAAAACATCTCCACATGACAGGATCATATTTTACACCAACAAGATATTTATTAATGATATGGACATTGATGGACAGAAAGTCCTTTCCACTCCTCCCTTGTGGACCATCAGACCATGTGTAGTTTGGTTAGCAGTTGACTCACTTGAGCCTGGCTGTCTGGTAGATGAGTTTCCTCTGGAAAGCGGAACACTGGGGCAGCTGTAAGGGCTCCTTGGTTGCCTTGGCGATGTAGTCCTTGATTTGTTCACTGTCCGTACACAAAAACAACAATCAGTTCCTGTACAACTTATAAAACCTGTGGAATTATACTATTTCTGCTGTTGAATGCTTTAGGAAGTCAACAGCCATTTGTGCAAAAAATGTTTCAGTCCACTCATCTGAACTGGCATCATTATCAGAAGATTTTAATGTTAATATATTGCATCTTACACCTGAGCTTAGAAGGAACCTAAAATCTGGCTTCCGACTGGGTCTTAAAGTATCAAACTGGAAGCCTCATCACCTTTTAACAACATCACAGTCCATCTAATTCCTCATGGTATGAAAAATGCTTCACCAATTAAAAAGATTTAGTCTACATTTCTGATTACAATAGAGACCTGATTAGTAAAGGTCACATCTTCCAACTACCTAGCAGACCTGCCAGCTCACCAGATATTGTCAATGAAGTCTTTCTGATCATCTGGGACCTCTACTGGCCCCTTGTAGGGCCCAGCACTGGCCCCGTGGGGACTCGTGAAAGCTGGAGATGACAACTGGGCATGTTCAGCATTCCTCTTCTTGATCGACTCCTTCAGGCGTTCTTCTTGTGGTGGGGTCAAGTATGGGATTCCTGGACAGTTTCAACATATGTCACACAGCAGGATAGATACTGACTGTCACAGAATGAAACCACCTACATACCAAAATCTCTATGAGTGCCCTAGATGAAGACATTGATGTAACCAGGACAGTTGTGTATTTAGAGAATAAACCTGCATGCTTGGCGAGGGACTTTCAACATAACTTCATGAGGGTCAGATAAGTTGAGAGTAGGTTATTCTCTTTATTACATTTGTAGAAAGTAGAAAATGTAGAAGCACAGGTTTCCTGATCTCATGTGGAGGCACTTGCTCAGTCAGTGTCTTGTTGGAACACATTCACCGGAACATTGTCCAGATGCATGAGTGAATGTTGTTTAATGCTGCAGACAGCAAAAGTCACTCTACGTCATGGCAGCCTGAAGCATGAAGGCACCATGCCTGACACCTGATCCAATGTAGTCTACTGCCCATTACAAGCAATAGAGAGGTGAGAAACTAGTTTAACCCAGGTCAACATTGGGAGCAGGAATGTGATATATACATGATACTGCTCAAAACAACCATACACCTAATTCACTTGATCACACGGTCACTTACCGTCTCTAAACACTTTGTTGAAATCAAAATTCTGTGACACGAGGAAGTCAATACTTGAAGCCTGCAACAGTCGGGACAGGCAAGGGGAGGTGATTAACTGATTCATGTCATGAGTAAAACTTCATAGCTACACAAATTCATAACATCCACTCACACTCCGGATCATCAGTATCCTGGGAATGTATACACTGCATCCTTCTCCCTGTGCATACATTGGGCTGCTGTCTTTACACTGCATCCTTCTCCCTGTGCATACATTGGGCTGCTGTCTTTACACTACATCCTTCTCCCTGTGCATACATTGGGCTGCTGTCTTTACACTGCATCCTTCTCCCTGTGCATACATTGGGCTGCTGTCTTTACACTACATCCTTCTCCCTGTGCATACATTGGGCTGCTGTCTTTACACTACATCCTTCTCCCTGTGCATACATTGGGCTGCTGTCTTTACACTGCATCCTTCTCCCTGTGCATACATTGGGCTGCTGTCTTTACACTGCATCCTTCTCCCTGTGCATACATTGGGCTGCTGTCTTTACACTGCATCCTTCTCCCTGTGCATACATTGGGCTGCTGTCTTTACACTGCATCCTTCTCCCTGTGCATACATTGGGCTGCTGTCTTTACACTGCATCCTTCTCCCTGTGCATACATTGGGCTGCTGTCTTTACACTGCATCCTTCTCCCTGTGCATACATTGGGCTGCTGTCTTTACACTACATCCTTCTCCCTGTGCATACATTGGGCTGCTGTCTTTACACTGCATCCTTCTCCCTGTGCATACATTGGGCTGCTGTCTTTACACTACATCCTTCTCCCTGTGCATACATTGGGCTGCTGTCTTTACACTACATCCTTCTCCCTGTGCATACATTGGGCTGCTGTCTTTACACTACATCCTTCTCCCTGTGCATACATTGGGCTGCTGTCTTTACACTACATCCTTCTCCCTGTGCATACATTGGGCTGCTGTCTTTACACTGCATCCTTCTCCCTGTGCATACATTGGGCTGCTGTCTTTACACTGCATCCTTCTCCCTGTGCATACATTGGGCTGCGGTCTTTACACTACATCCTTCTCCCTGTGCATACATTGGGCTGCTGTCTTTACACTACATCCTTCTCCCTGTGCATACATTGGGCTGCTGTCTTTACACTGCATCCTTCTCCCTGTGCATACATTGGGCTGCTGTCTTTACACTACATCCTTCTCCCTGTGCATACATTGGGCTGCTGTCTTTACACTGCATCCTTCTCCCTGTGCATACATTGGGCTGCTGTCTTTACACTACATCCTTCTCCCTGTGCATACATTGGGCTGCTGTCTTTACACTGCATCCTTCTCCCTGTGCATACATTGGGCTGCTGTCTTTACACTGCATCCTTCTCCCTGTGCATACATTGGGCTGCTGTCTTTACACTGCATCCTTCTCCCTGTGCATACATTGGGCTGCTGTCTTTACACTGCATCCTTCTCCCTGTGCATACATTGGGCTGCTGTCTTTACACTACATCCTTCTCCCTGTGCATACATTGGGCTGCTGTCTTTACACTGCATCCTTCTCCCTGTGCATACATTGGGCTGCTGTCTTTACACTACATCCTTCTCCCTGTGCATACATTGGGCTGCTGTCTTTACACTGCATCCTTCTCCCTGTGCATACATTGGGCTGCTGTCTTTACACTGCATCCTTCTCCCTGTGCATACATTGGGCTGCTGTCTTTACACTGCATCCTTCTCCCTGTGCATACATTGGGCTGCTGTCTTTACACTGCATCCTTCTCCCTGTGCATACATTGGGCTGCTGTCTTTACACTGCATCCTTCTCCCTGTGCATACATTGGGCTGCTGTCTTTACACTGCATCCTTCTCCCTGTGCATACATTGGGCTGCTGTCTTTACACTGCATCCTTCTCCCTGTGCATACATTGGGCTGCTGTCTTTACACTGCATCCTTCTCCCTGTGCATACATTGGGCTGCTGTCTTTACACTGCATCCTTCTCCCTGTGCATACATTGGGCTGCTGTCTTTACACTGCATCCTTCTCCCTGTGCATACATTGGGCTGCTGTCTTTACACTGCATCCTTCTCTCTGTGCATACATTGGGCTGCTGTCTTTACACTGCATCCTTCTCCCTGTGCATACATTGGGCTGCTGTCTTTACACTGCATCCTTCTCCCTGTGCATACATTGGGCTGCTGTCTTTACACTACATCCTTCTCCCTGTGCATACATTGGGCTGCTGTCTTTACACTGCATCCTTCTCCCTGTGCATACATTGGGCTGCTGTCTTTACACTGCATCCTTCTCCCTGTGCATACATTGGGCTGCTGTCTTTACACTACATCCTTCTCCCTGTGCATACATTGGGCTGCTGTCTTTACACTACATCCTTCTCCCTGTGCATACATTGGGCTGCTGTCTTTACACTGCATCCTTCTCCCTGTGCATACATTGGGCTGCTGTCTTTACACTACATCCTTCTCCCTGTGCATACATTGGGCTGCTGTCTTTACACTACATCCTTCTCCCTGTGCATACATTGGGCTGCTGTCTTTACACTACATCCTTCTCCCTGTGCATACATTGGGCTGCTGTCTTTACACTACATCCTTCTCCCTGTGCATACATTGGGCTGCTGTCTTTACACTACATCCTTCTCCCTGTGCATACATTGGGCTGCTGTCTTTACACTACATCCTTCTCCCTGTGCATACATTGGGCTGCTGTCTTTACACTACATCCTTCTCCCTGTGCATACATTGGGCTGCTGTCTTTACACTACATCCTTCTCCCTGTGCATACATTGGGCTGCTGTCTTTACACTACATCCTTCTCCCTGTGCATACATTGGGCTGCTGTCTTTACACTACATCTTTCTCCCTGTGCATACATTGGGCTGCTGTCTTTACACTGCATGCTTCTCCCTGTGCATACATTGGGCTGCTGTCTTTACACTGCATCCTTCTCCCTGTGCATACATTGGGCTGCGGTCTTTACACTGCATCCTTCTCCCTGTGCATACATTGGGCTGCTGTCTTTACACTGCATCCTTCTCCCTGTGCATACATTGGGCTGCTGTCTTTACACTACATCCTTCTCCCTGTGCATACATTGGGCTGCTGTCTTTACACTACATCCTTCTCCCTGTGCATACATTGGGCTGCTGTCTTTACACTACATCCTTCTCCCTGTGCATACATTGGGCTGCTGTCTTTACACTACATCCTTCTCCCTGTGCATACATTGGGCTGCTGTCTTTACACTACATCCTTCTCCCTGTGCATACATTGGGCTGCTGTCTTTACACTACATCCTTCTCCCTGTGCATACATTGGGCTGCTGTCTTTACACTACATCCTTCTCCCTGTGCATACATTGGGCTGCTGTCTTTACACTACATCCTTCTCCCTGTGCATACATTGGGCTGCGGTCTTTACACTACATCCTTCTCCCTGTGCATACATTGGGCTGCTGTCTTTACACTACATCCTTCTCCCTGTGCATACATTGGGCTGCTGTCTTTACACTGCATCCTTCTCCCTGTGCATACATTGGGCTGCTGTCTTTACACTGCATCCTTCTCCCTGTGCATACATTGGGCTGCTGTCTTTACACTACATCCTTCTCCCTGTGCATACATTGGGCTGCTGTCTTTACACTACATCCTTCTCCCTGTGCATACATTGGGCTGCGGTCTTTACACTGCATCCTTCTCCCTGTGCATACATTGGGCTGCTGTCTTTACACTGCATCCTTCTCCCTGTGCATACATTGGGCTGCTGTCTTTACACTACATCTTTCTCCCTGTGCATACATTGGGCTGCTGTCTTTACACTGCATGCTTCTCCCTGTGCATACATTGGGCTGCTGTCTTTACACTGCATCCTTCTCTCTGTGCATACATTGGGCTGCGGTCTTTACACTGCATCCTTCTCCCTGTGCATACATTGGGCTGCTGTCTTTACACTGCATCCTTCTCCCTGTGCATACATTGGGCTGCTGTCTTTACACTACATCCTTCTCCCTGTGCATACATTGGGCTGCTGTCTTTACACTACATCCTTCTCCCTGTGCATACATTGGGCTGCTGTCTTTACACTGCATCCTTCTCCCTGTGCATACATTGGGCTGCTGTCTTTACACTGCATCCTTCTCCCTGTGCATACATTGGGCTGCTGTCTTTACACTACATCCTTCTCCCTGTGCATACATTGGGCTGCTGTCTTTACACTGCATCCTTCTCCCTGTGCATACATTGGGCTGCTGTCTTTACACTACATCCTTCTCCCTGTGCATACATTGGGCTGCTGTCTTTACACTACATCCTTCTCCCTGTGCATACATTGGGCTGCTGTCTTTACACTGCATCCTTCTCCCTGTGCATACATTGGGCTGCTGTCTTTACACTGCATCCTTCTCCCTGTGCATACATTGGGCTGCGGTCTTTACACTGCATCCTTCTCCCTGTGCATACATTGGGCTGCTGTCTTTACACTGCATCCTTCTCCCTGTGCATACATTGGGCTGCTGTCTTTACACTGCATCCTTCTCCCTGTGCATACATTGGGCTGCTGTCTTTACACTGCATCCTTCTCCCTGTGCATACATTGGGCTGCTGTCTTTACACTGCATCCTTCTCCCTGTGCATACATTGGGCTGCTGTCTTTACACTGCATCTTTCTCCCTGTGCATACATTGGGCTGCTGTCTTTACACTACATCCTTCTCCCTGTGCATACATTGGGCTATGCTTGAAGTGTAGTTCGTACACATGAATAAGTGCTTCCACTATGATGTGTGCCAGGGAGTGCTCTGGCCAATGGATGCTCAGATTATATCAGTAAGTTTCTTTTAAATATTCACAGATTTGAGACAGAATGAATTTAACTTCAGTGATTTAGACAATGCTTCATTGTATCAGCTGACTAAAGATTTACATTACCATGGCAGTCAAACATATTCATGTGTGATGGAGGGATACACAATCTCATTTATATCAATAAGACTTCAATTTGATGCCTCTCTCCAGCAATATCTGACAAACCCTCTACATCAGATCGCAACACCCAATTAGTGTGGGGACTCCTCATGTCTCTATACAAGTCAGCGAAGCTTCACCATTTCACAACAGCATACCTCATTACTTTGCATCTTTAAAATCGTCATAAATGGACACTTCCTAATGATGAATAAAAATGTTTGTGCTGTGCTGTGCTGCAAATATTTTATATCATGTCGTACCAGTCATGTTTTTTAATCTTTTTTTCTGTTTCATTTCTGCTACTTAGAACATGACTAAATCTGCCCATAGAGTGTTGTTCCAGGCTGCTAGTATCAGAATGCAGGTGAACCGTTACCGAAAGTAGACATCTCAAAACCCCATGCTTTCTTCCTGTGGATTGGGTGGTCATATGTCGTTCAGGGTTCAGCTGACACGCCCTGCTACAAAGGGTTTGTCAGATGTTGATGGAGAGAGGCAACAGATCAGTGTATAAGATCTGAATTTAATAAGATTTGAGAAACATAGTATGTACAAATCCATAAAGTATTGACGATTATTTCAGAATGAAACCACTCGCTACTCAAACTGTGTACACCTGCTGATTAATTTCGCTCAAGTATACATGTGTACAAGAGGTTTGCATTTCACTGTCATTGACACGGGACTTGGAGAGCTGCTCACAGTCATGCCGTTGATGACGTCAAGGTCTAAACGGTATCGTAGCCCAAACACAATTGGAGGTAGAGAATCAAGAGCCTACATTCAAGAATCCAAGCAATAGTACTCTCTAAAGTGATTCGTGGGAGACATTTCCAAAGAGAGGAAAGTCGTGTGACTGTTCCTAGGTACTGACCTGACAGAGAAATCGTAGATCTGGAGCCTGGCGACTGAATGGACGTGGGAATATGTACATGTTGAATGGTCGGGATGTGTAACTGAAACAATACACCAGGACATGACTGTCAATTGCACATGACATATGCTTTAGAGGACAGGATCAGAGATGCAGTTATGTTATATAAATTATAATATTTATTATATATGTATACATGTCATACCTATCCTAATACAACCGCTGCAAATTCCCTCTCTCTTCAATCCCATTACATAACCAAAATTTGCCGCTCAAGCAGGTCACCAATCTGAGTTACTGCTTTGTACATCTTGTGTTAAAACGTAAAAGACTTTATGTTAGAAAGGCTATCAGTGACATTAAATGTTGATGCAGTACATGCATATATCATGCATGCATACCTTTTTTTCTCTGGATCATATTTAAAAGCTGCTAGGCCAAACTGTACAAGTAAAAAATGTGCTGCACCCTGAAACAAAAAACTACAGATTATATGCAGGACATGCAAACATTGAACATAAACTTGCCATGCTTGCCCTGAAACTGAGATTTGAAAAGTTACATTTCATGTACTGAACGTGCAGCGATGTTGCCATCATAAATTGTGCAACTTAGTCTACAAGCAAATTAATCTGTATGTTTAAAGTTTTAAAGTTAAAACTTTAGGATGCTTGTTCCAGATGATATCATTTTCAAGGAACCATGGAAACCGGCAGTTGAAATAATCCCTTTAATGCTCATGACATAAATTTGCAATGCAGGCAAGATACTGGTCCATTTCACTTGCCTTCCTCAACTTGTGGTATCTCTCTTCGGGGGTATCAAATGATCCGATTGACTCAGCATCCTTGGCATGAAGTCCTGACAATCAATATTTGCATTCCAAATAAAATATGTTAAACATATTAAACACAATTAATATCATCTGTTATAAGCTAACGTTTTAATTTGTCTTTTCCATTAAACCAATTTCCATATGATCATAATGATGTAGGCACTTGGGGCTATGATCATGATGATGTAAGCACTTGGGGCTATGATCATGATGATGTAGGCACTTGGGGCTATGATCATGATGATGTAGGCACTTGGGGCTATGATCATGATGATGTAGGCACTTGGGGCTATGATCATGATGATGTAGGCACTTGGGGCTATGATCATGATGATGTAGGCACTTGGGGCTATGATCATTCTGATCCTGCTGATGTTACTCTATTCCGACGCTGTTCTTTTATGATGTCGCTCTATTTTGATGTCACTCTTTTCTGATATCGCTCTGTTCTCATGTCGCTCTGTTCTCATGTCACTCTATTCTGATGTCGCTTTATTCTGATCATGCTGATGTCTCTATATTCTGATGTCACTCTACTGTGTAGACTTTAGTCTTCACTGCAGAACTACACCAAAAATTAACTGATATTAAGTAAATATTTTGAAGGCTGAACAAATGCTGAAAGGTTCCAGAAAGAATAGTTTTACAACATGTGCCAAAGGTCAGCTGATAATACATATGATGTTTCCTACCTGTAAATTCCCCATCAATCGCAAGGAAGTCTGCTTCTTTGATAGCTTCCTCGATTTGACTGAGACATTCCTTAAAGTCTGTAATTTGCCAAATTCATAAAAATAACATGAACACAATGAATACATACAAGTAATAAAATAACAACAATCATCATAATATAGAGCTTCATGATTAGCTCAAGCATTATCTAAGATATAAGACAAAGCACCTCTGCCCGTGGCTGGTAAATATGGAAGAAACAGTATTCCCCCCAAATGACAGGTTTTGGAACATGTGGAAGGCCCAGAGTTTCTTTCAGCTGCATTCAGATGTAATTCAAGCATGTTGACATTGCCCAGTAGCAATGTTGTGAAGATGATTTCAAAATCTTACTATTTATTGGTCCACTTATCAGTGAAATAAAAAGTACCTTGTCAAAAATTTAACATTAGATGTAATCATAATAACTTGAATTGGGAAATATTTAATTTCAATGTTTTGATTTTCACCAAAATTTACTGCAGACATGGGGACGAAGATAAGTCTCTGAAACCACCTGGATATATCTCTGTACATAGTTCAGCATTTCATCCCATGGCAACAAAGATCAATCTCACCTGTTTCCAGTGTAACTTTACCATGTTTACACTGTGGTATACAAATTTGCACTCAGCAGAAATACTGTACTACACCTGTATAATCATGTTAATGCGCACTGAATGTAGAATTAAACAATTTCATGCAGAGTTCAACATTTTATCAATATCCCGACCAAATGTGTACTTTACCTCATCACTGGCTTAACTAATACACAATCTCATTAAAATCAGATCTTAGTTCTCGCTACCGCTAAACAAAAGTCTGAGGACATCCCATTAGGGGTCACGTTAGAATGACCTTATATCCGACCAATCAGAGCGTCGCTTACCGGATCATGAAAGTGACAGTCGGAATGTGATTTCTGATCATGCAACCTCAAAAACTTAAACACGGGGTATTCCGAATGTTAGTTACGGGCTTAACGACTGAATCCATACAATTTAGACTATCTATTAGCCATTCCAGAATGTTATTTTGTTTAGGTTTCAAATTTGTAATCGAGAATTTGTCAAAATATGTTTTGAAGCGTAGTCACCAATTTGAAACTAGTGCCATAAAGCATGAGAAAGCTACCTTCTGATTGGATAATGTCGACTTCTTGTCAGTCATTCCATTGGTCAGTCAAAGTTTGCGCAAGGTCGGTCTGACGTGACCCACAATAGGGTGCCCTCTGATCTTTGTTTAGCGGTAGCAAGAATTAAGATCTGATTTTAATGAGATTGAACTAATACTCTGTGTGTAATCTCATAATAGTGGCTCTGTTCATGTTTTCACAATGGTTCAACATTGGTTGTTTGTCCCCTTGACAACTTTTGACTTTTCCATACACGGGAAATGGTAATGAAACTTGGAACCTAATTCTACATGAGTGAAATTAACTCCTGATGTCATCTAATGCTACTATGATTGGACTGAAGAACTGTTCATGGATTGTCTGGTGTGTTTAGTTAAAATACAAGAACATAGTAACCCACTTTGCGGATTGAATTTTACGGTGCACATGATTTCAATGTGTATCGGAGGAATGTTAAGGATAACTGTTCAGTGACTGTTTGTTTATATATTTGTTTTCAGGAAATGGACTTTGTCGCAAACACATTCAGTTTGGCGGAGAGAACATTAAAATGCACATGCTTTTGCCTGAATGTTTGTGTTATATAAGCATGTCGGCTGGTTTTTAAAGAAGTCTAACTTCAACCATAGTGGTGACTAGACATAAGAATGTATTGTTACTTAGACTGACAGTGCTCATCATAGTCAGCATGACATCATTGTTTGTATAGTTTAACTTTCAGTCATATTCAGAATAATTTTGTAAGGGAAATACTACTATTTTTGTGTAGTGTTCTGCCTTCAATTGTCCTGTCTTTTTATATGTAATTAAAAGGTGAATAGAAAACTTTAGCATTTATTTTCATTCCACTGCAAAACGATGATAATGAGAACTTTGTCTATTTAGAGTTAACCATGGGCAACATTCACATTCTAAACATGCTTCAACCAAACTTTGTATTTTAAGCTTATATATCATAATACTGCGCTTTACTGGGTACACAGTTACCATCATGCTGAGGAACAAACTACTATTGCCAGCTTGAAGCTAAGCTGGGCTAATAAGTACCTAATTAGCCCACACTCTACCCTGTGCAAATAATTAGTGCATGTTTACTAAGTCATCAGCACCCGTTTGTATACCTTTATGCACATGCACAGTAGCCATTTTCTCTATGAAACTTGAAACTTGATAACATATGACTGATTTTACTCCAATTACATTGTATTAATTTGTTAAAAGAGCTAGCTAATAAACACACTAACTCACAGCTAACCCTATGGATTATAAAGGCATGAAAGATCAGTGAAGTAAGACATGCTATAGTCACACCCTGCAGCGTGAGCCAATTATCACTCGCTCTGAGGTGCACCCAGTAAACTGCAGTGTTATAAAGTATCCACAGAGGATTTTTTTTTTAAATAATAAGTGGTCCCTGGTAGAAATGTGCACTAATGTGCCTAATGTGTAATCCAGTGTCATAGTGACATGAGTATATATCTAGAACAAAAGTAGTATAGATTTACCACTGCCCGTTCAACTTCCATGTATTCTCGTCATGGTGGTGATTAGTTTTGTAATGGATGATAAAAACGTAACATTTTGATGTAATAGCCAAAGTATAGCGGTATGAGGGGCAGGTATGATACCAGGACACTATCATGATGTGCCAAAATGTACAATAGGCCCAGTGGTATATTATTCGAAGTAAGATGCCGCGAAATTTGATTTCTCTTCCGAAATGTATGATGTGTAACGGATATCAGAGGTTGACACCGAACGAAAAAATGTCCAAGATACCAAACAATTAACATGACATTAACAACCAAATTATGATGAACTAAATGTATTTTTGAAATAAGTTTCGTAAAAGCGAAAGTAAAAATCAAGCTCTCACTCGTTTTGGTGACCTCCATCTTGTTTTGGTGTAGACGCTTATAGCAAACACAAACAAGGAACTCGTGATAATTATCAATCTATTTCTGTCATATTATACTAAATTGTAAAAACAAATATAAAGGATATTTTTTTTGTAACTTAGATGTCACGTTGCCTCCTGGTCTAACCATTTTTGTTGTTGTAAGGGGAAACTAAATGATACTACTGTAGAACAACACATCTCGATAAACACAAGTCTCAATTCGAGTGTCACACCTTAGATCATCCTTTCTCATAGTTTTTCACGTGTGCATATTTACAATTAATACAGTAAATGACAGAAGGGAAAATAAAGTGAAGTAGAGAAACGTATGTCTAGTACATTAATATCGCTCACTCAAAACCGTTTGTTTTCTTTATAAATATGTGTACATTCGTAAAGATGTTTTAAGCGATAGATCAACCTCGTTTCTCAATCCATTGTTCCTTTTATCATGTAAACAATCGATCGAAATAATGACTACATTGATCAGTTAACATTTTGACATTATTAAAGCATCAAATGCCCTCAGTACTAGGTGGAATATAAGCGGCTAAAAGTGTAAATTAAATTATAACGATGATGTGAATTCAGACAGAATCGGCCAACAACACTACCCACATACAGCCAGAACATTTACCTAATCGCCCTCATCTCGAATACGATCAGTCCTGAAAATACCATCTTCATATTGATGCAAAATAATATGTGATAAAGATGACATTGTTGTCCTTTGAAAAACTGATATCGTGAAACTTCGTAACGCAAATATTTTTGCAACTCACAACCATATGTAATATGGTATCTACTTGATCTGTCACAAAACAATACAACCAGTGGCCATGTTGGTATATGCTTGGACTGTCAGCCAGCAATACAACCAGAGGCCATGTTGGTATATGCTTGGACTGTCATCAAGCAATACAACAAGAGGCCATGTTGGTATATGCTTGGACTGTAACCCACCAATACAACCAGAGGCCATGTTGGTATATGCTTGGACTGTCAGCCAGCAATACAATCAGTGGCCATGTTGGTATATGCTTGGACTGTCAGCCAGCAATACAATCAGTGGCCATGTTGGTATATGCTTGGACTGTAACCCATTAATACAATCAGAGGCCATGTTGGTATATGCTTGGACTGTCAGCCAGCAATACAATCAGTGGCCATGTTGGTATATGCTTGGACTGTCAGCCAGCAATACAATCAGTGGCCATGTTGGTATATGCTTGGACTGTCAGCCAGCAATTCAATCAGTGGCCATGTTGGTATATGCTTGGACTGTCAGCCAGCAATACAACCAGAGGCCATGTTGGTATATGCTTGGACTGTCAGCCAGCAATACAACCAGAGGCCATGTTGGTATATGCTTGGACTGTCAGCCACCAATACAATCAGTGGCCATGTTGGTATATGCTTGGACTGTCAGCCACCAATACAACCACTGGCCATGTTGGTATATGCTTGGACTGTCAGCCAGCAATACAACCAGAGGCCATGTTGGTATATGCTTGGACTGTCAGCCAGCAATACAACCAGAGGCCATGTTGGTATATGCTTGCACTGTCACCCACCAATACAATCAGAGGCCATGTTGGTATATGCTTGGACTGTAACCCACCAATACAATCAGAGGCCATGTTGGTATATGCTTGGACTGTAACCCACCAATACAACCAGAGGCCATGTTGGTATATGCTTGGACTGTAACCCACCAATACAATCAGAGGCCATGTTGGTATATGCTTGGACTGTCAGCCAGCAATACAATCAGTGGCCATGTTGGTATATGCTTGGACTGTCAGCCAGCAATACAATCAGTGGCCATGTTGGTATATGCCTGGACTGTCAGCCAGCAATACAATCAGTGGCCATGTTGGTATATGCTTGGACTGTCAGCCAGCAATACAACCAGTGGCCATGTTGGTATATGCTTGGACTGTCAGCCAGCAATACAACCAGAGGCCATGTTGGTATATGCTTGGACTGTCACCCACCAATACAATCAGAGGCCATGTTGGTATATGCTTGGACTGTCACCCACCAATACAATCAGTGGCCATGTTGGTATATGCTTGGACTGTCAGCCAGCAATACAACCAGTGGCAATGTTGGTATATGCTTGGACTGTAACCCACCAATACAATCAGAGGCCATGTTGGTATATGCTTGGACTGTCAGCCAGCAATTCAATCAGTGGCCATGTTGGTATATGCTTGGACTGTCAGCCAGAAATACAACCAGTGGCCATGTTGGTATATGCTTGGACTGTAACCCACCAATACAACCAGTGGCCATGTTGGTATATGCTTGGACTGTCAGCCAGCAATACAACCAGTGGCAATGTTGGTATATGCTTGGACTGTCACCCACCAATACAATCAGAGGCCATGTTGGTATATGCTTGGACTGTAAACCACCAATACAATCAGAGGCCATGTTGGTATATGCTTGGACTGTAACCCACCAATACAACCAGTGGCCATGTTGGTATATGCTTGGACTGTAACCCACCAATACAACCAGTGGCCATGTTGGTATATGCTTGGACTGTCAGCCACCAATACAATCAGAGACCATGTTGGTATATGCTTGGACTGTCAGCCAGAAATACAACCAGTGGCCATGTTGGTATATGCTTGGACTGTAACCCACCCATACAACCAGTGGCCATGTTGGTATATGCTTGGACTGTAATCAACCTATACAATCTGTGGTCATGTTGGTATATGCTTGGACTGTCACCCGGCTGTAACAATCAGAGGCCATTCCATCCCAACCCCTCACCAGACAGATAGCTCACACGCCCTCCAGAATATCTAACAGTCAGTCCGATATGAGATTCTCCAGTCCTCAACTGCATCCACAATTGCTATCAAGAAAGAGTGTGTTCGTTTTAAAGGGTAGATACGCGGTTGTTTTATACAACATATCCATGTTAGACTGACCACTTATAACATACACGGAAAGAAAAGATGTTAAATAGTGAAGCTCACATGAAGTGTATGTTGCCACCACCACATACATACATTGATTGTCGTCGGTATGCATTATTTACCTCGATGGCCTGTTCGATTGGATTAAAGGCTTGCACGGTTAACTATTAAATTGGGTGTCTCTTACGATGTATACAAATATCAGCTACAGAGATTTACGGTATTTTGTGCCAACAATCACACCGTTATAATAGATGACGATGACCGAAACTAAGTATGGTTAAAAATGGTTCAGAAAAAAAATAATTTTTTTTTTTATCTTTGTAGCACGCGACCAATCATGGGAAAGAAAACAACTGCATGTTCACGTCACAGATTACATTCAGATTATCGTCCAGGGGCTTGACAGGACAGTGAAAGAAGGTACATACCCATCAGAATTTAGAGATACCGAACTGTGGGTGTCAAATCTATCTCACAGACATATTGTCAGTGGGAATTTATAATCAGCAGCACCGGAATTCAACTAAGAATAAGGTTTTGTTTTGAAATTATGTCAATATGAAAATATTACTTATCTAGTTACAGGTATGTGCAATATCTCGTTCCATTTATTAATGATGTAGGTTCGACTTTAAACCGTGCATAGGTTACTATGACGCAATGGCATATATGTAATATGATGTCATTACCTGGAACCCAGGTAAAATGATATGCTCTTGGCACATATAGTAACGTATAGTATTGTCAATTTGTCAAACACAGAGTAACTTTCTTCATCATAGATTTATAAATACCATAAAATTTCAGTCAGCATTTATTGTTCATGTCATACCAGGTAGGTACATCCTTACCCAATCCAAAATAACTCTCTCACTGGTCATGGAACCTGTATCCGGCATGTGAGGATTGTCCCCGCAAAGTGAAACTGAAAGTGAGATGTTTTAACAGCTGCACCATCATACTGTGTTTTATTTATGTTTAAATTATTACAGCAGTACAGTAAAAGTTTCCAAGGATGGGCTCTTAACCTATTCAACTGTTGTAATGAAGACATGATTACAATATAGATATTGTACAAGGAAGGAATTCTCAACATCTTATCTTTATAAAGGCATAGAACACTATACTTATACTTTCAAAATGGTGAGACCTTTATAAGTGCAGGGTGTTTTGTATGTCGAATACAGTAGGTCCATCTGTTACTGAAATGTAAAGCTGACTACTGTAATCAAAGCATTGGCACCCCTCCAGTAACAATCAACCCTATGAACATATGGGTCAGCAACTTGTGAATCTTATTATGAAAGAAATTATTCCTATTTGAGCTGGGATTGGTAACTCGGGTACTCAGGTCGGGTGGGTACTGAGTAGGACCCGGGTACCCACAGGATTACCGTGACCTGTGGTTAGTCATGTGATATATTGTTTAATGACAAAAATGATCCAGAACTCCATGGTTACACTACAAGTCACTAATATTCGCAATTCTTTTTTACTATGAACGCATTCCTTCTGACTTTTTTATGTTTGAATAAAGATATAGCAACTTCAGTGAATGCATGATCGTTTTATGAGTGTATCTAAATACATTTTGCCAAGGCTACAGTTAAACTATTCCCAATTGGACATTTTGTACCCATCTCAGAACTCTTGAGAACTACAGCAAATACCAGAGTAAGGTGGACCAATAGGGGGTTGGGTACCTGTGTAGTAAATTTGGACTCGTCCCAGCCCTAATTCCCATACTACAGTGTGAAATAGGTAGTTAACTTGTTAGGATATGTTGGCTTTGAAAAGCCTTATAGTTTGGTCAACTTAGACTCAGTGTGTCTTGTCTGATTTTAATAAAGAAATGAATGACTCATGGTCGTTGTTTATTATACAATTAAACACTGCAGGGAGAATAAACCATCAGGGTCGCCTCAATTTTTTTTTCTGCCTGCAGTGTTGTTTTGTAAGATAAACAACGACAACAAGTCATTTATTTCTTATTTGAGATATCAACATTATGTACAGCTTCTTTAAGGATGTTAATAAAATGTACAAGCTTTAAAAATATTCACCCGTATTTAAATAATGATGACTCCCTGAATGGACTCCAGCCTTGTCAATGCTGGACAAGTCTTTTTTACGAACAGGACATTTAATTTGGTATTTCCTGCATATTCTCACAATTTGCACGTCGATTATCTGTATATTTTCTCCCAATGCCGATTGTCATATCGCTCCCACTTTTGGATGCGATCATTAGGCCATTGCGTTTATCTACGTTGCCCAGCTACATCTACGGGGAAGAACTCACTAGACACTTCCCTCTCAAAAAAAACATCATCCAATTTACGACGTCATCAAATTCGAATCTACAGAAATGACGTCTTGATAGAACAATGTTTTATTGTGAAATAAACCATGCTTCGTTCTTCTTTGTTCTTTGCAATGTATCGCGTAGCCGCCTTATATTGATTGAAAAACATCTTTATGCAGTGACTGTGAATGGATGGGACTGCAGTTCGGATGTTGATGCCAGCTGTGAGGAGACTCCACCACCACAGACCTACTCTCATCACTGTTTGAACTCCAAATCAAGTTTCCTCTTGTTCTTGAGCATCTGAATGATGGCTACAATGTCTAGGACTGACTCGGATAGTGACTTTATGTGCAGCTGCTGCTATGAGCTGATGGTGGATCCTACGACACTAGTGTGCGGCCACAACTTCTGCCGGGTGTGCCTGGCACGCTGGTTCCTCACATCCAACAAGAAAGAGTGCCCTACGTGTCGCCAGGAGTGGCAGGGACACCCCAAGATTAACACAGCACTCAGGTGGGATGATTAGAAGGGTTAGACCTGGCTCCAGCACCTTGAAACAACATGGTCCCCAGTATTCTATGTTTGTTGTAAGAGTCATCTAATGAGGATCAGGTGATATGACTTCTTGCGTGTCATCGTATCACGATGGCTTTGATTGTTGCTCATGCTTTCAGTCACTGGTTTGCCTGGTCCAGACTTATTGTTTACAGCCTTCCGTTATGTCATTGGAATATTGGAATTACTCACTCTTTCAGTGGTGTAAGAGTCATCTGAAATGATGGGTGTTATACTTAGGATTTGTCGTGTACAGATTTGATTTATTTACAGGCTGCTGTGAACAGTGTAAGAAATAACTGCCTGCCTGCCTGTAAATGGCTGGTAACTTTCCAGTCTGGCTGCATGAAATTTTCCTCCACCTGCCCGACTCTCTGGCAGAGAATTTTAAGACTACTTACGTTTTCAGTTTTATCATAACTCCTCGTAGATGCTCAAGTAATTGTTTGTATTATTTCAACTGAATAACGACGTTATTTGTCTCTTATTTTTCGCAAATTTTCGATATTTATAATGTCGGAACATGGGCAGGTAAGTTTGAAGATGGGCAGGCAATATTTATGGGTCACCTGCCTGACTGTCTTGTTGGGTTTTATAATGATTTCAAACACTGGCTGTGAAATAGCTGGAATATTACTGACTGTGGAATAATACAGCACCCATGCTCATGACCAACCATTTACTGATCAAGAATGTTTCTTCTATGAAAATAATGATCAGTTTTATGATCATGACAATCATCTGAATGTTTTCAGAAATATGATGAAGAAGATGTACAAAGACAGAATGATGGAAAGAGAAGAGGAAGTATTGAATTTAGAGAATGTAGGCAAGGTGCAGGAATTTGACCGGCGTCTTTCCGGCACAGGGTGCCACCTACAGAGAGTAAACCCGGGGGAGTTCTGTAAGGGGATCGTCATGACCCTAGGGGTTATTCTGGTGAGGGATATTCTAAGTACAGTAGTACTTAGTCCAGTGTGAATAAGGTTGTAGAAGTTTACCACTGAATTGACATCCATGACCATAATCAGAACAAAATTGGGATTAGAACTCACTATCAGCAGATCCTGGCACAGCTAAGGGATGTAAATCTGATAAACAAATTACCACTGGGCCCCACAGAGTCTACATTGATCAGTTAGGTTGCTTAAATTAAGTCTGCTTATATTATCCCCTTTTGACTTTCAATATGGCTACCATGAATTTTGGTATATTTTTGTATGAATTAAATTCTGAACGCATAATAAAACAGTGGCAAAAGATATGGGCAACTTACACTTTGTATGTGTTTGTCTAGATAGCATACTTGGTTTGGTTTTGGAGGCACAGTGACGACGATCTCCTGATACACAAGCCTGTTGTGAGGTGGAAGCCGGACGACGTGGCAGCATGGCTGACACACATGGGCTGGGCAGAGGGCTATGCTGATGCCGTCCACCAGAAGGGCATTGGTAGGTGGGAGAGTTAGTAGCACTATCCACATGGGCTGTAGGTCTGTGTCCTGTTACACTAACCCATCTCATTGCTATCCCTGCAGTCAGTGATAAGGCTGACATCTTATCAAGGTCCAAGAATATATATGTATGACTGCCTTGAAATGACCTTCAATACCAAACTGAATTTAATAGTGAAGGAAGTATTTTCAGATCATTGTTTTGCTGCATTTTGATCTAATTCAAACAAAGAAACAATGATAGATGTCAGTGATAAGGTAATCAGGCCTGTATCTTAGTAGCTGTACTTTTTAATTATCCATGATATCAAGTTGATTGGTTCAAAGTTCTGGTTGCAGAATTCATCAACTCACACACATTCAGTTGGTACAGGGTACAGGGAGTAGTTGGTATCGGGTACAGGGGGTAGTTGGTACAGGGTACAGGGAGTAGTTGGTATCGGGTACAGGGGGTAGTTGGTACAGGGTACAGGGGGTAGTTGGTATAGGGTACAGGGGGTAGTTGGTATAGGGTACAGGGGGTAGTTGGTACAGGATACAGGGAGTAGTTGGTATAGGGTACAGGGGGTAGTTGGTACAGGGTACAGGGGGTAGTTGGTATAGGGTACAGGGGGTAGTTGGTACAGGATACAGGGAGTAGTTGGTATAGGGTACAGGGGGTAGTTGGTACAGGGTACAGGGAGTTGCTGGTACAGGGTACAGGGGAAGTTGGTGTAGGGTACAGGGAGTAGTTGGTACAGGATACAGGGAGTAGTTGGTACAGGATACAGGGAGTAGTTGGTATAGGGTACAGGGGGTAGTTGGTACAGGATACAGGGGGTAGTTGGTACAGGATACAGGGAGTAGTTGGTACAGGATACAGGGGGTAGTTGGTACAGGATACAGGGGGTAGTTGGTACAGGATACAGGGAGTAGTTGGTGTAGGGTACAGGGAGTAGTTGGTACAGGATACAGGGAGTAGTTGGTACAGGATACAGGGAGTAGTTGGTACAGGATACAGGGAGTAGTTGGTACAGGATACAGGGGGTAGTTGGTGTAGGGTACAGGGGGTAGTTGGTACAGGGTACAGGGGGTAGTTGGTAGAGGGGTAGTTGGTATAGGATACAGGGAGTAGTTGGTGTAGGGTACAGGGGGTAGTTGGTACAGGGTACAGGGAGTTGCTGGTACAGGGGTAGTTGTTATAGGATACAGGGAGTAGTTGGTGTAGGGTACAGGGGGTAGTTGGTACAGGGTACAGGGGGTAGTTGGTACAGGATACAGGGAGAAGTTGGTGTAGGGTACAGGGAGTAGTTGGTACAGGCTACAGGGAGTAGTTGGTACAGGATACAGGGAGTAGTTGGTACAGGGTACAGGGGGTAGTTGGTACAGGATACAGGGAGTAGTTGGTACAGGATACAGGGAGTAGTTGGTACAGGATACAGGGAGTAGTTGGTGTAGGGTACAGGGGGTAGTTGGTACAGGATACAGGGAGTAGTTGGTACAGGATACAGGGAGTAGTTGGTACAGGGTACTGGGGGTAGTTGGTACAGGGTACAGGGGGTAGTTGGTACAGGATACAGGGGGTAGTTGGTTCAGGGTACAGGGGGTACTTGGTACAGGGTACAGGGAGTTGCTGGTACGGGGTACAGGGGGTAGTTGGTACAGGGTACAGGGAGTTGCTGGTACAGGATACAGGGGATAGTTGGTACAGGGTACAGGGGGTAGTTGGTACAGGGTACAGGGGGTAGTTGGTACAGGGAGTTGCTGGTACAGGGTACAGGGAGTTGCTGGTACAGGGTACAGGGAGTTGCTGGTACAGGGTACAGGGGATAGTTGGTACAGGGTACAGGGGGTAGTTGGTACAGGATACAGGGAGTTGCTGGTACAGGGTACAGGGAGTTGCTGGTACAGGATACAGGGGATAGTTGGTACAGGGTACAGGGAGTTGCTGGTACAGGATACAGGGAGTTGCTGGTACAGGGTACAGGGAGTTGCTGGTACAGGGTACAGGGAGTAGTTGGTACAGGGTACTGGGGGTAGTTGGTACAGGGTACAGGGGGTAGTTGGTACAGGGTACAGGGGGTAGTTGGTACAGGGTACAGGGGGTAGTTGGTATGATTGCTGATTTGGCTGATTATAATGTATGATTTAGGGGCAAATCAAGTTAAATGCTTGCCACCAACAAAGCAAATACACAATGATAGCGAGAAAGTTTTCATGTTCAGTATTGAGATATTATGCAGATGTAGAGTTTGACAGGCCACATCTTCCATGATATCCCAGTCATCCTGATTAGATGTTATTTTATTTTTACTTAAGCTTAGTTTTGTTTGTGATGGTTATGAATTCTGTTAGTTACAAGCTTATTGCAGCAGTCATCTTCTGATGTGAACTTCTGTGTGTGTAAATGATATCATCTCTTCCCACAGATGGTGCAGTGCTGCTCTCCCTGGACGAGGAGAATATTGGTGAGGTCCTGAATGTGACGAATCACCTCCATGAGAGGGCACTGGTCATTGCTATAGCGGATGTACGCCTGAAAGGGGTCAAGATGCCTTCGACACTCTGGGAATATAAGGTATGGAGGAGAGACTACAAATTTAGACATTCTGGCTGAGTAGACAGCAGGTTGCCACATTATGTCGTGTACCAGCAGTTGCTGATGAAGTGCACTACTTCTACTCGGAGGCCCAAGTGGGGATTCTGGTTGGGAATAGGTTCCCAGAGCTCATGCTTGTGATCAGGTAGTCAGTCTCTGTGACTTGACTAGTCATCATAGCCCTATGGTATGGTATTGTTGTTTATAGTCACTGATCTGCTGGAACAGACATGATTACCTGCAGGCCACTGTGTCGGGACAATTGTGACTGATGGGTTACACTAAGTTCACTCACTCCCCTGTCAAGCCTTCCCACAAGTAAGATCGACATATCCCTAGTATATCTGCACATGCAAAGTTTCCAGTGCACACGAAACTGGAAAAATGCAAAATACATGCACCAATGCCAGAGAATAAAGAATATTCATGAAGCTTGCAGAAGTCATGTTGACATTGTGACTGTTACCAGGCGCTGTACCCCGGTCGCTGTCTGTTCCTGCTGTATGGCATGAAGGACTTCCCTCGTACAACACTGCTGTATCTGTTCCTGTTCTACCATGAGGAAATCTTCCTGCCCTTCCTCCATCTCACAACACCAGCACAGGACGAAGACATCCCCTTCCGGTGGTCTCAGGTACGTCTTGCTCCCATACCAGATGAGGGCAACCCTTTTTGCTGTTCTTGATGGTAAGGCTTTTAGGTGTTTTTCATCATTCCTTGAAATGTGTTCCAGTCTTTCCTGTAAGTAATGAGAAGATCATCTGATTTCAGATTCCTCCCCCAACTAAGCAGCAGTGGGTGGTATTTCTGAGCAATGCAGTTCTCCTCCCCTACTGGCTAATTGCCAAGCTGACGTGGGCCCTGTTCAGTGGGCAGTTCTGGACCTCTTTTTTTGTCCTCTTCAGCTGTGCCTTCCTCTCCATGCAAGAGGCTTCCTTACTTAAACAGTGGATCCTGCTGCGGCAGTTCGGGTGAGTTGCTCAATGGTAGAGGCTTCCTTACTTAAACAGTGGATCCTGCTGCGGCAGTTCGGGTGAGTTGCTCAATGGTAGAGGCTTCCTTACTTATTCATTGGATCCTGCTCCGGCAGTTCGGGTATGTTGCTCAATGGTAGAGGCTTCCTTACTTATTCATTGGATCCTGCTGCGGCAGTTCGGGTGAGTTGCTCAATGGTAGAGGCTTCCTTACTTATTCATTGGATCCTGCTCCGGCAGTTCGGGTATGTTGCTCAATGGTAGAGGCTTCCTTACTTATTCACTGGATCCTGCTCCGGCAGTTCGGGTATGTTGCTCAATGGTAGAGGCTTCCTTACTTATTCATTGGATCCTGCTCCAGCAGTTCGGGTAAGTTGCTCAATGGTAGAGGCTTCCTTACTTAAACAGTGACTCCTTCTCCAGTAGTTTGGGTGAGTTGCTCAATAGTAGGGGCTTCCTTACTTATTCAGTGGATCCTGCTGCAGCAGTTCGGGTGAGTTGCTCAATGAGAGAGGCTTCCTTACTTATTCAGTGGGTCCTTCTCCGGTAGTTTGGGTAAGTTGCTCAATGCTAGGGGCTTCCTTACTTATTCACTGGATCCTGCTCCGGCAGTTCGGGTAAGTTGCTCAATGGTAGAGGCTTCCTTACTTATTCATTGGATCCTGCTCCGGCAGTTCAGTTAAGTTGCTCAATGGTAGAGGCTTCCTTACTTATTCAGTGAATCCTGCTCCGGTAGAAAGAGTTGAAAGAGTTACTGTCTGGATGGGTGAGTTGCTGGGTGGGTGAAAGAGTTACTGTCTGGATGGGTGAGTTGCTTGGTGGGTGAAAGAGTTACTGTCTGGATGGGTGAGTTGCTGAGTAGGTGAAAGAGTAGCTGTCTGGATGGGTGAGTTGCTGGGTGGGTGAAAGAGTAGCTGTCTTGATGGGTGAGTTGCTGGGTAGCTGAAAGAGTTACTGTGTGGATGGGTGAGTTGCTGAGTAGGTGAAAGAGTAGCTGCACAGGTGTCTTAATGAGTGTGTTGGTTTCTGTGTGGGTAAGTTGTTGAGTGTGAGTGAGCTATGTTGTCACTATGGTTACATTGTAGGACTTGCTGGACATGTTGAACTTTGTCAGTTTGACTACATTGTGTTACTTGATGGACATATAGGGCCTTGTTACTATAGCTACATTGTGGGACTGGCTGGACATGTTGGACTTTTCACTAAGACTACATTGTGGGACTTGGTGGACATTGTGTTACTTGGTGGACATGTTGAGCTGTGTCACTATGGCTGAATTGTGTTACTTGGTGTCCATATAGGGCTTTGTTACTATGGCTACATTGTGGGGCATACTGGACATGTTGGACTTTTTCACTATGACTACATTGTGTTACTTGGTGGACATGTTGAGCTGTGTCACTATGGCTGAATTGTGTTACTTGGTTGACATATAGGGCTTTGTTACTATGGCTACATTGTGGGGCATGCTGGACATGTTGGACTTTTTCACTATGACTACATTGTGTTACTTGGTGGACATTGTGTTACTTGGTGGACATGTTGAGCTGTGTCACTATGGCTGAATTGTGTTACTTGGTGGACATATGGGGCTTTGTTACTATGGCTACATTGTGGGGCATGCTGGACATGTTGGACTTTTTCACTATGACTACAATGTGTTACTTGGTGGACATTGTGTTACTTGGTGGACATTGTGTTACTTGTAGGACATGTTGAGCTGTGTCACTATGGCTGAATTGTGTTACTTGGTGGACATATAGGGCTTTGTTACTATGGCTACATTGTGGGGCATGCTGGACATGTTGGACTTTTTCACTATGACTACATTGTGTTACTTGGTGGACATTGTGTTACTTGTAGGACATGTTGAGCTGTGTCACTATGGCTGAATTGTGTTACTTGGTGGATGTGTTAGTCTCGGTCACTATGGCCTTGTTCAAGCACATTTTTGACATAGAATCAAAAGAAAAAGGAAGAAATGCATTGTAAAAGTAAAATGTGAAATGCAAAGTAAAATTTATAATTATGTTGTTTTCCAGCTCCACATTGAAGAACGTAAAGGACTTTGGCAAGACGCTATTGACTGTGTTTCTGACGTCTATTGTATGGCCCATTATTCCCAGGCTGGTGTGTGACTTCTTCTTCTACGCTTCACTCTACTTCACCCCATTACAGCAGGCTAAACACTTCTACATGTCCTGGAGGAACAACCAACGCTTCTTGTAACACAGCAGTATTTCCAGGCAGTGTTCAGTTACATCACCAACTAGGACAGAGATCTGAGGGAGTCAACAGGTCATTTACAGGGATAGTTTTCTTGGTTCATACTTGACCTGATTGACCACAGTATTTATCAGCCCAGAAAAAAACCCAAACCCAAACCCATGTGAACTATTGTTGATTCACTGGTTAATATGTATGTTTCTGAAGGTGTTATTGGATAGATCCATGTATCCAGTGTTACCGGTAGGTGTATGAGCAATCCTGGGATTCAACACTTGAGCTGTGATGTCATGATGTACCGGGTTTGTCAAGAAAGGACATCCCACATTAAACAATACATGTTGAAACTGCAGGTGTTGTTTTCAGTCAAACATTTGTCAATAAAGTCTTTACCTTTAGTAAGGCTGACCTGGGGAGTCAGGGTTCATAGTGTTCGACTACCCCCACCCCTTTTGAAAATACTGTCCAGATAGTTTGATAGTCTTAGTGTGTCGGCGACAAGGACAGTAGAACGGCAAGTGTCAAGGTGCTACATGATTTAGTTGCTGTTGAAGAAAGGTTTGAGTCTTTCACCACTTACAGCAATAGTACAGGCATATCATGGCAGGGACCACCAATAGCTGGTTTCATACATTGTATTCCAACTTAAGATTCCGGGTGTATGGGGCCAACTTTATAACCTCTAGGCTACTGAACCATTCCAAGAAACATGTGTATATCACTTCTTGTAAGAAGTCTGTACAAAATGTTTTGTGTGTGAGTGTAGTGTGTTAAAATGAAGATGTTTTTAAATACCAGACTGTATGTCCATTGTACAGTGTTGTCATCTGTGGGAAGTCTGCTGCTGACAGACACATGGTCAGGGTATCCACTCACTGACTTCATATACAGGAGAGCTAGATTCATTACCAGGAGGACATAACATGTTGCCCTTGCTTCATTTGACATGTGTTGTGGGTGAGTTCTCCCGGAATGCACTTACCCATGTTCAGGACAGGTCTCTGTGTTTTCACATTACTCAGGCTAACCTTTCCTGATTTGGCAAAAGTAACAAAATAATAATAATCAATGCGATTTGATTCAAAATGTGTTAACAGAACGGTTGTTTCACTTTTTGCTAATATTTATTTTCAAGAGGTGTTTTTAAGGACCTTAACCTTCAATAAATGTTATAAAAGTAATGTTATATATGTGTGTACTGTGTCAAATGTTATGTGTATTCAGTGTCAAATGTTATATTTGTGTTTGTATACAGTGTTAACTGTTATATGTGTGTGTACAGTGATGGATGTTATATCTGTGTATTAATGTTTTTTCCATGTTGCATGCTTTATCCATGGACTTTTTTGTATCTGCCAATTCATCATATCAAGTTTGTTGTATATATTTTTGTCAAATGTTGAAATAAAGTGTCAATAAAACAGCCCACGACACTGATTTGAAAATGTAGTCATTTCCATTTTTGTGAATTATGAAAGATATGTAATTGTGATGATGTTTTGTTACCATCCCATTTGATAATTGAGATCCCCTGTAGAACTGTTTCCTCACTTTTTTAGCTGGGCATCAATGCCTGTTGTGTATAGAGGCCCCTGTAGAAATGTTTCCTCACTTTGTAGCTGGGCATCAATGCCTGTCGTGTATAGAGATCCCCTGTAGAACTGTTTCCTCACTTTTTTAGCTGGGAATCAATGCCTGTTGTGTATAGAGGCCCCTGTAGAAATGTTTCCTCACTTTGTAGGTGGGCATCAATGCCTGTTATGTATAGAGATCCCCTGTAGAAATGTTTCCTAACTTTGTAGCTGGGCATCAGTACCTGTTGTGTATAGAGACCCCTGTAGAACTGTTTCCTCACTTTTTTAGCTGGGCATCAATGCCTGTTGTGTATAGAGATCCCCTGTAGAAATGTGTCCTCACTTTGTAGCTGGACATCAATGCCTGTCATGTATGGAGACCACAGGTTGAACTGTTTCCTCACTTTGTAGCTGGGCATAAGTGCCGGTTGTGTATAGAGGCCCATGTAGAACTGTTTCCTCACTTTGTAGGTGGGCATCAATGCCTGTCGTGTATAGAGATCCCTGTAGAACTGTTTCCTCACTTTTTTAGCTGGGCATCAATGCCTGTTGTGTATAGAGGCCCCTGTAGAAATGTTTCCTCACTTTGTAGCTGGGCATCAATGCCTGTCGTGTATAGAGATCCCCTGTAGAACTGTTTCCTCACTTTTTTAGCTGGGCATCAATGCCTGTTGTGTATAGAGGCCCCTGTAGAAATGTTTCCTCACTTTGTAGGTGGGCATCAATGCCTGTCGTGTATAGAGACCCCTGTAGAAATGTTTCCTCACTTTTTTAGCTGGGCATCAATGCCTGTTGTGTATAGAGATCCCCTGTAGAAATGTGTCCTCACTTTGTAGCTGGACATCAATGCCTGTCATGTATGGAGACCACAGGTTGAACTGTTTCCTCACTTTGTAGCTGGGCATAAGTGCCGGTTGTGTATAGAGGCCCATGTAGAACTGTTTCCTCACTTTGTAGCTGGGAATCAATGCCTGTCATGTATAGAGACCCCTGTAGAACTGTTTCCTCACTTTGTAGCTGGGAATCAATGCCTGTCGTGTATAGAGATCCCCTGTAGAACTGTTTCCTCACTTTGTAGGTGGGCATCAATGCCTGTCATGTATAGAGACCCCTGTAGAAATGTTTCCTCACTTTGTAGCTGGGAATCAATGCCTGTCATGTATAGAGACCTATGTAGAACTGTTTCATCACTTTGTAGGTGGGCATAAGTGCCGGTTGTGTATAGAGATCCCCTGTAGAACTGTTTCCTCACTTTGTAGCTGAGAATCGATGCCTGTCCTACATAGAGACCCCTGTAGAACTGTTTCCTCACAGTGTAGCTGGGTATCAATGCCTGTCATGTATAGAGACCCATGTAGAACTGTTTCCTCACTTTGTAGCTGGGAATCAATGCCTGTCGTGTATAGAGACCCATGTAGAACTTTTTCCTCACTTTGTAGGTGGGAATCAATGCCTGTCCTATATAGAGACCCCCTGTAGAACTGTTTCCTCACTTTGTAGGTGGGCATCAATGCCTGTCGTGTATAGAGATCCCCTGTAGAACTGTTTCCTCACTTTGTAGCTGGGAATCAATACCTGTCCTATATAGAGACCCCCTGTAGAACTGTTACCTCACTTTGTAGGTGGGCATCAATGCCTGTCGTGTATAGAGATCCCCTGTAGAACTGTTTCCTCACTTTTTTGCTGGGAATCAATGCCTGTCCTATATAGAGACCCCCTGTAGAAATGTGTCCTCACTTTTTTGCTGGGAATCAATGCCTGTCCTATATAGAGACCCCCTGTAGAAATGTTTCCTCACTTTGAGGCTGAGAATCAATGCCTGTCCTACATAGAGACCCCTGTAGAACTGTTTCCTCACTTTGTAGCTGGACATCAATGCCTGTTGTGTATGGAGACCACGGGTTGAACTGTTTCTTTATTTTGTAGCTGGGCATCAATGCCTGTTGTGTAAAGAGACCCCTGTAGAAATAATTTTAATTTTTTTAAATTTTTAATCAAGAATATGTCAAAATATGTTTCGAAGATTGGTCGCCTGTTTGAAACTCATGCCGTAAAGCTTGATTAAGCTGCCTTCTGATTGGCTATTGTCGACCTCTTGCCCGTCATTCCATTGGTCTTTCAAAGTTTGTGAAAGGTCCGTCTGATATGACCCGTAATGGGATGTCCTCAGATCTTTGTTTAGCGGTAGCGAGAACTAAGATCTGATTTTTATTAGATTGTATATTTCTTCACTTTATTACTGGTAGTCAGGTATTGGTAGTGCGTATGGTGCAAGTATCGGTAGTGCTTATGGTGCAATTATAGGACACATCCAATCATTTCAAATAGGATCCAAATTAAGACTTGAAATACATAGATAGGTGTATGAAATATAAGGTGTGTCAACTTGCCAATACATTCACTTGCCCGTTTACATATTCAGTGCACTCCCTGTGTAAGTATCCTCTAAAATAGATTTATCAGAAAACGCCATCGACAGATGACATTTTATCACTCTGTTATAGATATGTTGCATCTCCAAGATAAAGGCTCCATTACGTCCTTATATTGCAGCACATGACACAACTGTCTTTTTCTAGTTAAATGGGATATTTTCTATGTGGAACAGCATGTACACACACAAATGTGACACAAACATTGTTGGGATACATGAGTGAAAGAGGGTTCATGATAATGTAAAACTCTATTTCAGAATTAAAGAATTAATAACAAAATATTACTTAATTTCTGAAAATACCTTTAAAATGTCCAAAATTGAGTATTTCCAAGTAAAAGAATGGTCTCACACCTTTGAATATTCAACATGTAAAAATAGATTGTCATGGTAGAAGACTCCATCTTTTCAGCCCTTGCTATTTGTATGTTGCACAAAGACATTTCCAAGTCTCCCATGGCGCTCGGGGGACCCAGTCGTCTAAGATGCCGCGATTCGTTTTGCAGTGTTGCGTCCCTTGGGCACGCCAGAAATCTTTGATTGTGGGTTCAAATCACAGTTCGCCCCAATTATATTTCTAGGTTTGTCAGCACCATACCTGTGCTCGTGGGTTGCACAGAAGTGGTAAACACCTGAGACCTGCATCACTTCGGGCTTTCCTCCAAAATTAAGCTGACACGCCGTGATATAACTGGAATACTGTTAAAAGCGGCATTAAACCCAACTCACTCACTCACTTAGATCTCCCAGGCAATGTGCTCAATGTGAGAGGTGTAGCCTATGATATGACTTTGTGTATTTCACTGACTTGGTGATGCTCTTCATAACACTGTTAAATTAGCAGTCTTGCATTGTGTATCATATCTTCTTGTTCCATCACTAACTGTTTCTCACTGGAAGGTGGAGCATATGTAGATAAGCTTTGAATTCAGTTACCTCCAAGTTGCACTTTGTCTCTGTAGATAACAAAAGACAACAGTTTTTTTACTAATACTGGACATATGTTGTGTTTATCTGATAGATGCATCTGTGATGTTTTCGATTTTTTTCTATGGAAATGTGTTATCTGTGGATGTGATAACGTTTATGTTCTAGACTGGAATCTGATTGTGTGAGTATAATGTTTCTCCTATTTATGTATGTAGAAATTCCATTGCTATTGATTATGGTATTGTCTTTTATTGGAATTGTTTGTCTGCTTGATAAATGCTTATCTCTTCTCTTATCTTCTTGGCAGATCAATGAGATGAAAGGAATAGTTTGTTGATATGATGTGGATGCTTTGCTTCATAATACTATGTTGGTGAAAGGCTTTGTTTCACCATGTTTTATCGTGGACAACACAATCTTTCCTCTCTGTCGACACAGATTTAGTGGCAGATCCGGGGGTGGTTCATGGGATTACAGATGATTCAGAGGATGTAATATATCCCTCTTTCAAATGTTCTTAATTCCTCTTCATATTGTCTGTAGAAAAGGGTACAAAATCCTTGACAAGATCACTGTTCAACCAACCGATTTCAGAAATGAACGTGAAGTGAGCTCGTGGTGACTTGTTTGTGGCCACCTCAAGTTAAGTGATGATATTTGCTAGTGAACAATCCCAATTAGCACCCTTCCGATTCATCAATGTACACAGGACATATTTATTCGTGTATAATACGCACTCGCGTGTTATATGCACCCTTAATTACGGGCAATTAAATTCTGGAAAAAATATATCTGTCATGAAAATATGCATCAACCTTTCTTTTGTATCATTTCAGGCTGTCGGTTTAAACCACAAAATTTACGATCTCTCAACTCTTTCACCAAAAATATATTCTAATAAGAGCCCCCTATTTCTCATTTTGAGAGCGGCCTGGGCGCTTATTTCATCAGTACGGTACTTGGATGTTTGTCTTGTCTATGTCAGATATATGTTTGAGTTCAAGCGATAAACGTTGTCTCTTTCAGTGATGTTTAGAATGCTAAGATCTGGGTGATATGGTTTTCATAGTGCTAAGTTCTCAGTGTGATATGGTATTCATAGTGCTAAGATCTCTTTGTGGAAGTAGAACAGCAATTATGCATTGTATAAAACCAAAGAAAATATTGCCAGGTCGAATGTTAGGATCATTGAAGACAATGAATGTTGAGGCAAGATCCAAGGTCATGTATTATGTGCATATTACATGTTTTGTGCAGTAGGAGTGACTTCCTATATCTAATAGTGCTTGGTGTTGTAGCTGTTTGATGTTCTGCATCTAGTTGTGTAATGTACATGAGAGCTGTGTCTGCATGTATTATGTGGATTCTACATCTTCATGTTGATGCTATTATGTGGTGATATCACAACAATAAACACTATGTGGTATATATTTTGATAATGATGGGTTATGAAATTATCTACCAATTTTCAAATAAATATGTTGATAATGATGATTGTGTTGTAGTTAATTGTTTGTGGTTCTTGAAGTTACTTTGCGTTGAGTGAAATGCCCAGCTTCACAGATAACCGCAGCTTCCTCCCTCGTTCCCACCCTATAACACAGGCCAATGAGTGAGTAGGTTTTTTTTGTTTGTTGTTTAATGCCGCACTTAGCAATATTCCAGCTTTATGATGGTGGTCTTGACCAAATAATCCAGTGATTGACATCATGAACATCGATCTACGCAGTTGGGACACAATGACATGCATCAACCAGTGGCATGTTGCGTTCAAGAGATTGGCCGAATGGTGGAGGGGGTGTTATGGTGTGGGGAGGAATTTGTGGGCAGGAGAGAACACCAATGGTCATCGTTAATGGAAATTTGGCAGCTCAGCGTTACATAGAAGACATTCTTCGTCCGATTGTCCTACCATTTCTACAACAGCTGCCACGTGGTATCCTTTATCGGCATGACAACGTCAGACCCCATACAGCCCGAAAGGTACAGAACTTCCTTGCAGCAAACAATGTCAATGTGTTGCCGTGGCCTGCACGCTCCCCAGACATGTCCCCCATAGAACAGCTCTGGAATGTTATGGATGGTGGTGTTTAACAGAAACCACGTCCTCCAGCCAACCGACACAAACTGATCCAGGCACTGCCAAGAAGAATTGTGACGTATCCCATGTCATTCTTCCAGTTTATGATCTGCTCCTTTGGTCCAATAATGTCTTCAGTTGTGGAGCACACATGCCACCTGCAGGACCTGGAATTTGACGATTTGTTTCTTGTTTGATGCAAGTCACAAACATTCCACCTCTATCACAGCAGGCTGTAAATAATAGCAACCCATGCTTGTCGTAAAAGGTGACTATGCTTCTTGTTAGAGGCGGGTAGTCAGGCTTGCTGACTTGGTCGATGCATGTCATCGTATCCCTATTGAGTCGATTGATGCTCATGATGTCAATCACTAGATTGGCTGGCCCAGATGCGATCATTTACAGACTGCCGTCATATAGCTCGAATTTTTCAGAGTGCAGTGTTAAACAAACAAACAAACTCTTGACAAGCATGGGATAGTGGGGACATATTGTAACATGGCATCCCCACAGCCCACAGACCACAGGAATATGACAGATTGTCTCAAGTGACCAAATAGCTTTGACAAACACTAAAACACACGTGAAGAAATGTTTCCATGTTCAACCTGCTAGGGCTGAATGCTTTGTAACTCACCATAAATTTACACAGATCTGTATCCTTATTGCAAGCATAGGTGAAATATTAAAGGACAATAATTCCATTGGGAAATCAAGTTTATTTTCTACAAATCATTGAAGCAAACATAAATATTTAGTATGTAAAACATCAGTATAAAATCCATTCAATGAACAACACATGTAAGTCAGTATATGACAGTGACAAGACTATATGTCCCTTCAGCGCCACTGTTACAAGTCATTCATAAACTATCAACAACATAACAAAGTACAGTATGTACACACTCTATAAGCAATAATTGAATATAAAAATTCATTAAAAATGTTAAAAGCAATTATAGTTTGAATGAAATCATCTTTGACCAGACCAATTTCAAAAGATTTTAAAAATTTGGGCAGGTTCATTTGTAAAATTGAAAAAAGGTCTGGTTGTGAAGGCATTTGAGATATATAAATTCAACTTTGAATAAAATTATTATTAAGACAGGCATTATGCCAACAAAATGCCATATAACAATTGTATTTCAAAATTAACAACGGCTGCAATGGCTTTTGATTGCTAAGCTTCCACTATTATTCCACAACAAAGCATCAGTGATCTCAGATAAAACAAGCTGAAATGCATGAAGATAATATTATTGAAGAGATCTCTGACAGAGATCACAGAACCAATGTATAATGACATGAAACTTCATTGAGGGTATGACAGTATTTTGGTAGATATTTACAACGAAACATTCCAAAGGTATCAGCACGTAGAAATGTGCTCACGAATACTGTGCTCTGTTCCTCCACGGTGACACTTCTGTCAAGTAGAGTGAGTGAGTGAGTTGGGTTTAACACCGTTTTGAACAGTATTTCAGTTAAATCACAGCATGTGATGTGGGAGGAAAGCCCAAAGTGATGCGGATCTAAGCCTTTTACCACTTTGGCGAAACCCATGAGCACAGGTATGGGGCTGACAAACCTAGAAACATAATCGGGGAAAAACTGGGATTAGAAGCAACAGTCCAAGGTCCCTGTTATGTATATAAGGGGCAGTGAATCATGGTGCCTCAAACAACTGGGCCAAGCATGCTCCCTGTCCTTGTACGCTATAATCAGTATTAGGTGGGGCAGGGGTCAAGTCTGGAGCAGGGGAACCAAGGCAACCTTCACCTTGAGGTTCATATTAGATGAACGAAGTACATGCAAAATTGTTTCATCTGTTTGAACACCTAAGGAAAACGTTTAACTTTGTGGATAACAAATTCAGGTTTATTGCATGAAGCAATGTTTCGATGTAGATTCTGACACCGTTGTCAAGCTGGAGCAATAACGGTGTAAGAATCTAAATGGAATTTACAATCTACAAGAATCTACATCAAAACGTTGCTATATGCACTAAACCAGAAGTAGTTGTACATTAAGTTGTACATTTTTTTATTTACTCCCCAACTACTAGAATGCTTATTAAACAGTTACCTACCGGTTTGCATGTGCAAATGTTTTGTTTTGTTTGATGTTTAACGCCGCCTAGCAATATTCCAGCTATATGACGGCAGTCTGTAAATAATCGAGTCTGGACCAGACAATCCAGTGATTGACATCATGAGCATCTATCCACACAATTGGGATCGATGACATGCATCAACCAAGTCAGGCATGTGTAAATGAGTACCTGGGCACATGCCACTTCTACTGTAAGACAGGTGATTCACGGATATGAACACCTGTGACAAACAATAGTGAACACCTGTCACACACTTTGGACATGTTGCTGCAAGACCAAGGATCATAATCAGCAAATCTAGGAACCTGTGACCAGCAGATCCTAAAAGAGCTAAGGGAGACAATTCTGCACAAAATGGTCATGACTATGAATAAATATCAGCCATTTGGCAATGTATTCAAATACTGTGCATAATGAGCAGCCATTGTGACGAACTGATTCTCATTTGTCTGCCCTTAATGACAAGCACGTGGTACCTAGTCTTCCCCGTGATTAACATCCTATGAAAACCAAACATATTGAGGAAGGGACTTTCATTGTCAGAATCAATTATAATTCAATATCCCAATTGTTAACCAGTACAACTGTTACAGTTGGACCTAAAGCATAAATTAAAGCACTTAGAACACTCAGACTTGCAGCATGGTTTGAGGCAATGGGTACAATAGTGATAAGCTCCTGAGTCTGAAGAACATGACAATTATCGCAAACTATTTGACAAGGCATATAAATAAATATTTTTTAATACCATGAAAATAGTAATACTCAGTTTCTGTGGTCTTTTTGCAATATATTGCCTCATGAAAAATACTGACTTATGAATAATGATCAGTAGGTATTTGTAGTAATAAATATATAAAAACTGAAACTCGAGTTGTATCAGTACAATGCTCCATTCTTCATCTGTGAGACTGTTGATGGAGACACACACAGACACTACTAAGTCTGGTGTGAAATAAATGTATACCATATCAAAAGTGAACAAAATTATGCATAGAATGAAAGATTTCCCAAACCCTTTCCTTACGTTCATACTCTACAGCTATTCTCTTATCATATCATGCTATGACCAGCAGTTTAGAAAAATATTTAAACCATACTGAAAATAATATACTTACAAAATGATGTTGCTTTGATGATGCACCAGCATCAGTGTAGATCATGTGGAAGGCACACAGGAGTGTTATAAGAAAGTCGTAACATAGCCTGCATAAAGTGGGAATGGTACATAAATAACTCCAATGGTAATCTACAGTTGTACATGGGGCATGAAGTTGCATATGTATGAGAAGACAATCTCCACAAAAGTTTTTGATAAACCAATTACATGCGATGCAATAGATATTAAATAAAAAAAGACCATGGGCATGGTGGTAGAAGTAAGATTTTAAATGGTATCTTAAATTTATACATTCTAGGGTGAAATGATTTAAAACAATGAAAGAAAGGCATTTCTTTGATTCAAAAGTAAGAGCTACTTCCCTTCCCATATGGATTTTCTTCTTCAGAGTTTTGTTGTTGTAACAAACTTTGTTACAGACTCGTTAGGAAGAGTAAAATACTACCTATGGATATTCATGTTATTAAATCAATTTTAAAAACTTTTGCGAATAGTAAATGACTGGCAAGCTGAGACAGAGATATTAGGTTATATCCTACTAGTACTCATACCAGTCCATCAGTAATTATACTAGTCCATCAGTAATCACACTAGTCCATCAGTAATCATATTCATCCATCAATAACCACACTAGTCCATCAGTAATCACACAAGTCCATCACTAATTATACTAGTCCATCAGTAATCACACTAGTAAATCAGTAGTCCATCAGTAATCACAATAGTCCATTAGTAATTACAATAGTCCATCGGTATTCATACTAATTCATCAGTAATTATACGAGTCAATCAGTAATCACACTAGTACATCAGTAATCATATTAATCCGTCAGTAATCACACTAGTCCATTGGCAATCATATTAGTCCATCAATAATCACACTAGCCCATCAGTAATCATATTAATCCATCAGTAACCATATTAATCCATCAGTAATCACACTAGTCCATCAGTAATTATACTAGTCCATCAGTAATCATATTAATCCATCAGTAATCACACTAGTCCATCGGTAGTCCATCAGTAATCACACTAGTCCATCAATAATTACACTAGTCCATAGGTAATCATACTCATCTATCAGTAATCACAGAAATCTATCAGTAATTATACTAGTCCATCAGTAATTATATTAATCCATCTGAATTATACCAGTCAATCAGTAACCATATTAGTATATCAGTAATTAAACTAGTGTATCAGTAATCACACTAGTCCATCAATAATCAAACAAGTCCATCAGTAATTATACCAGTCCATCAGTAACCATATTAGTATATCAGTAATTAAACTAGTGTATCAGTAATCACACTAGTCCATCAATAATCAAACAAGTCCATCAGTAATTATACCAGTCCATCAGTAACCATATTAGTATATCAGTAATTAAACTAGTGTATCAGTAATCACACTAGTCTACTAGCGAGATGACAGCCTCCACTTTGAATAATAATGAAATGATTCTCTAGTCCTAGTAGAAAGATAATTGGTACAAAGAAAGGCACATTGTATTCGAATTGTATCTTGATTAGTGAGGCAAAATAATCTTAACCATCAATCAACATCATAGATGTAACCCATGTTGAAATACATTAATCAGGAATGTGAAACAATTTAAAGAATTGGACAGCACTTTAAATCACATCAAGGAAGCAATGTTATACTTGTATGATGACATCTTATATTTGGATTGACAAAACATGCATTACACAAACACACTGCTTTACAGAAATATGTTCCTCTTGGTAGTCTGTTTTGGTTATCTGTGTCAGGAAGTGCTGCCAAAGATGAAGCTGCATGATTGGGTAATACAATCGCCAACATTTATAGATAGTGTACAGTGAAACAGTGTTAATTGTGTCTTCTGCATTATCTATTAAAGAGAAGATACTTTTCTCATTACCTAATTTGTCAACAATATATCTTTGTGATATTCTCAGGCAAACATCTTACCTAAACTGGCTTAATCTAATAACAAACTGCAATCTTATACAAAAATAAGTTAATTCGAACGTAAAGTTCCTTCTTATAAGAAACTTAAAAAGAGTTCTTTATGTTATTTCTTACGGTACATGTTTTTTATTACAAACATGCTAAACTTGTTTAAAAACACATTTCCAGTATCATCATCATATATTAAAAAACAAAATATTAATCTGATGTGATAATTACCTCTGAGTTTTTAAACAGAATTGTAAATAATACCACATGTCCTAAGTTGCTTTAACTCCCAATCTAAGGGAGGTTACTACATTTGGGAGTCTGGATGACCGTGAGAAACAATAAGGAAGTACTATAAATTCTCAGTTATCAGTGCCTTGTTTAGTTTGCTATCAGACAAAAACAGGCCACCAGATTGAAACCAATTTCACTCACAAAACACCATCTATCTGTCCATGATTCCTTTGCCTGAGAACCAACTGTGTTGCCTAGAAACTAACACATACCATATTATGCAATGTCAACAGTAGACACTGGTGGCAGTTAATTAGTCAAACACTGGTTTGTCTGATCACAACATGCTTAAAACTGTAACATCTCTTTCATATTGAGCAAATAAAAATAGATCTTACAGGCAGTTTCAACTAAAATGTGCTATAAGTAGAATTTCTCTTGATGGTGACGCCCATGTTTTTACAGAAATCGGCTGTAAAAGGAATACAGTTGAAATACTGGCACCCAGGACAGTTTGTGAGTGGGACGACATAAAACAAGATGACGAGCAGGACAAAGATGCCGACAGACAAGCACAGTGTGATGACAATAGTGATAATCTTCCGTCGCCGGTCCAGTTTTCCGAATGCCACGTACGGCAAAAATGCAAACGCGAGGAGAAAGCCGAAGAAGAAGCCAAACAAGTGAGCCCAGTTGTCGAACCACGGTAAAAGTCCCAGGAGGAAAAGTATGATGATCGGAACAACGAGTTTGAGCACGGCAATGGCTGGCTTCTTGTACCTGGGCCAACTCTGTAGCACCTCCACCAGCAGGCAGGCCAGGATGCCGAACTGGGAGCCTGACGGGCCAGCCTGGAATAGACACACCATTGTCAGCACAGGATTACCATAGAAACAGCATGCATGGATTGAAAACTTTCACAACAAAGGTGCACTTTTCTAAAAACTTTTAACCAAATTGTGTTAGTTGATAAAAAAATAAGAAAAAACATTTGTGTAGCTCAATAGTCTTCCTATTTCATTTGGCATTTGGTCGGTCAGCATAGTGGGAAAACATATATACTAAATACTGTTCAAGGCGAAGAGGTGAAGTATATTACAGCAACATGCATATATATTCACAATGTCTACTTCTGAAAGGTTTGTTCTGTTTTTCGAGGTCAGCAGTGGCCAGAGGCTGCATACAATACATGTGATTAATCATAGCTTAAAACGTTCATAGTTTCATATGACTGTTTCTGCTGTATCTACATCTGACCTATTTTTATTTTATTTTCTGATTGGGGTTCTTAGTTCCATTCAGTTGAATTTAATTTTGTTCAACTCTGAAACTACTCACTGAAAAGGAATTTGCCAAATACATATTACCAGGGTCAGAAAATACCATCGTCTTGTCCATCTTATACCAAAAATGACCCACACATCTGATACTGAAACTAATCGTCAATCATTGGAATTTTGCTTTCAAATCTTGGAAAGGGCCTATTCCTCAGGCTGCAATAAGTAGGGGTTGTTTAGTGAGAGCTGTGGAAGATGATCTCACCTCTACAACATACGGCAGGAAGACACTGCTGGCAAGGTTGCCACAGATGCCGGTGCCTAGGTAGATGATAGCCATACGTATAGCACCCGTCAGCTTCTCCATGTCCCTCATCACTAGGACCTGGAACCCCACTGTGATGACCAGGTGAATCAACCTGGAGAGAAGCGGTGAATAGTCAGTATATATTACAGGTGAATCAACCTGGAGAGAAGAGGTGAATAGTCAGTATATATTACAGTTGAATCAACCTGGAGAGGAGAGGTGAATAGTCAGTATATATTACAGGTGAATCAACCTGGAGAGAAGAGGTGAATAGTCAGTATATATTACAGTTGAATCAACCTGGAGAAAAGCGGTGAATAGTCAGTATATATCACAGGTGAATCAACCTGGAAAGAAGAGGTGAATAGTCATTATATATAACATCCAATTTCTTCATCTATCATAAGTTTACAATTTGTGTAAGGTTTCAGGGCAAGCACTATGCTAAATGTTGCTGTTTATGTCATCAAGAGATTTGGAAGTTAAGTGTAGTGTGCCTTATGTCCCCAGTATGTTTTTATGTCAGACCCCACCACCCCCAACCCTCCCCAAATAATGAAATAACGCTTGAGAGCCCTCAGGCTCCACCAATCCCTGGAATTCACATGACATAAGAAGGACTAGAAGATATCCATAAGTGACTGTGAGTAGGGATTTACATGGCTTTGAGCAATATTCCCACATCACAGCAAGGAACATTGCATCCATGTGGGGAATCACCTTCACCATGGCGCTACCCCACTGTAGTGTTTGAAATAATTACAAAACCCAACAAGACAGTCAGGCAGGTGACTTATAACTGTTGCCTGCCCATCTTCAAAGTTACATGCCCACATTCAAACATTATGAATATTGAAAAATCACAAAAACTAAGAGACAAATAACGTCTTGATTCAGTTGAAATAATGCAAACAATTACTTGAGAATCTACAAGGAGTTATAAAACGGAATACTGAGTAAGTAGTCTTAACATTATCTGCCAGAGAGTCGGGCAGGTGGAGGAAAATTTCATGCAGCCTGACAGAAAAGTTACCAGCTACGGGCAGGCAGGCAGTTATTTCTGACACTGCCTCACTGCATACAAGGATACACATGGGAACAGACCATATGTATACTGATACAAGCCCTGTCTTGAGTTGGAGGATGTGACTGATGTTGCTGGACACATTCTATATGATGTAGCATGTATGTGACTGACCCGCCATGGAGGAAGAGAGATGTCCAGAGTCTGTAGAACTGGTCTGGGTGGTCGGGGTCGGAGAACACGATCATTCCACAGATCTGCTGCATACACTTCACCTAAAACACAAGCATGGAAAGGAACTATGTATACATCTTATTAATTATCACACTACATTTATGTCACAACATAATGAGTGGGGATCCGACGTGGAATAAGTACGTCTGCATTGTTTACAAGCAGGACATTGTTTGTCCTTTTTTCCCATATTTATAGGCCGTAGGATACTTGACAACTTGGCGAAGGACAAACAATATTCTCTGATATTACAAACACGTCACGACACGGTGGCGATGAGACAGAGAATGATTTGGTAGAGGTGTACATGTGGTCAGTTCAAGCAGGCACGGTGTACACGAGAGGCATGTAATTGACCTAGCTTTTGGATGTAGCCATAGAGATGCAGGGGGGGCTTGGGCGGCTATCTTATTTCAGAAGCTGGAAAAATGATTCAAGCACGTTCCCCCACATAGGATTGAAGAAGAGGGGCGAAATGCAAAGTGTGAGATAGGATAAGTTTAAATATTGAGAATTTCATTCCCACCCGTCCCACTACCATACATCCGGCCCCATATCATTCTACTGTCCCCACTCACCTACAGATGAAGAATATCTCTACGTCCAAAAGAAATTCATTATATAGCATTACATAGTCCTAACAAACCTAACAAAAATTTTGAAGTGGATATAATACCTTTGGTGTTCACACCATACGTAAAGGTAAATGTCATGTAGGTGATGAAGACTCTCTGCTCGCACTGTAAATGTCCAGAAGATGAAAAGCATGTTTGTTTGGTATGTCCTCTGTATACCGATGCACATACTCATTGTCAAGTCTTAACAAACAACCAAGCCCACAATATGATGTCTTTAATTATTTGTGAAATACTTGAGAATATATTTCATCTGTCAAAATATATGTATATTGTATTTAAAATTAGAACGGAAATATAATGCAATACCATGATGCATGTGCAATGTAATATAACTGTATGATATACAGGTATGTAATATGGGTCAATCCGAGAAGATCCGGGGTAGAATAGTCTTCAGCAACCCATGCTTGCAGTAAAAGGCGATTATGCTTGTCGTAAGAGGCGAATTACGGGATCGGGTGGTCACACTCGCTGACTTGGTTGATGCATGTCATCGTATCCCAATTGCGTGGATTGATGCTCATGATCAATCACTGGATTGTCAAATCCAGACAGGATTATTTACAGACCGCCATCATAAGGCTGGAATATTGCTGAGTGCGGCGTTCAACAACAAACAATAATATGGGTCATCATGGTCATATGGCCTTGAAAATCAATAAACTGACAGACTATAAAAAAATGACAAACCTGCATGCTTCATGTGAATCAATCCACTGAAATTTAAACACACAGATGCCTTCAACAGAAAAAAATGTCTCCTGTCTCATATTTTTGACTAAGAGTACAACTACTGTTAAATAACATAGCTGCTATAGATGAAATGGAATATGTGCATGGTCCATTCACTAGATGATACCGCTACAAAGTTCAAGCCAGCATGTTACCTGTGAACATAGGAATGCTTCCTCATGGTAGTAGCCTCGCTTCAGATTACAATGTTCTCTAGTTGTGATGAAACACTCTCCTTGGATACCATGGCAACAGGGATGACCTACCAACTCACAGGTCATGTGCCGATTTTCACTACTTGCTTTGGTTTGGTTCAATGGGGTTGTTGTCTTGCAAAGCTGTAAATTAAACAACTGAATTGCCTCATTGGGAACACTTAAACATGCTGTGCAACACTGTAAATCTGGACAATAATGGTCCCAGTGAAATTGTCCTGATTAACATATTTCCAGAATACAGACCATGGGTATGGAATAATGTAATTTGTATACATGTAAGCATTTGCAGCAGAAATTGTCCTGAATGAGGGATTTCCAGATTAATGGCGTCCATAACGAAGTTATAGTGCATATGGCAGTATTTCAAAACTACATATCATTTAGGCTGGTCTTTTTGATATTGAGAATACTAGAAATTGTCATATGTGATATATGCTTACCGGCCACTTCGTGATGTCATCCTCCCACTCAAACGGAGGAACAGAGGCAGGGTCAGTGCAGAGTCTACAGGAAGAAGACACAGGGAATTAACGGGGGAGTTTAATTCATACACTTCCCATGCCTTTGTCATGTACATGGAATTAACTAAATCAAATTACCAATAAGTTGGGCTCAACATTGCTTTCAACAGTATTTCAGTAGCGCGGCCACCACATAGATATTGTCCATCTAGTGAACTCCAGTTACCAAGAAGCTTTCTGATTTATGAATTGTTGGACCAAGGAAATGTTCTACTTCTAGTTATCTGTTTGCAAACGATGAGAAATAAAAGCAGTCAAGCCCAAACAAAAGTATAATTTTCTTCTACTCACTGGTTTCTATGCAACAAGGCTTGAATTATACCTTAAAAGGTCATCAGTTCCTGCTTAGTTTGGTTTGCAGCAGCTTCCCTACCACTGTTTATAATAGTGATTGAAGTTAATTCACCTGAGAGGAACACTTGAAGGGATGTAAGTGTTCTGTTGGTGAAACTCATGAGCATGTGTATTGTACTGGCAAACCAAGAATGATCACCATGGCGAAACATTAGAACCTACGACCATGTGATTCTTGCACTCACAGTGAACTGCGGGGGTTAATATAATATTTCCAGTGCTTACTGAGGGTCCTGGCCACACACTGATCCTGATGTTCTGTTGCCAGCCCCAGGGGTGTTGCTGTCCCACTTGAGGAATGTAGATAATAAACTCTGGAAAATAAATACAGCCATCAACAGGATGCAGGATGCAAGAGTTGGGGTGGATGGATGGTGGGGGTTGGTGGATGGTGGATGGCGGAGAGGATGTGAATGCCCTGTGACTGCTACTTTGAAATCAGACGAGGAATAAATCACAGCAAGAATCTAGGCATAATGTTGCAATGTATATATAAGTGGATTTCCTACTTGTCCTATCAATACCTAATTCTACTTGATGAAGGGAACATCCACAAAATATCTACATACGCTGCATCTCTTCTCTGTCATCTGAGCACATCCTGAGCCGTCGTTCCTCACACAGCAGGCCGATGTCTTCTCCTCTGCTGTATCCAGCTCCAAGGCTCGGTTCAGCGTTTCGTCCCACCGCATACACGGAGCGTACTTGGCCCCCAGGTGGATCAAGTCAGCCTGGTAGAAGGCAACACACAATCAGTGGTACTACAGAAGTATTGGTGAACTGTACTCAACCTGCTTGATGAACATGCCAGTATCTGCACCATCACAACTGAGTGAACACAAAAGGTCTGCATCCATCAATATTGTCAAAGTTATCAAGAAACCACACTGCTGTAGCCTGGCCATAAAACCTGTGACAACCAAACATCTCCCAGAATCACTCAGCTCATGCTACAGAGATTACACCTTGACATATGATAAATTAGTTATGGTCAGTGAAGACGAGCATCATCTCTCTTATTCTGATTCGATACATTTCTCTGTCAAGATCGGACAAACCATCTATAGAAGTTAACATGGGGTGAACTTTGCAAGGAACCGGTTGAGGCATTCTCGGTATTAGTAAGAGAAACATTAGGGGTTAAATGTATGATTTCTTCACAGTTGAACGGGAACATAAAGGTTCTGTTTGGAATGAAGAACAGGGTAGGCTGTGCTACATTTGTTGAACATAACATGTGAATTCTGTACATGTGTTTCTGAATCAAATTTCTGAAACAAGGTGGCAAACACGGTAAAAGAAAGAAGTCCAACTGATTCAGAAACCTGACACAAAACAGTCTATATTTTTATATTATAACATTGCAGTTGCTTTATCCATTACTGACCTGTCTGGGCCCAATCCACAGGTTGTCTCTCTCCCGGTGATGCTCCAGCTGCATGGCAAGGTTGGGCATGCGCACCTACAACACAAGGCATGTAGGCATGAGCAGTACAACACAGGGCATGTAGGCATGCGCACCTACAACACAGGGCATGTAGGCATGCGCACCTACAACACAAGGCATGTAGGCATGAGCAGTACAACACAAGGCATGTAGGCATGAGCAGTACAACACAGGGCATGTAGGCATGCGCACCTACAACACAAGGCATGTAGGCATGAGCAGTACAACACAGGGCATGTAGGCATGAGCAGTACAACACAGGGCATGTAGGCATGCGCACCTACAACACAAGGCATGTAGGCATGAGCAGTACAACACAGGGCATGTAGGCATGAGCAGTACAACACAGGGCATGTAGGCATGCGCACCTACAACACAAGGCATGTAGGCATGAGCAGTACAACACAGGGCATGTAGGCATGCGCACCTACAACACAAGGCATGTAGGCATGAGCAGTACAACACAGGGCATGTAGGCATGAGCAGTACAACACAGGGCATGTAGGCATGCGCACCTACAACACAAGGCATGTAGGCATGAGCAGTACAACACAGGGCATGTAGGCATGAGCAGTACAACACAGGGCATGTAGGCATGCGCACCTACAACACAAGGCATGTAGGCATGAGCAGTACAACACAGGGCATGTAGGCATGAGCAGTACAACATAGGGCATGTAGGCATGCACACCTATAACACAAGGCATGTAGGCATGAGCAGTACAACACAGGGCATGTAGGCATGCACACCAATAACACAGGGCATGTAGGCATGAACAGTACAACACAGGGCATGTAGGCATGAGAACCTACAACACAAGGCATGTAAGTATGGACAGTACAACACAGGGCATGTAGGCATGCGCACCTACAACACAAGGCATGTAGGCATGAGCAGTACAACACAGGGCATGTAGGCATGAGCAGTACAACACAGGGCATGTAGGCATGCACACCTATAACAAGGCATGTAGGCATGAGCAGTACAACACAGGGCATGTAGGCATGAGCAGTACAACATAGGGCATGTAGGCATGCACACCTATAACACAAGGCATGTAGGCATGAGCAGTACAACACAGGGCATGTAGGCATGCACACCTATAACACAGGGCATGTAGGCATGAACAGTACAACACAGGGCATGTAGGCATGAGAACCTACAACACAAGGCATGTAGGCATGAGCAGTACAACACAGGGCATGTAGGCATGCACACCTATAAGACAAGGCATGTAGGCATGAGCAGTACAACACAGGGCATGTGAGTATGAGCTACAACACAGGGCATGTAGGCATGGACAGTACATGTACAACACAGGGCATGTAAGTATGGACAGGGCATGTAAGTATGGGCAGTACAACGCAGGGCATGTAAGTATGGGAAGTACCACACAGGGCATGTAAGTATGGGCAGTACAACATGTACAACACAGGGCATGTAAGTATGGACAGTACAACACAGGGCATGTAAGTATGGACAGTACAACATGTACAACACAGGGCATGTAAGTATGGACTGTACAACACAGGGCATGTCAGTATGGACTGTACAACACAGGGCATGTCAGTATGGACAGTACAACACAGGGCATGTAAGTATCGGCAGTACCACACAGGGCATGTAAGTATGGATAGTACAACATGTACAACACAGGGCATGTAAGTATGGACAGTACAACACAGGGCATGTAAGTATGGGCAGTACAACACAGGGCATGTAAGTATGGGCAGTACAACATGTACAACACAGGGCAAGTAAGTATGGACTGTACAACACAGGGCATGTAAGTATGGACAGTACAACACAGGGCATGTAAGTATGGGCAGTACCACACAGGGCATGTAAGTATGGGCAGTACAACATGTACAACACAGGGCGTGTAAGTATGGACTGTACAACACAGGGCATGTAAGTATGGGCAGTACCACACAGGGCATGTAAGTATAGGCAGTACAAAATGTACAACACAGGGCATGTAAGTATGGACAGTACAACACAGGGCATGTAAGTATGGGCAGTACCACACAGGGAATGTAAGAATGGACAGTACAACATGTACAACACAGGGCATGTAAGTATGGGCAGTACAACACAGGGCATGTAAGTATGGGCAGTACAACACAGGGCATGTAAGTATGGACAGTACAACATGTACAACACAGGGCATGTATGGGCAGTACAACATGTTCATCACAGGGCATGTAAGAATGTACAGTACAACACAGGGCATGTAAGTATGGGCAGTACAACATGTGCAACACAGGGCATGTAAGCATGGACAGTACAACATTTTCAACACAGGGCATGTAAGCATGGACATTACAACATGTACAACACAGGGCATGTAAGTATGGACAGTACAACACAGGGCATGTAAATATGGACAGTACAACATGTACCACACAAGGCATGTAAGCATGGACAGTACAACACATGGCATGTAAGTATGGACAGTACAACACAGGGCATGTAAGTATGGACAGTACAACATGTACAACACAGGGCATGTAAGTATGGACTGTACAACACAGGGCATGTCAGTATGGACTGTACAACACAGGGCATGTAAGTATGGACAGTACAACACAGGGCATGTAAGTATGGGCAGTACCACACAGGGCATGTAAGTATGGATAGTACAACATGTACAACACAGGGCATGTAAGTATGGACAGTACAACACAGGGCATGTAAGTATGGGCAGTACAACACAGGGCATGTAAGTATGGGCAGTACAACATGTACAACACAGGGCATGTAAGTATGGACTGTACAACACAGGGCATGTAAGTATGGACAGTACAACACAGGGCATGTAAGTATGGGCAGTACCACACAGGGCATGTAAGTATGGGCAGTACAACATGTAGAACACAGGGCATGTAAGTATGGACTGTACAACACAGGGCATGTAAGTATGGACAGTACAACACAGGGCATGTAAGTATGGATAGTACAACATGTACAACACAGGGCATGTATGGGCAGTACAACATGTACAATACAGGGCATGTAAGCATGGACAGTACAACATGTACAACATAGGGCATGTAAGTATGGGTAGTACAACAAGGGCATATAAGCATGGACAGTACAACATGTACAACACAGGGCATGTAAGTATGGGTAGTACAACAAGGGCATATAAGCATGGACAGTACAACATGTACAACATAGGGCATGTAAGTATGGGTAGTACAACAAGGGCATATAAGCATGGCCTATGTTTTTGTAGTCCCAATCTTTACATGTTCTGTGTTGTACTGCCCATGCTTACATGCCGTGCGTTGTAATTGCAAGACAGAAATATGGGCATAGACACAGAATGGAACATATCAAACTGTTGAGGCTTATAAATAGGTGCATTGGTGAACAGTTTCAGGACTTACTGAGGAATATCTCTACTTAAATAGATAATTTTCTTGAACTTACAGTTTCAGAGTACACAGTCTCACTGATGCCGATAGGAGCGATGCCATAGACAGCAACAGACACAATGAAGACCACAATCTGGACGAAGGTGACCCAGTAGGTGAAGTAGGGTCTGAAACAAGCTGTAGATCTCAGCACCAGCTTCAGGCTGCACAAGCCACACACTTTCATAAATAGGAAGACAAGTCATCTAACTGTATCTCTACAAATAAGTAACAACTATAAGCTGTACAGAGATAAAAAAAAAAATCCCCAACAAATTTGTCTGAAGACAAAGTTTCTTTTTTCCATTGTTTGTGGATGTCTTGAAAAATAAACAAAAATTCAAAACAAACAAAATCATGATTGTTTGGAAAATTTGCTGATAACTATCCATTTGTTTTTCTTATTGTTTAACTTCAAAACCAACTTTTTTTTCAACCAAAATGGAATTCTGAAAACATGTTACATGTTAAATTTTGTCTTTACTGCACATTCAACAAGAACCTTCAGAAATATGACACAAACTTTTACAAACCTGTAGAGGTTAACTGTTATGAATTCTCTGATGAAATCCTCCTTGGGGCACTTATTGCATTTTCCTTGCTCAAGAAAATCTACATGACATAGTTGTAACCATTTTTCCTTAATAAAAAATGTTACCACACAAAAAACTTTGTTTTTGTATGATATACGACCACCTTTACAGTGCCTCACCCTCCAGGGGGAGTTACTCTCACCCAAATCACTTTCCATATGTCTAATGCTGACGGAATGTGGGGAGGTGGGTGGCCGTGTACTACAGACAGAGAGGCGGAGTGTACGGAGACGCGAAGCTGTTGGCATGCATTACGGTGTTGCTCCTCGAAGCAAACGTATGCAGCCCTCAGATCCGCACCGCACATGGGAAAGGGGGGCAACCACCGGCCCTGCTTGGCCTTAGCCAAGGTGGGGGTGACAGAAGTCCAGTCGCATTCGTCGACCACTGGAACCTCGAAATCACCGTCCTCTGCTTAATAAGTTCAGGCAGGTCGAACTTCCTACGGGCACCCGAAAGCAGAGGATCGATGACCTCATGCGCCAAGGAGGACAAAATACGGAGCCGCACCTGGGGCGCTTTGCTAGGAGCGAAGGCATCCCCCGGAAGGCGGAACTCAGTCGGATCCGATGCGGGCATGGGCGCAGCCACCTGAGGAGTACCTGGACGATCTTGTCCCGTACGTGCCTCAACGAGGATACAAAGGAGAATGTCCCCGAAGCCTCCGAGTCATCCCCTCCCTCCTCCAACCACTCCTCCTCTCTCGATTCCTCGATCCTCGAGAGAGTAATCGGACGAGATAGGAAGAGGACGCCCGAAGGCCTGGGCCCGAAGCCGAGTCCCAGTCCTGAGGGTTCAAGGCTGCCTCTGGGCCACAGATCCACTAGTGGAAGCCTCGGCCTAGGGGAAGGCATCTGGCTCCGCTAGGGAAAAGGTGCGGAGGAAGTGAACGAGCAAGTGCCTGCCACCCCTCCGCTGGGGAGCGACCTCGAGCCGGAGCCGAAGCCCGGTCTCGGATCGTCCCCGAGGCAAAGTGGCCTGCCTCGGCCGACGCCGGGCATTCCACAGGGCCTCGAGGCCGCGTCCGGTGTCGACAACGGGGAAGGCCCAGCCCGCAGCTCCTCTCGGAGTTGGGACTAAACCGCCTCCATCATCGATGCCATCTGTGACTTAAGTAAAGCAGAAAACTGCCAAAGAGGGTGCAGGAGAGGGTGCAGGAGAGGGTGCAGGAGTAGGAACCTCGGGGACCCTAGAGCCCTCTCCCCCGGCCCTCGGAGAGAGGGCGGAGGAGACTGTAGCAGAAGGCGTAGATTTTGCCTTATTTTTACCCTTTTTAGACGTAAAAAAGACCATAATTCTGAGTTGGGCTGGGGGGGGGAAAATAGTGTATCAGTGCGATATAAAGATCGGAAAGATACTTAGTAAAATCTAAATATTTTTTACATTTGTATACTTATCCTGCATTACTCCTTAATGCATTCACTGCTTACTTACGACAACTAGAAGGACAGCGCTGCGAAGGTCCTGGGTGAAGAAATAAAGTTGTTGTTCTCAAGTCCCAATCAGTGGCCGTCCGTCGCTGTCCTGTGACCTTGATGACACCTAAGGTCATCTTCACATCACTGCCTGTCGCCCAAGCTCTTAGAAAAACATACTTTTGAGGTTTCTGAAGCCAAAGTGGGGAGGCAAGTCTAACGACGGGTGGGCCTTAAGCGTAGTAATGCAGGATAAGTATACAAATGTAAAAAATATTTAGATTTTACTAAATTTTTTACTTATCCTGCATTACTCCCTAATGCATCTGTATCAGACGGTTTGGAGGTGGGTAAACCTTCAGAATACAGAAACCTCAATAATTCACACCCTGCAATACGACACCAGTTGGTCGATTAACCGTGAAGTGGAAAAGTTCAGACAAAAACGCCATTACGGTAGGGTTGTTCAAAAATCAAAAAGATTGAACATAGGAATTAAAGAGAAATTCCCTATACACGCTTAGTAATAAAGAAAATAATAGCTATTCAGCTAATTCTTTACTTACTGCGTCATAGAGCCGTCGCTGACAAACAAGATTGTCTAATATTCTTCCACTGGTGGCGACTGAGTGACTGCACATGGAAGTTGACTGGCTCTGTATAGGGCGAATTCATTATTTGCGTCAGGGGTTGGCAATCTGCAGGATAACAACCAGAGGGCCAAACTTCGAACGTCTTCGACATCCTCGAGAGCCCCAACGCGAAGGTTATGACTAACGAAAATATGTGTCGAATCTCCAGAAATATCCTTCCGTGATTATTCCAAAACCACAATTGCCGTGTTGAGCCCTGGTAAGGCTGACACCTTGAGATCTTGAGGGTAATTCGCTCTCGGTGAGTTCCGTTTGATGATCTCGTAGGCCTGAAGGATTACTGCGCGTAACCATAGAGATATGGTGTTTGCGATTATGCGACTAACTTCTGTCGTGGACGAACCACGCCTAGTCTTGGAGCGTCGAATGAAAACTCGAGCTGCTCGCACCGAGCCCAGGAGAACTTCACCATGTACGATTCCCACAATAGTCGATATCGGTGGGATGGTGAAGGAACGGTCGGGTTGGCCTGGTAGTAGATTTTAGCAATAAAATCCCAGCATAACCCTAGATGTCCCGTTCCGTGCGTCCCATGCTCAAAACGGATCCGGGTTGAGTCGATCACATGTAGTTCGCTCACCCGTACCGCCATTGCTAATGCCAAGAGAAACCATTGTTTCCTTGGTGATGTCCAAGCTCCTCACAGCGATAGCACGTTCGCGGAGCTCTCTTTACTATACCGAGAGTGTAACGAAGGTGTCACGCGCTGGGAAGGAGCTTGAAAATGAGGATGCAATGAGGGGCTCGAAGGGGGCCCTCGCAAACCTCGAAGTACCACGTTCAAGTCCCAATCAGGTGGCTGGAACTTGGCCTTCTGATCCTCAAACCTGAATGAGCATAATATGGCCTGTAGTTCCGTGACCTTAATCACACTGTGATTTTCCGGAAACGGCCAACACTAAGATAATTGCAGCCAATTACGTAGTAATGGTGCTACCTTCCAAGTGTTTTTGGGTACGCAATGTAGGAGGTATTCCTCTAGGATTTGTGACGCAATCGTAGGGTCTTGATTCTTTTCTTCCCTGTAAAAAGTCTCAAGTGATCCCCACTTGTCATCGTCGTCTCTGGGAGAGTAACGATGAACTAAAGCTATAGCTTTGCTGCCCGTGTCGAAATAACCCTTCGCACTTAAACGCCTTTTAAAGACGAACCATGCGTGTAGACATTGGGTGAGGCAATTTTCTGTTGAGGGTGGATGAGTAGGTTGGACCACTGTGAGAGGGGAAGTGAATCGTTTTAGTTTTTCCGAGCTTGACGAACTACCCTCTCGCCGGTTACCAGGGTGCGACCAAAGGAGATATCGAGATACCTTGTCTCCTTGATCCCCTGTAGCACCTTGGGAAGTAAAAGTGGTGGCAGAAGAGTGTTAGTTCTTTGCCCTTCCCAAGTGATACTGAACTCGTCCACCGCCCAAGTCTGCGGATCCGGCAACGGGGAGATATACGTCATGAGTTGGTGGCCTAGGCAAGTAATAAACAAGTCAATGTTTGGTTGCCTGAATTCCTGAAGCAGTAACTGGAATGCTTCTGTGAGAAATTTCCACTCGGTGGGAGCCACCCTGTCTGGACGTGATAAAGTATCGGCCAGTATGTTTCTACATCCGGGGATGTGCTGAACTATGAACCTTAGTCACAGCCGATCCACTAGATGGAAGAAATCTGAATGTCCTTAGAAGTGGAGAGTGGGAGTGTGTTGTTCCCCGATTGCACAGGCACCACACCGCAGTGCTGTTGTCTGTGGATATAGCGAGTCGGGCTAACTGTAGTTGATTCTGCCAATGTGATATAGCCAGAATTAAAACTTCCAACTCTAAGTTGTTTATGTGCCACTTCCATTGTGCGCCGGGCCATAGCCCTGAGCTTATCTGGTCTTGTAAGTGAAGACTCCACCCCTGAAAGGGGACGTCCACAAACAGGTGTGTATTCAGGGAAAATCCGAATAAACAGACTCCGCAGACATTCAGCGCCACAAGTTGAGGCAAGGCTCTAGCTTAGTCGGTAGAGTGATGGCCTTGAGTGGATCCTGACTCCTGATGTAAGGGTTCAGGAAAAAATTGAATTGGTCGCAGTTGTAAGCGGCCCATGCTAGTTAACACCTGTGCCGAGGTGATTAACCCTAGCAACACTTGCCACTGGCGAAGTGTGTGTGGTTGGTGTAGAGTAGATGACAAAAGAAGTAGAAACTTGTGCCATCTGTCCCTCGGTACAGATAGGATATCCTGGTCTGTCTTAAACAGGTCTCCTATGAACTGAAGTCAATAGGAAGGAGAATACTCCCGACTTCGCCTCGTTGATTGTCTATCCCAGTTATTGACATGTGTTGATGATACAGTAGATCGCCCTCCATCTACGACTCGAACCAAGTGTTCTTCACGTGTAGATAGTTATTGGCTTCATTACTCCTGTAAATAGCCATAAGTGTCACTGACATGTCAAATGGGAAATACTACCACTGGTAGTGAACCCCAATGAACTGGACCTGAAAAGTCTACGGTTGGGATGGATAGTCGAGACTGATGAAGAATCAAACGTTCGTTGAACACAGAAATTGTGGATCATTCTCATCTTGTCTGGGTCCTTCATGAGTACCAGGTACGTGTGAGGATAAAACCCCGGAGTAAAGACTGGGTTGTGAACCCACTCTACAGCTCTTCTTACCAACAGTATGACTATGTTGGATTTTCCCATTCAAACTGTGGTCAACGGTAGGGTTATCTCTACCCTTATACGGACACCATGATATAGTGCGATAATAAGAAATCGTCCTTGAGACTTGTCTCTGCCACTCCCTTTCTCAGTAAGGGAATGCTGGTCTTCCCTGAGAAACGCGCGTCTAGGCTTATAATTCCCTGACTTGTCAGCCCGCGTTTGACGTGCGTGTCTGCGATCTTTTCGTTGAACAGGGGAGTAGATGACCAAGGTTGAAGTAAAAGACTGCCCTTGAAACCAGCATCTCAGTTGGAAACGCTATAAAGTCTTGGGTGTAACGGTAATCTCCGTCAGAACGGTCTCAAGATGAATTTTCCTGTGGTCAAACTGACGCTGTAGGAAAAACACCATAGTTTGGAAGTGATCTAATCAGATAGGGTTATCCTCTAATAGATTCTGATCCACTGCAAACATTGACGATATTGGTCGCTTAAATCACGGAGCAAATGTGAGTTTTGGAGAAGTCTTCCTCCAATGACCTCGTGGTGTCCCTCTTATTTACCCTGTTATCAGGGGAAGGCGTTACTGACACGAGATGGTCTGCTTCCCAATCGGGTACATGTGCTAAGCTGATCATGTGCCGGTTACGTAACCGAGTACACTGTAAGCCTTGGGCTAACGTCATTGTAGAGACCTTGATTGGTACGCAGACGCTGCGCTCAGCGCAGGTCTGGAATGTTGGAACAGCGCTAAGCTGATCGTGCGACGTTTGCGTAATAGGAGCGCTTTGGGTAGCAGTCAGACGCTGCGCTCGGCGCAGGTCTATGCTGGATATGTTGGAACAGCGCTAAGCTGATCGTGCGCCGCTTGCGTAATAGAAGTGCTTGGGTTGTAGTCAAGTGCTGCGCTCGGCGCAGATAAATCAGACACAAAGCTCAAAAGTATTGACTGGATCAAGGCTTGCGTCTAATCTACCCCCATCATAGCATCTCGATACGCTGGTGCTGGTGCTGGTGCTGTCGCCGACTTCACAGATTATCATACATGTATCTGGAAGTGTCCGGCGGCTGAAAAAATAGGAGCAGTTACGATACTCACAAAATCCTCTGGTATTGTTGATTTCGGTGGATGGTGTACTTCTGCAATCACAGGCGTCATAATACCTGCCGATAATAACGGTTGGGTGGTAATGACAGAACCATATGTCATTCGCTATTCTGCGATAATGACATTCCTCTCGTCTCACGACGGAATAACTGCAAAATATGATTGGAGTAATCTGCTTTTATATAGTAAACTCGTTGGATTAGAGATTTACACAAAAATTACATTTTGAATTTTGGCGAGCACATCTACGTGCATGCCTATGACCGTGGATAAAGAGCTTTGGGCGATTATTCCACGACAATATGTACACCACGCAAACATAAGTTACGCATTTAACCCATTGAAGAAATGGTACTGAAAGAATGCCGTAGCATTGAACAGTAATCTATCGGCAAAAATACGAATTGCAAGGGTATACAATATTTTTATATACGCAATTCAATGTAAACCAAGGCTATTTACATTTAGAGATTGGAGAGCACATCCGCACGCAAACCAACCAACGTGGATGATAATCTTTGTAAGGTTTTTTTCCACGACAATTAGTACAATGCTCAAAGGTATGTTACGCAATTAAACCCTTGTTGATGAGACAATACTGGAAGAGTGCCGAAGAATTTGAACACTAATCTATCGGCAAATTTATGAGTTGCAAGGGTATACAATATTTTTGTATGCGCAACTCAATGTAAACCAAGGGTATTTATATTTTCATTTAGGGTTTGGAGAGCACATCTGCGCGCAAACCAAACAACGTGGATGATAATCTTTGTAAGATTTTTCCCACGATAATTAGTACCACGCTCAATCATAAGTTACACAATTACGCCATTGTTGATGGGGCGGTACTGGAAGAATGCCATAGAATTGAACAATAATCTATCGGCAAAAACTACGAGTTGCAAGAGTATACAAAGTTCATATACGCAACTCAATGTAAAACCAAAAATACCAACAAAAAACTATTTAATCACATAAACATAGGTACGCAATAAAAGAATTGTTGATGAAGCGGGACTGGAAGAAAGCCGTAGATTTGATATTAATCTATCGGCAACCATATTTTTAACGAGTTGAAAAAGTATACAATAATTTTAGTATACGCAACTCACTGTTACGCCAAAGCTAGTAGTATTTAAAAACATAAGAATATGTTATACATACGTAGCTGAGAATTGTAAACAATATGACTACCTTGGCAGGCAAACGATTGTAACACAATTCAAAATGGCGGCGAACAACAATATTTTGGCGGGAAAAAAGACGACAGTCTTTTCACGCCTAATTAATTCACATAAAACTACACAACATGGTGAAAGTAATATGAAAAGAATACATCACCCATCGCAGATCAATTTTTAAGATTGTAGACAAACTGAAGGTCTAAAATTAATCCAAAAGGAGAGCTCCGCTTGGACACGTCCTAGCTGTGCTGCGACAAGCAGTGATGTGAAGATGACCTTAGGTGTCATCAAGGTCACAGGACAGCGACGGACGGCCACTGATTGGGACTTGAGAACAACAACTTTATTTCTTCACCCAGGACCTTCGCAGCGCTGTCCTTCTAGTTGTCGTAAGTAAGCAGTGAATGCATTAAGGAGTAATGCAGGATAAGTAAAAAATATGCAAAATTGTGAAAACAGAAGCCAAGGCGTAATGTAGAATGCGATTTGTAATGTGATACTAATAGCCAATGTCCGTAGTATAATTTTAACACCAGTACACATACATACAGTTTGGTCAGTCATGGTCTCTCAGTGAACGATAAGGTTCCTCTTCCAATCTTTCTTGAAAAATTCAAACGTCTTGACAGTCGAATGACATAAAGGAAAGTGATTTGGGTGAGAGTTACTCCCCCTGGCGCGGGTCGCCGTGGAGGGTGAGGCACTGTAAAGGTGGTCGTACATCATAAAAAGACAAAGTTTTTTGTGTGGTAACATTTTTTATTAAGGAAAAATGATTACAACTATGTCATGTAGATTTTCTTGAGCAAGGAAAATGCAATAAGTGCCCCAAGGAGGATTTAATCTGAAAGGGAATGTGTGGCCTAATCTGCTGCCTACCTGTGATCATCCATCTCATCGATCTGATGCTTGACATCGTCTGTCTGTCGGTCACTCCTGAAGCTCCGATTCATGAGGCGACCCACAAATCCCATCCCAACATTACGCTTGTTCCTCTCCAGTATTGAGTCCATCACCCTCTGTGTAATCTGACCCATTCCAAAGTCTACCTCATCCATGCCCGTCCCTGGTGTGGAGGGGTAGGCTTGGGGCGGGGTTCGACGCCACCCTGCAGCAGGTCTGAAGGTCAAGATGTTGTAAATGTTGTGTCACCAGGGAGAGTTGTTGTCAACACCTTTATAAAATCCTACTGGTATAGTTACAGGTCAGCATTTAAGAACACATACAAATGGAATCATGGTACAGTGATTCTTCGCTACAACGCTACCTTCGGGGGCCAAATAATTGATGAGCATTATAGATGTTCAGTGATTTAACAAAACAGTATACATGCTATGCCTACCTTACACAATCTACGTTGAAGTTTCAGAGTTTAAAAAAAGCTTAGAATAGAAGTTGTTTATGATTCATAGTGTAAAATAAATTTATATATATTAATATGCGCTTTCAAAAAAACACATCGTATCCCTTCAGCAAATTCAGGTGAACAGACAGGTATAACAAACTTGGTCAATAAAAGTATGAAATTTGATATAAAACATTACTAGACATGATGATTTACCATTTAAATTGTATTTCCTGCTCTCCAAGGCATTTTTTTATATGCAGAGATTAAGATTACCGTGTGTATTTTCTTGTAAACTAAGCCGGAAATAGCAATCAGCTGTGCACACGTTTCCTCCCAATCTACCGGTGATTCAGTTAAAAAGTACCCAATGATACAACTTCAAAGAATTTTGAAGCAGTGGTCGGAAGAAATTGTATCTGAAATTATTATTTTATCAGGAATAAAAGGATTAAATTGCGTACTTCAGTTCGGATTTGTTGATTGGTATATCCGGTGTTATGTGATCGTGGTGATCAGCTGATAATGTTTTCTGAGATGGGGGAAAACATCGTGTCATAGGAAAACTTGAGTTTATGTTTGTAAATTATTATACAAGCATGTGTATCAAACTGATTTTATGAAACGAGTGTCAAACTTCTTGTACTTCCCGAGTGAAAGTGAGGGTAATACATGACTTCTTACACCAATTTTGTAAAATCAGTATCACACACATGCGAGTGTAATAATTTCTTTATTACCCATTATTTCTTAATTCTTTTGAGTTCCCCTGCACTGATCATGACCGCCGTCTTAGAAAACCTCAATTGTTGAAAGACATGAACAGTCTTCAGCATTGACACCGTTTCTAGTGTGACGTCATTCAGACCATACGTCACAATAAAATTCCAATGTCGTCAACAATGCCGTCCAGATGACGTAAACACTAAATGTGATTAATATTTGCACAAGTGCACATACACGTTTTATGAACTGTTATTTCTAACTCTATGAGTAATAAATATCCTATGTGAGATTTCAGAATATTTTTCACTTAAATGTGCTTATATGTTGGCCATTTTGAAATATTCACTTTCCTTGATATAGCCAGAGAGATGCAGAACATGTTTTGTGAAAATGTTTTAGTATGTTTCAAAGAAAATTTTAAGCTCAGTGCTAATGGATGGATGCAAGGCTGGACAATGGACGACAACGAGCCATGACATATACTCCCATTCTGTCCAGGTGAGCTAACCAGCTACAGCTCATCACGAACAGTGCTACCATGCATCAAACATTACCCAATATCCCGGGCAGCTTTGGCATCAGCAACATCTGACTCCTCCCGAATTCGGTCCAGTTTGGAAGGCTCTATGTCTGACAGGGGTTCGTCATAGAACACATCGTCCTCCAGGCTGAAGTGGTCCTCAGTCATGGGCTGCAGAGGACATAGAACTTGGGTAATCTCTGGATGGCACGAGTGGGTACTGATAGGCATGCAAGTTGATCTCATGTGACAGGTTCATACAGATATGGAACACTTCAAGGCTTTTTTAAGGCTTTTCAAGGCTGCCAACTGTTATTTTCAAGGTTTTTTAAGTTGGGTTTATTAGCCTTAGTCTGTCAATATTCTATTAAATCCACCATACTATGTATTACTGTAGCTAAAAAGCAGTATGACCATCACACATTTTCCAACAAGATTTATTTTTCAGCCAACTGAAATATTAAATAAGGTCTGTGATAAATCTCACTAAAACATCTTTGTACATATTTTTGGGTGCTTTATTTCTCTGATCAACAACTATATGTCATTCTGTACAAATTCAAGGCTTTTCAAGCTATTTTGGTGACTTTCTAGTCTTTTCAAGGTTGACATTAATAATCAAGGTATTTTCAAGAGGGACCTTAAAATTCAAAACTTTTTCAAGCCTGTACAAACCGTCAGTATACATGGTATATACGGCTGCATATAAATAGACTGGGACACCCGACTAGTGGCTGATATTAATAGCTAGTCCAGTGCCATCAGGGTATAACACAGAATCAACCCATTCACCAAGCTGTACAACCTGATCCATGTTAGTTGCCCTTAGGATAAGCAACAGAGAGCAAACTGGGGACCTATTCTAACCTGGGTCCCCATGGGGTAAGTCAATGTTATATTACGCCACAGTCAGCAATATTCTAGTTATATCATGATGGCATACATGGTGTATTGATAATCAAGTTCAGCAAACCAGTGGATGATAGCAAGAGCACATAACAGAAGAATGTCAAACATTGTGAGCATCCAAAAATCATTTCTATCGGTTCTAACAACAAGTATGACTTAATCTGCCCATCAGTCACCACAAGGCTATGTCTGTGGTCCTGCATGCATTTCCAGGCCTGTACAGCATGCAGAGAAAGACTGATGACCTACATATACCTGGGATGGGGTGTAGCTGGACGCATCCATCATATCCTCAGCCATGCTTGCTGGGGCGTAACTTCGATTTTTCATGCCTTTCTTTGTACGGAGATTTCTGCGAGCTCCCTAAAGGAAAGGAAATGAACTGACCGAGTCAATGTGTATGACGAAAACAACTTGAGATATAACTCGATTAGCACTACTTCAGCATAGCAAGGAAGTCTGCAATATGAGGCTGGAGACGCAGAAAAAGCATCAAACACAAAGTGTTAAGTCTGAGGTTTTACTGTCTATTTAGACATATATTTTATCTACAAACTTATCTTAAAGACTTGTCCATAATTACTTTGATTGGAGTTTGTCAAATCTGAAGCAGTTTCAGAAGCCATGTCACTTTGTAATTGGTAGAGGTAGTTGTCCTTCCCAAAGCCATCAATTACATGTTTAACACTGCAACATTCCACCTATAACTGGCAAAACTACATGCAAATACCAAAACCTGGGGCAGGCAAACCAGTGATTGATAGCATGAGCAATGATAAACACAACAGTGTATGCTAACATACACTCAACCTGATCACACATTGTACCTACTAAGGGTGCCCGATATTACCGGTATATCGGTAAATTGATCCATGATACATATCACAATGTCATGTTTTAAAGCTCTGCACATCGGGTGATTTCAAATAGTGATTTTTATCATGTGTTTAATGCTATACACATGTAGCTTCAAAAGGTTTCCATAATTCCAAAGTGCAAGTTCCTCTGTGGCAGTTGTGTAACACCCGGAGTGTGCATACTTGCGTATTTATTGAATGAGCAAACATTATGCTGTTCCAACATCTTGTTTTGTTCCATTTATGAACTTCAATTTCTGCATTGATGATTCAGATAGCTTCTGAATTCAAAATTTTGAGTGAGTGAGTGAGTTTGGTTTAATGCCGCTTTTAACAGTATTCCAGTTATATCGTGGCGTGTCAACTTAATGTGGGAGGAAAGCCCCAAGTGATGCAGGTCTCAGACGTTTACCACTTCGGTGAAACCAAAGAGCACGGGTATGGTGCTGACAAACCTAGAAACATAATTGGGGCGAACCAGGATTCGAACCCACAATCATAGGTTTCTGGCGTGCCCAAGGGACGCAACTCTGCACAGCGAATTGCGGCGCCTTAGACTGGTCAAAATTTTGAATTATACAATATATTGTGATAGAATTGCAATACAGCCTTGTGCATTGTAAAATATTGTGCTACACTTTAAACATCCAATAGCCATCCCTAGTAACTACCCACTCCTCACGACAAAGGCTCTTACAACAAGCATGAAGCATCACTTCTACCTGGCATCCTTACAGGCTACAATACTTACAGCTAGGGTTGTGAGGCCCTTCAGTGTCATCTTCACGACTGAGTCTTTCCTTGTCGTCTTGCGTGGCAGTCCCTGAGTACTCCGATAGTAGGTACTGATGCTGGACATGGGTGTGCTGCGCCGAGATGCCCGGTCCGGATGTCGGAGGGGGTCAATGATGTGGGGAATTCGTGACCCATCAACGTCATCCTCCACTGTCTTCTTCAGCTTCCCTATAGAGCCAGCGTACCTCTTGCAGCGGTTGTCCCACTTGACTTTAGATTCCTCTGAATCCTCTCCAACACCAAAGAAATCAGCAATGCTTGATTTCATATACCTGGTGTAAATCAATATCATAAAAAGTATATTATTAAAAAGACAGTTTGGTTTCATTATAAGTGAAATTGTCAAGCATGTCAAGCATGAATTGTAAATTTTATAAATAAATTGTATACTGTAAATCTTGAAATTAATGTTTCTCCAAATTAATATGACTGCCGACCCCAAACCCAAACCCAAAATGCGTCTCGATATTAATGCTACTCCCCCCAACCCCCATCTACAGTGGAATGATATATATGGTTACCTTAATCCAAACTCATCTTAATTCAATTAAACAGAAAATAGCACCGTTTATTAGTGCTTAGTAGAGCACTTTTGTAAAAACAATAAACTGTGTTGTCCTAAAAACAACACACGGTTTATTCTGTTGACTGGCATTAAGGAAGTTGAAAGGCAATAAAATAATTGAACCAACAACAGTTCACTGATTGGCATGTGTAGAAGGTGTCAACACACTTGAAGGCAGACGACAAGACAAAGGCTGTAGATCTGTAGATAAGTGTGATGTAGCCTATCGGTGTGCGTTGGGTTGGGTTGGCCTTTGACGCAGTGTTATGTGTGTGGCGTCTTCCTGGACTGCTGGACACGAGTGAGCAGAATGTATCTGGACTGCTGGACACAAGTGAGTAGAATTCTTGACCCCAGCTGGGATTACTCACTGGACGCCCCTTGTGTAATTTCTATTCTTTGAATGACATTGTTTTATACTTGTTGCAACTGCTGCTCAATAAATCGTGATGTGGAATATATAGTTGTTTGTGTTTATATTCAAGTTGGTTTTACGCTATCTAAACCTGCAAATGAGGCCATCATATTGTTGATAGTCATTATGGAGACATTAATGAGAAGTTTAGTTAATGCAAACAAAGACCACTCACGTTAATTTCAAGATTTCCAGTATTTATAATACTTATCCTATCTCACACGATGCATTTCTCATTGTTCTTTCGATCTTAAGTGCATGGAAACATGCCTAAATAAAGGTTTCCAGCTTCTAAAACAATACACCTGAACACATCTCACATTACCATGGGCACCTCCCATCAAGCACCTGGGTCATGTACACTTTCAACCTACACGAGCTGAACACCTTTCCCCAGCCACCCTCTCCTGTCTAGAAGAATTATGGTGCAGGGATGAACAGGTTGTCATACAAAACGGTATCTGATTTCCATTCCATTTATTGCAGCCTTACCATATGGCCTTAAAATCAGATCCTAGTTCTCACTATAGCTAAACAAGAACTGAGGACATCCCAGTTCAGGTCACATCAGAACGACCTTTCATCCGACTAATCATAGTGTCGCTTACCAGATCAGGAAAGTGACAGTCGGAAAATATTTTCTAATCATGCAACCTCAAAAGATTTAACTCAGGGTATTTCAAACCACAGTTACAGGTTTAATTACAGAATTCATACAATCTAGGCCATCTATTAGCCATTCCAGAATGTTCCTTTGTTCAGTTTTCAAATTTTTAATCAAGAATTTGTGGAAATATGTTTCGAAGCACTTTGCCACTTTGAAACTAGTGCCGTTGGCTAATGTCAACTTCTTGTCAGTCATTCCATTTGTTGGCCAAAGTTAGCAAGTTAGCGAAAGGTCGGTCTGACGTGACCCGTAAAGTGATGTCATCAGATATTTGTTTAGCAATATCGATAACAAGATCTCATTTTAATGAGATTGATATGCTTACAATGTAGGGGTCACCCAAACATTGGCTTCACACTGTCACATTGTACAGAAGCAACAAAACCTAGGTCTTCAGTTTGACTACACTACCCCACAGCCCCTCATAAAACCATACAAATTTATTTATTTGCTAAAAATTTAGCAAAATACTAATCATGCTAATAGCCAGTAGAAATTATTGTTTTCTTTTAGATATATGTTTATCTACAAAAGATTAAAATTTGTTCTTCAAGTTACAAAATCTTTCAAGTTACTTCTTATACTATTAATCACACTTTAATGCAAAACTGTCAAAATGGTTAAGACTTCGAGTGTTTTCCCTATATCATGTATATGTCTCTACACAAAAGTGTTATTTGAAGTTAATTTAGTTTATAAGTGTGTCTAATGCAATAAAATGAAAACTAACCCCATGGTTTTCCTCAGTTTGAAAGTTAGACATTAAATCATCTAAATGTTATACTACCTTAGAGAACATTACATACTCTGAATATAGACCAGAGGATATCCTCATAAAAACGGCAAAATGCCGGGGAGTTCTACTGAGGATATCAACCTGTGTGCCTTACCTCCCAAACCTCTGCATCTTAGTGCCGCCTTGATCCATTGAACTGTTCATTCTCATGGCTGGGGCACTGACAGTAGTGAGTCGGGAAACCTGCCGATTGTAGTCCATCTTGTGTTTGTCTTAGGATTCCTTCAACCTGTTTTAAAAAACATCATCATGAAATTTGACACGAACATCTCATCATTCAGGCTGTGTTATCAAATATAAACGTGGTCTGTTGTCATGGATACTACCACAGGATCATGGACATGGGTGAATAGTCGTTTTTATGCTCTGTGAGATGGTAAGCAGTCTGTACCCAACACTTTTGACTTTACTAGTTTACTACTATAAAGGAATTTAGCCTCATTTTCCATAGATTTTAGTGTTATTATTATAATATCATACAGACTATAATATTATTAGTTAAGCTTACTGGATACATCAGGGCTTCAGGCAAGTGGCTAAAGTTGCAGACAATTTTTAGAGATAAGTCAGAGAAGAACTTTGCATTTTACATAATAAAAAAAGTGCTTTTCAAATTATTTTGTCACCTTATCTTTTATTAGCCTTAGATCATGTAGATGGGATTGAAAACATACACATCCTGGATGTATTGTAGATCACATAGCAGAGTACAGCTGTCTGTGTTGTGAAGGAGTTTCCATGGTGACTTGGGACTTACACAGTTCTTAACCCTTGACTGGAATTGCTTTATTTTATTCTCACTGGGAAATGATTTCTGGCTTCAAGCAGCCTGGTTAATTAAAACCCATTCTGCTTTTGTTTCAAATCAGTAGTGCGACATTGTGACTGCTTCACTGTACAGGCTGTGGTGAATAAAACAAGATGGCGTTATCCTCTATCCATGACATCACAGACGATTAAAAGTGATAATGACAGCTTATATCTCTTTTGGAAAATGGTAAACACATTTCTTTCCACAGTTTTTCACCAAAAAAAAGCAAATACTGGGAATACTGTAAACATGTTTCAAAGATTTGGGGAATTGTGATACTTTGTCCTGCAGTGACCAAGCATGACAACTGAGTATATAAAAAACAGTATGGAAATACATCTCATGACAGTATGCACAAACAATATTAGAAATTAAGGGGGTCCTAGGGATGTTTCTCGGTAATATATAACTCTAGGGAACCACTAAGCATGCTAAGTGTTTCTTTTTTAACAATAGCGATATGACAAGGATTCCTTCATTTTCATTGTTAATTTCAATCACAGTTCTCAAACTGTTATTCCATATGACTGTGGCTAAATAGCTAGCATTTTCTTTGAACTTGAAGATGACTTGCTTTGAGTATCATACTGTGTATGATATTAAGTATAATATTGTGTATGATATTGCAACCTGACTATTGAAATACATATAATCCTGCAATATAGGTCTATTGTTACAGCTCTAGATGGGATACGGTCTGGAGGAACTACCGTAACAGAACTGGCACCTAAAATATTTAACTGAACATTAAAAACCAGAAGCTACTAATGTGTACTTTGAATTTTTGTTTTTGATGGATAATGTGACTAAAACCTGAGTAGATCATACACTTGATGAAAATAGTCAATTTGTGTAAAGTATACAATAAAATCAATGACCATGACAAGTTTATCTAGGTAGCTGAGAGAGTTGTAACAGAGCATTTTATAAGTCATTTTCAATTTCTGCCTGTCTCAGGCAACAGGATACGTCAGCATTGCATGCTGTTAACTCCATGTGGTCAACTAACATCACTGAACATGTTGTACATCTCCAACAACATGATCAATCTTAGTCCATGAAGACATCACCTGTTTAATAAACATACAGCTGTATTACACATTGTGTAATACCAAAACGTATGCTAACTGTGCTTATGCACAAGTTTCACAAACAAATATTGAAAACTCCCAAGATCCCATGTCTTATTCAATGATATTGCGTGTAGAGATGATAGATAACTGAAAGGAGCTCATGCACACTCATTTATTATATTTATTTTTATGGTTCAGAGTTTGCGCACATCAAGAAATGGAGGATTCTACCTCAGGACAGCCAGGTTATCATGGTTCTTATGTTGAACTGTTGATCATCATGATCATATGTTTATCCTAGACTTTCCTCATTAAGAAAATTGAATTGTTAGCAAACAAAATACAGCAAAGTGGAAGAATTTGTTTGGTATTTTTTCTTTGTTGTTTTAACGCTGCACTCAGCAATATTCCAGCTATATGACGGCGGTCTGTAAATAATCGAGTCTGGACCAGACAATCCATTGATTGACATCATGAGCATCAATCCACGCAATTTGGATATGATGACATGCATCAACCAAGTCAGCTAGTCTGACCACCCGATCCCGTTAGTTGCCTCTTATGACATAAAAGTGGCAAGGTCACCGCTAGATTAATATACATCAGAAAACTTTATCTTGTACACAAAGTAAGCAGATCAAACTAGGTAGGGCACTCAACGAGCCCAGTTTCTCTAATATGTCTCTATGTTGTCAGATGGTCTTACGGGGTTAACTGGTTGCTCAGAAAACAAAAACCAGTATCAAGACCATTATTGTAGTTCATACCAGTTTGATGCATAAAATGTTTGAATCTTCTCATCTTGAGATCTATTTTGGCACTATTTTCAGTAGATTTTAGCCTCAATACATAGACTATTATAAAATGATCTTATACTGGATCCAAATAATATTACCAGACCCTGGCATCAGAGAGTCACTGATAGATTAACATGCTGTACACATTTCAATTTCTTGAGATAAGCTTGTGGTTTTTTCCCTGAAACTCATTATGAGCTGGTTACTCCTAGAGCTAGTGACATGCCATCCAGGAACTCGATGATAGCATGTATAACATAATATATTCGTATAGAAAATAATTACAGCGCTATATGGGCTTGAACTCGGCAAACGTTTCTGATTGGTTAAAATCTGTAGTATAATATTAGCACATGGTGAAGGGAGGGAAATTCAAGACCGTCAATGAAAACCTGCTTCGAAACGTTTAATTATGCTGTTATCAACCCCAACATTTTGAAAGCAGGCTTACCATTGACAGTTTTTAATTTCCCTCCCTTCACCATGTCCTAATATTTCAGAAACGTTTGCTGAGTTCAAGCTTGTGTAGCGCCTCAATTTCCGACCACCTTTTTCTTGTTCACCTCGGCGGCAAAGCTTAGGGTTGAGATTTGATGGTTGTTTTAAAATAAATACGAGGTAAAGTGACCACAGATAAACATGATTATGTAACCTATGGTTTGTTTAGCAAGTACCAATGGGTTGAAATAAGTGACTTCATATTTCATGCTATATCAAGCTGTGATTCAAACAGAGTCCGAAATCTTGAATATGGACCAAGACGGCGGATGTCACTCCTTGTCTATATGTACGGGTGTGATTTTTTTTCTATACGAATATATTATGCTATACACTCTATCATCGAGTTCCTGTGCATGCCATTGATGGATAATGGTCCCTGAGCATCCATGGCTTGGCCCATCATATACATTGGATGGCAATATTGCTATAACATCATCAACTTAATGGAGGAAATATATCAAGAATATCACCAGGAAGTACAAAAGACGAAAATATGTTTTTTTTCTTTTATAGTCCTGACGACAGCAAGATTATGACATTCGATAGACAATCGTGTCAGTCCTCCAGGTCATCAGCATGTAGATATTACGGGTAGTGAATACTAACCTCCCAAATAAAACGTCCACCTTTGTTTCAGAATTAGGGTAGTATATTCAAACGTCAAACGGCTGAATTATTCTTTATATAATGATACATGGTAGGAGTTTTGAGCCAACTTGTATAACGAAAACCGGACATGTCACTCCCTAGATACGAGAAAGCACTGAGCCGTGACGTTTCTGTCCTTCCATCACATATATATCATACATATGGTTCCTGGTATCCTTTCTGCATGATTCAACATAGCCCAAATAATAACAATATCAACAAAAACTGGTACATAAACAAAAGAAAAACACGAAAACAGTTGCTTACATCGAACCAACCTACACCGTCTAATATTTCCGTGTTTTCTTTTCAATATTCCATCTGCGCATGATCGGAAGTAAATTTTTATCATTCCACAGCAGCCGAAATGTGCTTTTCCCAATAAATGTAGAATTTAAATAAGATTGCAAATGCAGTTTAGATCACACACTCTCGGAAGTAAAATATGCTTTGGTTGAAGAAACCCAGAAAAATGAGGGTAACGTATAATTCTAAAAATAGTGCTGTTGTCAATATAAACTAACTTTGCATCTTTCGATTGGACGATCCGGTGTATTGTTAAAGTGAAATGTATATGTTGTTTTTTGTTCAAGCGTTGGAGCTGTCGTGAATGTAGGATTGAGGCGCGGGACCATGTAACTAACAATAATAGTAACAAACAATTTTAGAGGGTCCTCGGAACTATCAGTGTACATGTGGTACGCGGGAAGTAAATAAGATCGTATTTGGTTATTCAGATTCAACGTTTACAAAATAATAATGTGTAGAATTGACAATGTAATTAGTCCTTCCGTTTGGTCAAGGTAGACATTTCCTTTATGTATTTTTTTGCTGATATATTATCACATCTCACCATTTTCTAGGTACTTTACAATTTTGATATTTGTGTTAATAGTATTCGGGATTCAGGGGTGAGCAATGAGAGTTTCAGGGTGGTGCGGTGGTGATGAATGACATGAATTTAGATACCATCCACAATTTGGTGAGATATGACAATCGGTTTGGGAGAAAATGTTCAGGTTATTGAAGAGAGGATATTGCGGGAATATGCGGGAAATACCCACCTGTGTAGACTAACATCCAGTCTTTGAAATGAACATATCGTACAGAAAAAAAAACAGTTGTTCAATTATCTTAATAAAATATAATAAAAGGGAACCCAGAGACTCACTTCGTTTTCAGATGCAGTAATCTAGACTTGCAAAACGTTATAGACTTGCATGGGCTGTATTTGATATTTGTGCATTTGTATCATTTGTATACTTCCACCTGTGCATAACATGGACTTTTCCGACATTGTCGAGGTCGGATTCTATTGAGGGAGTCATCATTATTCAAACACGGGTAAACATTTTTAAAGGTTGTTCATTTTATCATCATCCTTAATTTTAAAGAGTCCGGACAAAATGTTGATATCTCATATTATAAGAAATAAACAATTCCAACTCGTCGTTTATTTCTTAAGTATAAATACTGTCATTGCATCGTTTTCATGAAATAAAGGCGTTTGACATGACTCAAACTAAATTTGTTAGTGTGAACCTTTCATATAATCTTATTATAGTGAAAATACATGTATATTAACTTTGCTCCATTTCGGGAGTAACTAAATATTACAGCGTTTTAAGCCTTACGCTAAACGTTAAAAGGAGTGACTTCTCCACGCGGGTACAATGTGTGAAGCCCATTTCTTGGTGTGTTCTTGGGGATAACATTGGAATCTCTGGCAATAATGTCAAACTCGAACTTTGTACGTGACGAGCTAACGCACAACCCACAGTGCTCGACAGACCATAGGAACACATAATCGACACATTAGCCGGGACACTGTGATCCGACGTCTCCGTTCCAACAACCTCAGATGTCGCCGACCAGCACGTCGTCCTGTTCTCCAACCACGGCATCGACAAGCACGACTTCAGTGGGCACAGGGTCATCGCAATTGGCGTCATCGTGAGTGGAGGCGTGTCATCTTCTCTGATGAAAGTCGCGTTTGTGTCTCCCATGCAGACGGAAGAGTCAGAATTTGGCGGCGTCTAGGTGATCGTTTCGCTGACAGAAACGTTGTGGAAAGGGATCCATGGGGTGGACCTAGCGTCATGATATGGGCAGGGATTGGACTTAGTGCGAGACTTGGACCCATGTGCCTTCTGAATGTTGGTCAAGGTCGGGGACAGGGCGTCACTGCTCAGCGGTATATCGACCAAGTGATCAGACCCCACGTTGTTCCGTTTTTTGCACAATATCAACAACACATTTTCCAGCAGGACAACGCTCGTCCCCATGTTGCCAGAGCTACCATGGCCTTTCTGCAACAACACAACATCCGTGTTCTACCGTGGCCGGCCCTCAGCCCTGATCTGAACCCCATCGAACACTTGTGGGATGAGGTTCAAAGGCGTCTGCACAATGTGCGCCCAGTCCCTACAACTGCCGATGAACTACGCACAGCTGCTCTGGATGTGTGCAGGAGGATCCCTGGGGCGTTCACAGATCGCCTAATCCACTCAATGTAGAGGAGATGTGTGACAGTGATCAATGCTAATGATGGTCACACCAGGTATTGACTGACATTTTGGGTATTGATCCGAAACTGCGTAAGCCCTTAACATTTGGAAAAAACAATTATGTCATCTGCCTTTTAATCCATTAAACTGTCTTCAGTCAAGTTTTTGTCAATCTTGCCCTATAAATATTTTTTGTCTTTACTGTTGAAAATAAATAACATGTATACTGCATACTCGACTTGCGTTTCTTTTGCGCGTGAGTATACATTATAAAGATTAAAATGCAAGTTGTCATAAAAGGTACATTGGATTAAGAAATGACATGCATCCTCTACCATATTAATGTGTATAATGTTTCCAAAATGCCATATTACATGCAGTGCCTCTTAGACTAACATATAGTCTATGATATCTTTTTAATTACACAATATAGTTATCTCCACAAATTAATTTTTCTGATGCTGATTTCTGACTCAAGCTGGCTAGACCTAATTGCTTTTACATAAATCTAGATTAGTTTTGTTTTCATAAAATATACATATTCCACAGTCATGGTGCAGGACTAAGTGTCTCTCGGCAAGTGGTATCAAGAGCTGGCATATCTGCCGTTTTTGATATACAAAGGTAAAATACCACATCTAAATGTAGCTAAACTCCTAAAAAAGAAACATTTCCGTTTTTTCCTATCTTAATTTTAAAAGGGTGTAAATTGCAGATTATTTGGCGCAGTGTTCTTGGATCCCTGATCCCACACGAGGAGGTGCGCGTGACGCCATTGGTCAAAATCTGGAACATATTTGGACCTGTTCGTGCGACTCAAGCCTGTCAAGATGAGGCGCGCCCCTATGGAGAATAGCAGATTGAACACGGTTCGATTATGTCGAGTAACGTTTTACACACACATGCCTGGTTAAAAAAAACCTTCTCAACATAGAAACCTTGTCCACATATTAGAAAACAAACATTTCACAAAGGCGTTTGTCTGCCTGGTGGCTCTCAATCCTGTGTTAGTGGGGTATAATGACATTTCTGACGTTTTTGCTTAACCCTGTGGCGTAAAGAAAAGCAAAAAAAGTTGTACATTACGACGAACATGCATGCACACTCTCCCATATAAACTGTTTACTGTATACAGCAGTGCTGAACATCATAACGAACATGCATGCACACTCTCCCATATAAACTGTTTACTGTATACAGCAGTGCTGAACATCACGACGAACATGCATGCACACTCTCCTATATAAACTGTTTACTGTATACGGCAGTGTTGAACATAATGACGAACATGCACGCACTCCCTCGTATATAAACTGTTTACTGTATACAGCAGTGTTGAACATAATGACGAACATGCACGCACTCCCTCGTATATAAACTGTTTAAAGTATACAGCAGTGTTGAACATAATGACGAACATGCACGCACTCCCTCGTATATAAACTGTTTACAGTATACGGCAGTGTTGAACATCATGATGGACATGCATGCGCTCCCTCTTCTATAAATTGTTTACTGTATACGGCAGTGTTGAACATAATGACGAAAATGCATGCACTCCCTCGTATATAAACTGTTTACCTTGTACGGCAGTGTTGAACTTAATGACGAACATGCATGCACTCCCTCGTATATAAACTGTTTAAAGTATACAGCAGTGTTGAACATAATGACGAACATGCACGCACTCCCTCGTATATAAACTGTTTACTGTATACGGCAGTGTTGAACATCATGATGGACATGCATGCGCTCCCTCTTCTATAAATTGTTTACTGTATACGGCAGTGTTGAACATAATGACGAAAATGCATGCACTCCCTCGTATATAAACTGTTTACCTTGTACGGCAGTGTTGAACTTAATGACGAACATGCATGCACTCCCTCGTATATAAACTGTTTACTGTATACGACAGTGTTGAACATCATGACGAACATGCATGCACTCCCTCGTATATAAACTGTTTACTGTATACAGCAGTGTTGAACATCATGACGAACATGCATGCGCTCCCTCGTATATAAACTGTTTACTATATACAGCAGTGTTGAACATCATGACGAACATGCATGCGCTCCCTCTTCTATAAATTGTTTACTGTATACGACAGTGTTGAACATAATGACGAACATGCATGCACTCCCTCTTATATAAATTGTTTACTGTATACAGCAGTGTTGAACATCATAACGAACATGTATGCACTCCCTCGTATATTAACCGTTTACTGTATACGGCAGCGTTGAACATCATAACGAACATGCATGCACGCCCTCGTATATAAACTGTTTACTGTATACGGCAGTGTTGAACATTATGACGAACATGCACGCACTCCCTCTTCTATAAACTGTTTTTTGTGTACGGCAGTGTTGAACATTATGACGAACGTGCAAAAAGTCCCTCTTATATATACAGTGTTTACTATACACAACAGAGACATTATGTAAACCAGTTAACTTCCTCAATGGTGCAGATGGCACCCGAAACACACAGCAATACAGTTGTGATACGTCCGAACTGCCACGAGCAGAACCACTAATGTGATAGCAG